AGAATCGAAAGAAAATGGCATTTCGGATAAATCGCCCGAAATCTATGATGGTACCCCCTTTGGAATCTGGCAAAAATTGACCCGGAATAAATCCGCCCAAATCGGTGCTTAATGGACTCAATCATCGTTGGAGAATAGCCTCTTGTGAATCCGTGATCTGTAGCCTTCAATATTCAAATAAAATTGACTTTCGGCGCACAGGAAATTACGAAAATGCCATCCGAAAATAAATTGGCCCAAATCGATGCTTAACGGACTTATCATCCGTGGAGAATAGAATCAATAGACTTCATTATCAGTGGATAATAGCCTCAGCATAATTTCGTGATTTGTAGCCTCCAGAATCGAAAGAAAATGGCATTTTAGATAAATTGCCCGAAATCTGTGATGTACCCCTTTGGAATCTGCCAAAAATTGACCCCTTAATGGACTCAATCATCCTTGGAGAATAGCCTCAGGCCGAATCTGTGATCTGTAGCCTTCAATATTCAACGAAAATGGACTTTCGTCGCCCAAGAAATTACGAAAATGCCATCCGAAAATATATTGGCCCAAATCGATGCTTAACGGACTTATCATCCATGGAGAATAGGATCAATAGACTTCATTATCGGTGGACAATAGCCTCGGCCTGATTGCGTGATCTGTAGCCTCCAGAATCGAAAGAAAATGGCATTTCAGATAAATCGCCTGAAATCTGTGATGGTACCCCTTTGGAATCTGCCAACAATTGACCCGGAATAAATCCGCCCAAATCGGTGCTTAATGGACTCAATCATCGTTAGAGAATAGCCTCAGGCCGAATCCGTGATCTGTAGCCTTCCATATTCAAAGAAAATAGACTTTCGTCGACCAAGAAATTACGAAAATGCCATCCGAAAATAAATTAGCCCAAATCGATGTTTAACGGACTTATCATCCGTGGGGAATAGGATCAATAGACTTCATTATCGGTGGATAATAGCCTCGGCCTGATTCTGTGATCTGTAGCCTCCAGAATCGAAAGAAAATGGCATTTCGGATAAATCATCCGAAATCTGTGATGGTACCCCTTTGGAATCCGCCAACAATTGACCCCGAATAAATCCGCCCAAATCGGTGCTTAATGGACTCAATCATCGTTGGAGAATAGCCTTAGGCCGAATCAGTGATCTATATCCTTCAATATTCAAAGAAAATGGACTTTCGTCGCCCAAGAAATAACGAAAATGTCATCCGAAAATAGATTGGCCCAAATCGATGCTTAACGGATTTATCATCCGTGGAGAAAGGGATCAATAGACTTCATTATCGGTGGGCAATAGCCTCGGCCTGATTCCGTGATCTGTAGCCTCCAGTATCGAAAGAAAATGGCATTTCAGATAAATCGCCTAAAATCTGTGATGGTACCCCTTTGGAATCTGCCAACAATTGACCCGGAATAAATCCGCCCAAATCGGTGCTTAATGGACTCAATCATCGTTGGAGAATAGCCTCAGGCCGAATCCGTGATCTGTAGCCTTCAATATTCAAAGAAAATGGACTTTCGTCGACCAAGAAATTACGAAAATGTCATCCGAAAATAAATTGGCCCAAATCGATGCTTAACGGACTTATCATCCGTGGAGAATAGGATCAATAGACTTCATTATCAGTGGATAATAGCCTCGGCCTGATTCTGTGATTTGTAGCCTCCAGAATCGAAAGAAAATGGCATTTCGGATAAATCGGCCAAAATCTGTGATGGTACCCCCTTTGGAATCTGCCAAAAATTGACCCGCAATAAATCCGCCCAAATCGGTGCTTAATGGACTCAATCATCGTTGGAGAATAGCCTCAGTCCGAATCCGTGATTTGTAGCCTTCAATATTCAAAGAAAATGGACCTTCGCCGCCCAAGAAATAAGGAAAATGCCATCCAAAAATAAATTGGCCCAAATCGATGCTTAACGGACTTATCATCCGTGGAGAATAGGATCAATAGACTTCATTATCGGTGGATAATAGCCTCGGCCTGATTCTATGATCTATAGCCTCCAAAATCGAAAGAAAATGGCATTTCAGATAAATCGCCTGAAATCTCTGATGGTACCTCTTTGGAATCTCCCAAAAATTGACCCGCAATAAATCCGCCCAAATCGGTGCTTAATGGACTCAATCATCGTTGGAGAATAGCCTCATGCCGAATCCGTTATCTGTAGCCTTCAAAATTCAAAGAAAATGGACCTTCGCCGCCCAAGAAATTACGAAAATGCCATCCAAAAATAAATTGGCCCAAATCGATGCTTAACGGACTTATTATCCGTGGAGAATAGGATCAATAGACTTCATTATTGGTGGATAAGAGCCTCGGCCTGATTCCGTGATCTGTAGCCTCCAGAATCGAAAGAAAATGGCATTTCAGATAAATCGCCCGAAATCTCTGATGGTACCCCTTTGGAATCTCCCAAAAATTGACCCGCAATAAATCCGCCCAAATCGGTGCTTAATGGACTCAATCATCGTTGGAGAATAGCCTCATGCCGAATCCGTTATCTGTAGCCTTCAAAATTCAAAGAAAATGGACCTTCGCCGCCCAAGAATTTACGAAAATGCCATCCAAAAATAAATTGGCCCAAATCGATGCTTAACGGACTTATTATCCGTGGAGAATAGGATCAATAGACTTCATTATTGGTGGATAAGAGCCTCGGCCTGATTCCGTGATCTGTAGCCTCCAGAATCGAAAGAAAATGCCATTTCAGATAAATAGCCCGAAATCTGTGATGGTACCCCTTTGGAATCTGCTAAAAATTGACCCGGAATAAATCTGCCCAAATAGGTGCTTAATGGACTCAATCATCGTTGGAGAATAGCCTCAGCCTGAATCCGTGATCTGTAGCCTTCAATATTCGAAGAAAATGGACTTTCGTCGCCCAAGAAATTACAAAAATGCCATCCGAAAATAAATTGGCCCAAATCGAAGCTTAACGGAATTATCATCCGTGGAGAATATGATCAATAGACTTCATTATCGGTGGATAATAGCCTCGGCCTGATTCCGTGATCTGTAGCCTCCAGAATCGAAAGAAAATGGCATTTCGGATAAATCGCCCGAAATTTGTGATGGGTACCTTTGGAATCTGCCAAAAATTGACCCGGAATAAATCCGCGCAAATCGGTTCTTAATGGACTCAATCATCGTTGGAGAATAGCCTCAGGCTGAATCCATGATCTGTAGCCTTCAAGAAAATGGCATTTCGGAAAATTCGCCCGAAATCTGTGATGTTACCCCTTCGGAATCTGCCAAGATCCTTTGGAATCTGCAAAAAATTGACCTGGAATAAATCCGCCCAAATCGGTGCTCAATGGACTTAATCATTGTTGAAGAATAGCCTCAGGGTAAATCTGTGATTAGTAGCCTACAAAATTCAATGAAAATGGCCTTTCGTCGACATAAAAATTACGAAAATGTCATCCGAAAATAAATTGGCCCAAATCAATGCTAGTGAACTTATCATCCATGGAGAATAGGATCAGTAGACTTCATTATCGGTGGAAAATAGACTCGGAGTGATTTCGTGATCTGCATCCATAAGAATCGACAGAAAATCGGATTTCGGAAAAATCGGTCGAAATCAGTGATGATACCCCTTTGGAATCTGCTAAAAATTGATATGGAATAAATCCGCCCAAATCGACGCTTAATGAATTTAATCATTGTTGAAAAATAGCCTTAGGCCGGATCCGTGATTTGTAGCCTTCAAAATCAAAAGAAAATTGTCTTTCGTCGATTTAAAAATTACGAAAATGCCATCCGAAAATAAATTGGCCCAAATCGATGCTTAACTGACTTATCATCCATGGAGAATAGTATCAATAGACTTCATTATCGGTGGAGATTAGCCTCGGCCTAATTAAGTGATCTGCAGCCTCCAAAATAGAAAGAAAATGGCATTTCGGAAAATTCGCCCGAAATCTGTGATGTTACCCCTATGGAATCTGCCAAGATCCTTTGGAATCTGCAAAAAATTGACCTGGAATAAATCCGCCCAAATTGGTGCTTAATGGACTTAATCATTGTTGAAGAAAAGCCTCAGGGAAAATCTATGATTAGTAGCCTACAAAATTCAAAGAAAATGGCCTTTCTTCGACATAACAATTACAAAAATGTCATCCGAAAATAAATTGGCCCAAATCGATGCTTATGAACTTATCATCCATGGAGAATAGGATCAGTAGACTTCATTATCGGTGGAGAATAGACTCGGCGTGATTCCGTGATCTGCATCCATAAGAATCGACAGAAAATCGCATTTCGGAAAAATCGCCCGAAATCAGTGATGGTACCCCTTTGGAATCTGCTAAAAATTGATCTGGAATAAATCCGCCCAAATCGGCGCTTAATGAATTTAATCATTGTTGAAAAATAGCCTCAGGGCGGATCCGTGATTTGTAGCCTTCAAAATCAAAAGAAAATTGTCTTTCGTCGATTTAAAAATTACGAAAATTCCATCCGAAAATCAATTCGCCCAAATCGGTGCTTAATAGACTTATCATCCATGGAGAATAGGATCAGTAGACTTCATTATCGGTGGAGAATAGACTCGGCCGCATTCCGTGCTCTGCAGCCTCCAGAATCTAAAGAAAATGGCATTTCGGAAAAATTGCCCGAAATCTGTGATGGTACCCCCTTTGGAATCTGCCAAAAATTGACCCGGAATAAATCCGCCCAAATTGGTGCTTAATGGACTTAATCATCGTTGTAGAATAGCCTCAGGCCGATCCCTGATCTGTAGCCTTCAAAATCAAAAGAAAATGGTCTTTCGTCACCCAAAAAAATACGAAAATGCCACCCAAAAATAAATTGGCCCAAATTAGTGCTTAATGGACTTATCATCCGTGGAGAATAGGATCAATAGACTTCATTATTGGTGGAGAATAGCCTCGACCTGATTTCGTGATCTGCAACTTCCAGAATCGAAAGAAAATGGCATTTCGGAAAAATCACCCGAAATCTGTGATGGTAACCCTTTCGAATTAGCCTTAAATTGTCCTGTATTAAATCCGCCCAAATCGGTTCGTAATGGACTTAATCATCGTTTAAAAATAGCCTCAGGCCGAATCCGTTATCTGTAGCCTTCAAAATCCAAAGAAAATGGCCTTTTGTCACCCTAAAAATCACGAAATTGCCATAAAATCACGAAATTGCCATCCGAAAAAAATTGGACCAAATCGGTGCTTAATGGACTTATCGTCCTTGGATAATAGGATCAATAGACTTCATTTTCGGTGGTTAATAGCCTCGGCCGGATTCTGTTATATGCAGCCTCCAGAATCGTAATAAAATGACATTTCCGATAAATCGCCCTAAATTTGTGATGGTACCCCTTTCGAATATGCCAAAAATTGATCCAGAATAAATCCGCCCAAATAGGTGCTAATGGACTTAATCATCGTTGAAAAATAACCTCAGGTCGAATCCATTATCTTTAGCCTTCAAAATCCCAAGAAAATGGCCTTTCGTCGGCCAAAAAATCATGAAAATGCATTCCGAAAATAAATTGACCCAAATCGGTGCTTAATGGACTTATCGTCCGTGGAGAATAGGATCAATAGACTTCATTATCGGTGGAGAAAAGCCTCGGGCTGATTCCGTGATCTGCAGCCCATAGAATCTAAAGAAAATGGAATTTCGGAAATATCGCCCGAAATCTGTGATGGTACCCCTTTGGAATCTGTCAAAAATTGACTCGGAATAAATTCGACCAAATTGGTGCTTAATGAACTTAATCATCGTTGAAGAACATCTGTAGCCTTTAAAATAAAATAAAAGGCCTTTCGTAGGCATAAATATTACGAAAATGTCATCCGAAAATAAATTGGCCCAAATCGGTGCTTAATGGACTTATCATCCATGGAGAATATGATTAATAGACTTCATTATCGGGAGAATAGCCTCGACCTAATTTCATGATCTGCAGCCTCCAGAATCGAAAGAAAATGACATTTCGGAAAAATTGCACGAAATCTGTGAAGGTACCCCTTTTGAATCAGCTAAAAATTGACTTGGAATAAATCCGCACAAATCGGTGCTTAACAAACTTAATCATCGTTGAAGAATAGCCTCAGGGCGAATCCGAGATCTGTAGCCTTCAAAATCGAAAGAAAATGGCCTTTCGTAGGCAAAAAATTATGAAAATGCCATCTGAAAATAAATTGGCCCAAATTGGTGCTTAATGGACTTATCATCCGTGAAGAATAGGATCAATAGTCTTCATTATCAGTGGAGAATAGCCTCGGCCTGATTCGTTGATCTGCAGCCTCCAGAATAGAAAGAAAATGGCATTTCGGAAAAATCGAACGGAATATGTGATGATACCCCTTTGGAATCTGCTAAAAATTGACCTGGAATAAATTCGTCCAAATCGGTGCTTAATGGACTTAATCATCGTTGAAGAATAGCCTCAGCCGAATCCGTGATTTGTAGCCTTCAAAATCCAAAGAAAATGGTATTACGTCGTTCAAAAATTTACGAAAAAGTCATCCGAAAATAAATTGGCCCAAACAGGTCGTTTCAGGAAATAAAAAAGATGCCTAATAATTCTAAAACTCGGACCCTTGCAAAATTGTTGCAAATGTTAGTCTACGAGAATTACAACAAGGAGCTTGTTAAATTGCCCCTAAAAATGTATTCGTACTGAAAATCAGAATCAAACGAGCCTGACGTTCATGGAGCTTTCAACCAATGGGGGTCGGATAATTGGTCGAGGAAGGAAGGCGCACTTAAAAGGAACACACATAGTAAATTTTGCGAGACGTAACACTACATCTATTAGAACGAGTTGAAGGGGTAGGGATTGTTGGCGCGCCAAAATATCAAGTTGGCTCATTAATTATGTAGGGCTAGGCTGCGACACGGGAGCAGTAGAAATGATTTTTTTTACCCTCATCAGTGAACGAGCGCGGTCTAGCGGACTCGTGACCACCGAGGACTACCAAACTCGCGACGAGCATGATCTAGTAGACTCACGATAATTTTTTCAAATTTAGGGGTGTCCCTCACTATCAATTATATTTTTTTTGTCCATACGTACTGACGCTGGGGCTGCTGGAATTGTTGCCCCTGCCTAGGCTGGTAGGGCTGCTGCTGTGGGGATGGCCCCTGTCTAGCCTGGAAAGGCTGCCTTCACCCCTAGCATCCCGGTCTGCTGGTACTCCGGGTCGATGTAGCAGAACGTCCCCGCGGCCGAAGTCATGTGGTACTGCGTCACGTTCTCGACCACCAATTACTATTAGCATAGAAAATGGCCACACGGGAAACAAAACTGATCAGGAAGTGAGGGAAAGAGCTGAGAACTCACGTTAGGCCACATTTTCTGTTTCTACAAACCTATTGAGGCTACTAGGCTAGCTAACATTTTTTTAGTGAGGCACACAAAGTCGGTTAGCACGAAACAAATAACCATCCACTCGATAATATTTTCCCTCACCATGGATCCTGGTGCATGATCTGTTTAGTTTGAAACATGATTGGGTTCTATTCTCCTTGAGAACAAACATGGCATAATAACTCTTCAACGAAAAGAGTTATTATGCCATGTTTGTTCTCAAGGAGAATAGAACCCAATCATGTTTCAAACTAAACAGATCATGCACCAGGATCCATGGTGAGGGAAAATATTATCGAGTGGATAGTTATTTGTTTCGTGCTAACCGACTTTGTGTGCCTCATGCGTCAATTCGTGACCTGTTTCTCCCAGGCGGGGCCGTTGATTGCGAGGAGGTGGGGAAGCGGGAAAAAGGGTGGATCAATTCGATGTTCAATTTCGGGGACATCCCCTCTTGCCCGTGTTTGCTCTCGCAGAATATGGCACGGCCAACCCGGCCACTCGCAACGGCCACAATTAGCGCGAGCAAACATATTAATGACGAAGAACACATTAAAATATGCCGATTCGGTCCGGGCATACTATATGTATTCAAAGTCAAATACTGTTTCGGAAATGTCCAATCAAGAAGGCAAGAACGGATCATCCCTTTTAGTCACAATATGAATCCTCGCTTTTCCGCGAATGATGAACACATGTATGAAGTTATATTTCGCGTTAATGTTGTATGGTTGTCATTTTCAACGTTGCAATGATGTTTTAAATTGTTTCGAGCCTCTGTGGGTGCGGATCTCAATGACGCGACGGCACCCGGAACCACACTGCTGCCTAACCTTCGGGCGCGCCTCCTACTGATATTGTGAGAGGGGCTTAGTCAAGCCTTAGTCACCTGATACTCCCTCCATTAGCAAGGCGTAGGCATCCTAGAAGGCATGTTAAACAAACTAGTGGGGTAAATACTCACTTAATTTCCTCTGCAGTATTGGGGTTTGGTGGTATTTATCATGCACTTCTAACACGTGGGCAAATTAAAATCAAATTTTAAATCTCAATCTGTAGATTAGCCGTTGGTTTCCATTTCGTCTGCTGGAACTGATGCTGGTGAGCCAAGAGATGTTGGTTATGTAGATCAGCTGTTGGAACTGGAGAGCCATCTGCTGGAACTGGTCGGTGAAGAACTCCATCGACGAAACAGCAGGTAGTGGTTCCTCCTGTCTGGATGGGACAGGATCAGCAGATATGGTCTTACCGCTCCTGGTAAAAATGGCATCCAGCTGCTGGAGAGGTCTTGCCCCAGAGGGCATTCTACGGGTGAGGTTTTCTGCCTTTGGGTTGGCGTGGTACAAACAACTCGAGTCCCGTAATGTGTTGTGTTCGTACTCTCTTTGCCTTCAAGGTGATGTTTTATGTCCGTCGTCGTGGATCGACTGAAAAATACGCCCATTTCATGGCTCTGGCGCACCCGTATACCGCTCGGTCAGTGGCTGATTTCCTCGGCCGAGTGCACAGCCGAGGTGCGCTCATGGCTGAGACTTCTCGGCCGAGTGCACTTTTCCTCGGCCGAGTGTATGTAGTTAGTAAAAAAAAAGTTTCTCGAAATATATTGAAAATTGATCTCGTTTTGTAGAGCATAACGAATTCATTCCATCTTGAGGATGTGTTTTTAAGGGCACGGATAGAGCAAAAAGAATTTGTGAGAAGTTCATGATGAAAGCCGGAAAATCATCGGGAAAGCCTACCACTTGATCCAATCCATGAATCCACCAATCCATTAGATCCAATCCATTTGATCCATGGATCCACCAATCCAATCCACCAATCCACCATAAAATTCAAATTACAACACAAAGTTCTTAAATCACACCATAAAATTCAAATACTCCGGTGGAGGTTAGTCGCCCCCTAGAGATTCAGATTGAGAGGGTCGGAAGACCTTTAGTCGAGACTTCAGGCTGTTGTAAAATAGCAAAAAAACCTAATGGTAAAACTTTAAATTGTACCTACACTTTCTAATAAATCTCTTTATGGTACAACTCAAAATTGTACCTATACTAATGGTACAACCTTAAGTTGCGTTCAATCGATTCAATATCGATAAACTCGTAATCCATGCACATATCCTGTTGATTTTGTTATTCTTGATATACCGAGGTGCGCTCCTGGCCGAGACTTCTCGGCCGAGTGCACTTTTCCTCGGCTGATCGATGCTTAATGGACTTATCATCCGCGAAGAATAGGATCAATAGACTTCATTATCGGTGGAGAATAGCTTCGACCTGATTTCCTGATCTGCAGCTTCCAGAATCGAAAGAAAATGTCATTTCGGAAAAATCAACGAAATCTGTGATAGTACCCCTTTCGAATCTGCCAAAAATTGACCCGGAATAAATGCTTCCAAATCGGCGCTTAATGGACTTAATCATCATTGAAAAATAGACTCAGGGCGAATCCGTTATCTGTAGCCTTCAAAATCCAAAGAAAATGGTCTTTCGTCGCAAAAAAAATTACGAAAATGCCATCCGAAAATAAATTGGACCAAATCGGTGCTTAATGGACTTATCATCTGCGGAGAATAGGATCAATAGACTTCAATATCGGTGGAGAATAGCCTCGGCCAGATGCCGTGATATGCAACCTCCAGAATTGAAAGAAAGTGGCATTTTAGAAAAATCGCCCAAAATCTGTGATGGTACCCCTTTGGAATCTGCCAAATAATGACCCGGAATAAATCCTCCCAAATTGGTTCTTAATGGACTTAATCATCATTGAAGAATAGCCTCAGGCCGAAGCCGTGATCTGTAGCATTCAAAATCCAAAGAAAATGACCTTTCGTTGCCCAAAAAATTACGAAAATGCCATCCGAAAATAAATTGACCCAAATCTTTGCTTAATGGACTTATCATCCGTGGAGAATAGGATCAATAGAATATCATTATCGGTGGAGAATAGCCTCGTCCTGATTCAGTGATCTGCAGCCTCCAGAATCCAAAGAAAATGGCATTTCAGAAAAATCGCCCGAGATCTGTGATTGTACCCCTTTTGAATCGTCCAAAAATTGACCCGGGATAAATCCGCCCAAATCGATGCTTAATGGACTTAGTCATCATTGAAGAATAGCCTCAGGCTGAATCCGTGATCTATAGAATTCAAAATCCATAGGAAATGACATTTCGTCGCCCAAAAAATTACGAACTGACTTTGACACTTAGCCGTTTTCTGGCAAACTTCCAGTTTCGACCTAGCCTTGTGAGAGGCATTAAAAACCACTCTTCTGGCTTCACCTTGAACTCCAAAGCACTCCATCTTGTAGAGCAACTCCCAAGCTTTAAGTCAAGCCTTCCTTTGTCCATTTTCAATGAAGCATTGGAGAGAATCATCCTTGCAAAGTGAGTATCCTGCACACATGAACAAACACTTAGTTGCATTTGATGTTTTTCTTTGCCAATTTAACTTGCTTCTTGCTCAAGCAATTGTGGCTTGCAAGGTGGGTAAAAATGGATCATATCAGGAACATACTTTTTTATATTAACATTTTTTTAATTAGTAACTTCCTTAATTATCATTACACCACTACCTAAAATTAAGGAGAGAGTAAGAAAATTAAAATGGAGAAAAGTACATAAAAGTGTGCTATATATTATTGGAGGATGTGTAGATGAGTTATGGGCCGGACTTTTTTTACGATAGTTATGGGCTGGACCTGCTGTTGGGCTTTCCGTTGCATGCTTGTCGAGCTCGTTGTGGTTTCTACGGGTCAGTTTCAAGAGCCCGTTCACTTTCATCAATTTCCTCTATCAACCATTTTTTTTTCACGTAACCGCATTCAAAATTCAAAGGAAATACATATGTTTTCTCCAACATCTCATTCTCCAAATTGCCCTTTAGTTACAATTCAGAATAGTCCTATGGATGTTATCTCTAGACAATGACTTGAAATCAAACACCGCGAGATACTATGAGCCAAATATATCAGTGATAATGTATTGTGTGTTTAAATCGTTATTTAACTTTGAACGAAACCATTTTATATCGACTTGTAAAAATAAAAATCATTTTATATCGATAAAATGCTATAACGTTTTGGGTTCTGATAAGCAGGTTTTCTAGTCAGATTGTCAATACTGTATGGTTTAACATACATTACTTAAAAAATGTATATTACGAACTAAAAAATGTGTTTAGCAACAACAAGCACTAAGAAAGTGTCGTCCACACAACCTAAAGAAGCACAACATTTGATTAACTTTTCAGTATAATGATTCAAATTAACGAAACCCTAAATTACACTACTACTTTGTCCAAATGCTTTATCTTCTCTAAACCATTTACAATAACTTCTCCGAAACTAAATAGGCACTACTATAGTACTACTGCTGCAAATCTTCAGGATCCAGTGGTACTAATTCCTCGTCGCGAGCTCCAACGTCTTTGTGAAGTATCGCACAAACCTTTGCAAGCGTGGTAGGATAAGGAACCCTAGCATGCCTCGACTCCAGCCTTCTCGCCACTTCCGAGTCAACGCAACTTCCCCGGAAACCCTCAAGTTCGGCATCCGCCGCCGCAACGTCGTAGAACTCGCCGTAACGCTCGAAGAAGAGCTGTCGAAGGATCCAAAGCTCGAGGAGATCGGGACAACGTGGGGCGGCGAAAGCCAGCGTGGATACCGCCTTATTGATCTCCCTAGGGCAGTCCGAGTGTCCGCGGATGTAGGTGAGATTTGCGACGACGATCTCGCACGAATGGTACAGCAACTCGAGGATCCGGATCGCGTTCTCCTCCCTCACTATCTGCTCCGCGGCCACGAAGGCCGCACCCACGTCCCCGGCGTCTACGAACCGAGCTATTCTGCCGGTACGGTCCTGGACCCGCTTTTCCCTCTCTTTCTTCAGGTTTCTCAGTCGGTTTTGCAGCTCCGTCACCGCCCTCTCGCACGTAGAACCGTTCCTCCAACCACCACCGCCTCGGAAGAAGCCGATCATTGCTTCAAACTTTCCCCGACTGCTGCTGCTGCTTCTGGCGGGCACCTTCGCGACACTCGTCAACATCATGATTAACGAGACTTTGGTAGAGTTTGAAGGAAAAGGGAACTTTGTTGTTTGTTTCCTTTTTTACGCTAGATGGAGGAGATTGGCGTGTTTATATATATATAGGGGAGGAGTGGTCTGATGAGATAGCCTTGCTCGAGTAGGATTAGGAAAACCTTTTAATCGTCGGAAACAAATTAAGTACCACTTTCTTATCCGAGCTGGCTACGTATTAGTCCGTTAAATGTGGTGTATTAGGATTCGTAGCCCATGCATGCAGAGACTTAGCTAGCTAGTTGCCGTGTTATGAGCCTAGGGTTTTCCCTATTTATAAATTGCACTCTAACCGAGTGTGAGAGAAACTCAAGCTGAATAAGAGATCTTATCAAAATTAGGGAGGCCGATAATTTGAACCCGTCTTATCGGGAATTACCTAATCTGATTCGTGATGGGATGTGTATTACCCGACCGGCAGTAGCGTGGAGGGCGGAGTATGAGTATCTACTTTCGATTCCATGCCCTGCCTTGCGCCCTGCCGATTTCTTGGTCCATTCTATCTAAAATTTATGTATTCATATTTCTTATATTTTGACTTTTCTTCAACTAGCTTTAAGAAAGTGGGATCTGAGCAAAAACTGATTGTTCTTTTTCCTAGGTCATAACAACATAGTTGATCACAAATTATTATCGAGCTTTTGGAAAGGTTTGTTGTTTAATTTGTTTGTTGAATTATGATGAATCGGATTTGGCCTATTACTGATTTGGGAAATCATTATATCTGGTCTACAAATTAGACGATTGTAGGTATTGGTTTTCTACTATTATGAATTCATAAATTTGTAGTATGAGAGCGGCGAATGCTCATATGCTAACAATTTACGGTATGGATTTTGTTGTTTATCACCCGTATGTAGGGCTGCAATTTGGTTCAGGACTATTTGGTTTTATCCGAATCCGGACCGTATAATCTGGATCGGGACTGGACTGGGATCGGATAGCAAACAATCCAATATCATATTCGGGGTTAGATTTGAGGTAAAAAAAACCCGGATAAAGACCGGATAAGAGACCCCAACACTCAAATCCCCACAAGCTCAATCTAAAATCAAAATCAAATTGGGATCGGACCGGATCAAGACCGGAGTGTATCCAATCCAATCTTTGGTCCTTATATTCCAGAAAAGACCGGACTGAGACCGGATCAATTTGGTCCAATTTAACTGGACCGGACCGTATAGTCACCCCTACCCGTATGCATGTTCAATTTCTAGCTAGGATAAGTATCACAACCTTTGTATGGCATAGGCACTCCGAAGCTTCTAGTACTACCGATTCGTCAGTCCTTGATACGAATCAGGCCATCTTTGGCGTTCCGCGAGTAATTTGCAAATATTGTTACCCTTGATAATGGAACCGTTTTTTGTCACAATTGGTTTTGCTAGAAAACCGTTTAGCTTCCAAATCCCCCCTTTCTTAGTTACAATTAAAGAAATCTAGTTGCTCTCAACTTATGCATCGAACAAAGTATTGGAAGTGATTTATATCTTTATCCTATCAACAATTTCACAAAAAAACACGTACGCTTTAACAATTAAGTGATTCACGCCTCCAATTTATTGCTTCAATTTTTCTAAACAATTGATATTCTGCCTGCCTGGCATTCTTGAGCGTGATGCTTTTCATGCCGCTTTAAAATACCAGGGAAAACAAAAATATTCATGTGAATGAGAGAAGAAGTTTCGTTTTGTCGCATCAATAAAATAGAAAAACTTAAGGTTACGGCTAATTAATGCCGGCGATATGTATTACTTAGTAGGACTAAGCTGGACTAAGCTGGACTTCCATTAGGCCACATGATCATCATTTGCATGAATAATGGGGAATTTATTGAGCTGGTGGAATTGGCAATCATCATCATTTGCTAAACATGTTTAGGGAACCAAAATTATTCATTTTTTGGCTCTCTTCTATTTTTTTAGTCATTGGAATGAATTAATATTTGTTTATAATCTCTCTAATCAGTATATGCTACTGTTTAAATAATGGTTACGTCGTACCACTAATTATCAGTATATGCTAGGTCAAGAAAATGTTTAAGTCTCAAGGTTATCAGGAAAACATTAATTTAAGACTGTGATAGGAAGTCCAATAGTTTAAGACTTTAATTGTTGAAGGATCAAGTGTAGTTCAATGTATCTACTGTTCTACAATTTTTTAAAATACTTGTACATATACACTGATATACATAAGTATTGCACGTGAACTGTATGCATTTTTATACACGTATTGTACATATGGGATACGTTACATATGGGAACTGAGTACTAAAGGTTGTTTTGAACATTTGATTCTGAAAATGATGTATTATTGAGAATGTGTGTATTAAAGATTACGGTGGTAAATAATTGTTTAATAAGCACGCGAGTCTCGTGTTTCAATTTCGAAACCTTCTTCGTCGGGACTGCTGGATGGTTCAACTCTCCCACGTATACATGGAAGATAAATTTTGGGCCAAATTGTTTGTCCATGGGGGTTTGTCTGTCCCGTTTGGTGGTGAATTATGTTTCTTCGTCACACCGTGATGTTTGTTACTAGACCATATGATGTCACAAGGGATCACTATTCCCTTTTCGATAGAAAAAAGAAAGTGTTATAAATATAGATTTTGATCAGTTGTTTGGCTTAAAATTCAAATATGGTGGATTGTATAACCGGAAGAAAGAAGAAATTTGTGACTTTCGGTGTTCATTAAACATCTCTTGTTTACACGAGAATGGGATTGAGCTCTCTCTCCTCTCATATTTTCTTGGTACAAAACTTTCACCGATTGTACACAATTGACAATACATCTTTCGAACCGCCTTCCTTATCACAACGCGTCTGTAAACTATGTCATCCAAACGACCCCTTAAGCATTGTCGTACCAAATGGGCACAAACTGTCGCCACACAAATAAGAAAGAAAAAAAAAAGATAAAACCGTTTTAATTTCCCCCTCCAGAACAAACTCCATCACAGATACGACGATTAAGTAGTTTGTAAAATTGTATACCATCTGGTGGTGACGCCACATGATGCCACGTGAAAACAGTGATTGAAGTATGTGCAAAAAAAAAAAAAAAAAAAACCATAATCAGCGCCAGGCGGGAGATGGAGAATGAATGAAGCCTGAGGGCCTCTTAAAACCCATCCAATATTCCAATGCCATCCATCACCATCATCATCATCGCAGAGTCTCCATTCTCCAAGTGGATGATTTCCAACTAGAATTAACGTACGGTTGTAATAATATCTAGCTAGGTTGTTCTTTTATGATGGTGAATTTAATATCTTGGTCATTTATTCAATAATGAAATTAGTCAAGTAGGGCTTGGGTAAGTAGGGTAAGTCTGTTAATGAACCAAGCCGTTCATGAACGGCTCGGTGTCCGACTCGAGAAAAACTCGTTCGACACTCGATTCGTTTTAATCGAGCCGGCTCGCGAACAAACTCGTTAACTAAACGAGCCGAACTCGAGCCATACCATGTTCAGCTCGAAAGCTCGCAAACAAGCTCATTTAATGGTTTGGCATAAAAAAAGGATTAGAATTCATGTATTTTATGAATTGAAATTGGGATAAATATTGTGTTTTACTTTGATAAACTTTGCTATAGGTTTGAATGTAATTTTGTACTTAGTTCTAAGACAATCTTGAACTATCATGAATATTTTATGAGCTGAACTCGATCTTGGACTCGTTAAACTTATTTGACGAGCCGAGCTCGAGCTTTCATTTTCATAAACGAGCCGAGCTCGAGCTTGCATTTTAAAGCTCGTGACAAACACGAGCCGAGCTTCAGCCTGAAAATATATTAACGAGCCGAGCCCGAACTATGGCAAAGCTCGGCTCGATTCGGCTCATTAACAGCCCTACAGGGTAATCCTACTAGCATAGTAGGAAAAAAACGATATTCAACATGTATGTCGTGTGAATTTCTAAACCTGGGATTTGTGTCTTAAGAGTTGGCTAATGAACATGTTGTCTGAGTACTAAAACGAAAGATGTGGGAAATCTATAACATCATGTCAACTATATTACGGGTTGGGTGGATGAGGGAGGGTGTAGACCGAACAACCAATCGAGGCATGTGATGGTTGGCCTTAGAGACTCGTTAAGAACCATTAAACATTATTAAGGTTATTTAATGTGGCGACTATTACATACAGGTTGACGCACTACTTATCTGAATTCCACAACGTTAACTATCCGATCAACTTTGCCAACTTCCCCAGCTTAACTGTAGGCATCGACCCAACCTCTATGGCAGACTCTTCCTATAAGGCGTTAATGTTTGTGAACTTGTCGAGCGAGCACCTTGTCTCTTAAGTAAAACTTTGGCTCGAACCTCTCATACCATTAGCCGACGTTAATAATCTAGGCTTGCCTCGCAAGCTTTGTTAAATTTCAAACTTAACCTAGGTAAGGGTTCATCTTGCGAAGGGGAAGGTTGATGGGGTTTTTCGATGCTTTGGGCAGTTAATGTCGACATGTCGTAGAACTTGAGCAAATCTCATGAAGACAAAACAAAAGGAAGGAGTCGTTCTGGTAAGGAGAGCGCGACATCGTTATGTACTATCGATTGTAGATTTTAGATGCACTAATTAGTCATCGATTAATTGATACTAATCAGTTCTAATTGTTTAACCAAAAAAAAATTCAAATAAACATATGAAAACCATCAGCAGCAACATTTTTACCAATTACCAGTTGGCCGCCTAACCCAATTACCGGTTCCCAGACTGACCGGTTAATAGCAATGTTAGTTACCATTCCTTTTCTTCTTGGACGAATTTTACTTATTTCACTTTTTTTTATTACTACTTATTTCACTTATTGCCTAAGCCCTGTGAGTAGAGGTGGCAATTGGATCGGATTCGTGGATTAGATTGGTGGATTCATAGATCAAATGGATTGGTGGATTCATGGATTGGATCAAATGGATTGGTGGATTGATCCATGAATCCAAATGACATCCAAGGCTTGGACCAAAATGTAAATTTTGAAAAGTTTTGGTACTAAAATGTCATAATGAAAAATTTTAGGTACCAAAATATAATTTTCCAATGATATTTTTCGTATAAAAATATAAATTTTAAGGTACCAAAATGTAAAATATAAAAAATATAGGTACCAAATTATAATTTGCCATTTGGATTCATGGATTGATCCATGAATCCACCAATCCAATTGTAATTGGATCAAATGGATTGGATTTAAATATATTGGATTAGGTGGATAATTTGGTGGATGGATTGAATTGGATTCATGGATTTGGATCCTTATTTCACTTATTGCCTAAGCCCTGTGAGTGAAATTAAATTAACCAACTACTTAAAAATTACACCATAAAAAAACTACTTAAGAATTACAAATTTAGTCCTCCGAGTTGTGCGATCTTTCTGGAAAACTGAAAAAGAGAGAAACGGGGACACAAAGGTTGATGGGGTTTTTCGATGCTTTGGGCAGTTCATGTCGACATGTCGTATAACTTGAGCAAATCTCGTGAAGACAAAACAAAAAGAAGGAGTCGTTCTGGTAAGGAGAGCGCGACATCGTTTTGTACTATCGATTGTAGATTTTAGATGCACTAATTAGTCATCTGTTAATTGATACTAATCAGTTCTAATCGTTTAACCAAAAAAAATTCAAATAAACATATGAAAACCGTCAGCCGCAACATTTTTACCAATTACCAGTTGGCCGCCTAACCCAATTACCGGTTCCCAGACTGACCAGTTAATAGCAATGTTAGTTACCATTCCTTTTCTTCTTGGACGAATTTTACTTATTTCACTTTTTTTATTTATTACTACTTATTTCACTTATTGCCTAAGCCCTGTGAGTGAAATTAAATTAACCAACTACTTAAAAATTACACCATAAAAAAACTACTTGAAAATTACAAATATAGTCCTCCGAGTTGTGCGATCTTTCTGGAAAACTGAAAAAGAGAGAAACGGGGACACAAAGACACATCCCGCAAGAGCTACAAATCAAATAAGAAAATCGGTAAAAAGCCAAAGAACAAAAAATAATTTTGTTCTTTCTCCTCCCTCCTCCGTCCCCATCTCAATTCCTATACTCTCATCATAGCATCAGCAGTGAAGCATCAATCATCGAATCACAACGTCAATGGCGGGCCCACCGCCGGGACCCACAAAGAAATGGGGAAAAAAGAATATCTCGCCATTCCCCGTATAAATAATGAGGCCACGTAGAGACGCAGGCAAACGCAAATCCCCTTCCCAAACAAGCCCCACTACCGCGGCCGCGCCAGCAACTGCAGAAGTCGACTCCTCCGCCCCGAGGTCTCCGGCGGGACACCACGAGACCACCATCCCCACCGCCGCCGCCCTCTCGCCGCCGGTAGGCTACCAACTGACGCTGCTCGCGGAGCTGTTCATGGCGGGGCAATCGAGGAAGTGGATGATACTGGTGGCGACGATATGGATTCAGGCCTTCACGGGGACGAACTTCGATTTCTCGGCCTACTCCTCGCAATTGAAGTCGGTGCTGGGGATCTCGCAGGTCCAATTGAATTACCTAGCCGTGGCGTCCGATTTGGGGAAGGTTTTCGGCTGGTCGTCGGGGCTCGCCCTGATGTACTTCCCGCTTTGGACGGTTCTGTTCTCGGCGGCGTTCATGGGGCTCTTCGGCTACGGGCTTCAGTGGCTTGTGATTCGGAACGTCATCTCCCTGCCTTACATTCTGGTATGTTGGTAGTACGCCTTTTTCCTCTTCTCCCTTTCTCTCTCGATTTTCCCCTCTTTCCGATTTGGGGTGTTTTCTTTGATTTCAATTTTCCCGGCTGCCAAACAGTAGCCGGGCCGGTGGGAAGGATTGTTTGTTTGGTTAACTAATTTTTCTACAGTCATGGTTTCTTTTTACTCGTTATCTTTTGGGTGGTCCTGGTCCATTTCCTTTTTTTTTTCCTGGGCCTTTTGTAGCTTTTTTTCAGGCCCAGTATTTCTCGCCATTAACTGCTTGACGCGTGTACATTTTTTTTCCGTTTTCGGTTGTCAAATGGCAACTGGTTTCTTGCCACGTGGATTCGCTGGTTGTTAGTTTACTTTCCTGCCCTCCTCCGTCAATTTAACCGACGGACGGCGCCACCTAACTGGACTGGCCGGTAGGATCAGAAAACTGCATACCACCTGCCAAGTTGCTTGTGAGAGGGCCGGTTTAGTCTTAGTTTGATGCAGGCTAAAACCTACCCACCAGTCTACCACCTCACAGTCTGGTTTTCAACTAATTGGAAGGTTTATAATGCAACTTGAACTGTGAAAAGCTTGGGCTGACTGATAACATGAATGTGTTTGGTGAGGTTGGTTACAGAAAATCTGCCTAGCACTTTAGCTATGTTTATTTTCTCTGCTTGTTCTTCACCAGCTTGACATGGCTGAGGAGAAATTTAGACCATTATTGACTTGCCTTTGTTAATGTAGCAGTTAGCCATAATTATAAGCCAACCCTTTTGATCTGCTTGTCTGGGGAAGACTGGTGAGTACAGCTTTGATGAAAGATGAATCGATAAGAGAGTCACAACAGTAGTTGGGTTCTGCTGTTAAATTTGTCATGGAAAAGATAACAGGAGGAAGCATTTGATTGCCTTGCCCTGAATCTGCAAATACATATATTCTACAGGTTTTGACAAGGATATCTCTCTGGTACATTCGTCGAATAGTTTCATTCATGGGTGGGCGCTGTTGGGCGAGGGGAAGCTTCCTCACTTTATTTTTTCTGGACATGAGAAGCTTCCTTTTTATAATGGTAGATTCATTGCTAAGTCATGGTGGATATGATACAGTCGTCTTTTCTATATGCAGTAAAGGTTTTTGGTGATACAGTTATTTTTGTGATTCAGATCCGAATTGTTGGTAAGCACGTTTAATAATATGGTGGGCCTATGACTTCCACTCCCACCTACTCTGGAATGTTGTCTAGCTGTGTCTTACCTTTTAGCTCTCTTCATTTCAGTATCATCACAATCATTGTTTCCACATGCGGAAGCTCCCCACATAAGCACTGCTCACCAACTTTCTTTCCTCAAGTTGTAGAAAGTATGCTATGATTTACCAGAAAGCAAGGTTTTTTGCTAGAAAAAGGATATAGAAATCAAGGTGTCGTCCCTTTCTCTGCTTGCTTCTTTGTTTGGTTTGTCTTTTCTGGATCATTGACGTCGGTAGATGGCTTCAGGAAAGGGTTTATTACTCTCTGCACGTGTGGACACAGGAAACTTCCTTTTCTAGACTGATATTGGAGCCAACACTCAAAGTTACAGCCATTGTCTCAATCTGATACATAACAACTTGTACAGCTTATTTCTTTCCATGCTGGACCACTACCAGAGCCTCATAATGAAGGCAGATTCTTTACATTCCTTGGCTTCATCATCGTATGGTGCCTTCATTGTGCTACCAAGCCGGTTCATAACTCTTTTCCAACTGATCAATTTAGATGTCCCCATGACTGATTGTGCATTAGTTGAATTATTCAGATACATTATGAACAATAGGAACCAACTTCAGTTGCACTGCAGAAAAATTGCAGACTTTGTCATGGAAGGCTAATTAATATGTGTTATTTATCAACTTCAGTTGCACTGCATCAATCCTCCAAAGGCTTTCTATAATCCTCATAATGTTGTCAATTGATTGATTTCAGGTGTTCATTCTCTGTCTACTGGCTGGATGCAGCATATGTTGGTTCAACACCGTCTGCTTCGTTCTCTGCATCCAAAACTTCCCATCTAGCCGGTCCTTGGCTCTATCCCTCACTGTAAGCTTCAACGGGGTAAGTGCAGCCCTCTACACGCTTGCTGCCAACGCCATAGATTCATCATCAAACGAGGTCTATCTTCTTTTAAACGCCCTTTTCCCCATAATCACTTCCATTGTAGCATTAGTCCCCATTCTTCGCCAGCCAAATCTAGACCCTCTCCCCCCTGACGGAGTCCGCCGTGACTCGGTCGTATTTCTCATCTTGAACTCTTTAGCCGTCCTCAACGGCATCTACCTTCTCCTCTTTGGCTCAAACACAGATGACATCACAGTAGCTCACTTACGCTTCGCCGGAGCCATATTCCTCCTGGTTCTGCCGTTGTGCATCCCTGGAATTGTCTACGCCAGGCAGTGGTTCCACCATGCAATCAACACCAGCTTCCAAATCCCTGAAGGTTCCACCTTCATGCTTGTCGACGTGGACGACCTGGAGCTTCACAAGGAGCTTCTAGCCCGGGACACAACCAACAACGGAGATGGGGATTTCACCTGGAATGATTCGACCCTCGTCCTGAAAAGCATCGACGACGACGAGAGCCGTGATCGAAAGGGGAACTGTTGTGAAGGTGTGGTTGGGAGAGATAAGCTGGCTATGCTTGGGGAAGAGCACACAGCTTGGCTGCTCGTGAGAAGGATGGATTTCTGGCTCTACTTTCTTGCCTACTTCTGTGGAGGAACCATTGGACTTGTGTACAGCAACAATCTGGGCCAAATTGCACAATCTCTTGGGCAGGGATCTTGTACTACATCTCTTGTCACTGTGTATTCTTCCTTCTCGTTCTTCGGCCGCCTGCTCTCTGCTGCACCAGACTTCATAAGAACGTAAGTCAGGAAAATCTTCAATTCCTCACATTATCACTAGTCCATTTCATCTTTGAAGTCTCTAATATGTTCATCATTTTGGTTCAGGAAGGTTTACTTCGCGAGGACAGCGTGGCTGACGATCGCCCTACTGCCCACGCCGGTCGCTTTCTTCCTGCTGGCTGCATCAGGCGACAAGACGGGCCTCTACATAGCCACCGGACTCCTGGGACTGAGCTCCGGCTTCATATTCGCGGCGGCGGTGTCCATAACTTCAGAGCTCTTCGGTCCCAACAGTGTGAGTGTGAACCACAACATTCTCATCACCAACATCCCAATCGGGTCGCTCATCTACGGCTTCCTTGCCGCCATTGTCTACGATGCCAACGCAATGTCGTCGTCTGGCGGCTCAGGGAACATGGTGAGCTCCGACTCCATTGTGTGCATGGGGAAGGACTGTTACTTCCTGACGTTCGTGTGGTGGGGATGCCTGGCCATTATTGGGCTGGCGTCGAGCATGCTGCTGTTCTTGAGGACGAAACACGCTTATGACCAGTTCGAAAAGAAGCGTGCTTTGGCGCAAGTTGATTAGAGAAGAAAGGGTTTTTAACTTCGAAGGGGGGGGAGGGAGAACATTTTTGTGTTTGTTCAACAGAGATTTAGCGGGGTGGCGAAATGTGCATATGTATATAGCTGTCTCTACGTTGAGCCTTTTTCACAGAAGTTCTCCATTGATGAAGGAAGTGTATGGTAGGATATTAACGCACGCATGCAAAGATTTTGGTTCTCGATTTACATCTATATATTTGCAGAGCGATCTCTCTTTGTAGGAGATGGTGAATTGTCGTTTGGTTCTTGTTGGTTGAAAGCTGTACTCTGTATGTATGGTTGATCTGGTGGGTTAGGTTCTTCATATTTTCATCCTGGTGTAGCCGAACCAATTAGTAATAATCAAACAATTAAGTGACTTCTAAGTCCCATGACTTTGATAAAATATTAGAAAAATGCTTGACCGGTTAGGATTAAAAATATCTTAGTGTTTTGAAAATAATGAACTCTTATTTTGAACATGAAAAGTGAGCAGAAAATCAACCTCGTTGACTTGTTGATATACAAGTATTGCTCAAACAACGATCATTGATGTTTTAACACCTTTTCAGTCTCACCGAACTCTAAAACCACAACTTATTTACACTATTTTTAGATTGATAAGTGAATGATCTATTTAAAGGGGATCTTGTTGATAATAAGCCGTAATGTGAGTGGTTGATTTATTATCTTCTATATAATAGCGGACTACACTTTATTGGCCCAAACTTCCTACTACTATTTCAATTTCTGTCGTTTTGTGTGGCAACCATTGAGAGAGCTTCGCATAATAGCTTCCCAAAAACTTCCTCGCGGCAGTCGGCCATCCCTTCCCTCGTGCCCTTACCGTAAAAGCAGCAGTCGGCCATGTCTGTCTGCGGTCGTACCCATCCTTTCACCATTCCACTTGCATTTTTCAAGTTTGTAGGACTGCGATTGTTGCTGCCGGAAGGAAAAAGAGGCCTCTCTTGCCCTGTTACACACTCGCTTCGTATCTCCACTGACGTCCCTTCTCTGGCTCTTGGACTGTACCCTCACCCCATTCCCAAAATCTCGCCCCCATTCCTCACCATTCACCCCAAATCCCGCCATCCCGTTGTGCTTTTCAATGGTACAATCGCCTCAGCAACCCACTTCAGTACGCAATCCACAGAGGAAGCCACCTCTCCCCGCCATTCTTCCTTCCCAACACCCACCCTGCCACCAATTCCACCTTATCTTTAGATTTCTTTTCCTCCGATACCCTATTTCTTTGCAAGTTTTGTTTTTCTTCTCCTCTCTCTCTCTGATGAGAAAACCCAACGATGGCCGACGGAGATGAGCCCAGTGGAGCCATTCCCTGGAGCTTCCAACCCGTAAGTGAAAGATATATATTTGGTTGCTGCTTTGCGGTGGCTGAATCTGAATATGTTGTTTTCATGTGCTTTTTATGCAGGAAAATAGTGGTTGTGCTTGAAATCACATTTAAGAAGAGGTCAAGGTGGTTCTAAACAACCCTGTTGGTTGAAGAAGAAAATGACGACAAGGGATTTTCGGTGTTGCGGAATCGGCGACAACTGGGATAGTAGGGGAGGAAGGGTGGTGGTGTTGGTAGGAGGATGATGAATGAGCGTCGCGGTGACTGGGGTAGTAAGGGAGGAAGGCTGGTGGTGTTGGTAGGAGGACGATGAATGAGCCTCGCAGTGGTGTTAGGGATTGAAGAAGTTGAAGATGGAATCCCCATTTTTTGTTCTCTTTCACTGCTAACAATTAGGTTAAGTTTTCCTCTGATATTTCAGAAAGTGATTTCCTTTTTGTAGCTGGAACTTAAAGATAAAGAGTTGGTAATCTACACACTTTGATTTTTTGTGTTTTCATAGGTATTCTTGGAGTTCCTCACATATTTACTTGCTGCTGGTTTGTTTTTTTCCCACGATCTTAAGACTGTGATGGTTTGTTTTTTCCCCACGATCTTAAGACAATGACCAGTAGTGTTCCATTGCTTATCCTTGCAATATTTAGTTCTCATTGTTGGATTGTTCTATTAATTATGACATGATCTATGTTATTCCTCTACAGCAACATGGAAGCTGCAGCTGGTGTTAGGAGCTGAACTACATGTGGTTGCAGGTGCAATACACAAGGAGGAGTTAATCCACAAATTGGTATGTGTTTTATTCTTCTCCTTCATGTTGATTTCTCTGTTCAATTTATAATATTGATTCTTTGGAGTTAGATCTGAAATAAGTTGTTTTGGACTAGCTCTGCCGTTATATAAGCATGTTTGCCAATAAGTGTAAAACCTCACTCTTTGGAAGATTAATCCTGGTTTCATGCCACTCTCTTATTAACTGAATTAATTGACTTCAGTGACTGGTGGTGGTTTCCAGTTTCCACCCCCTAATAACCTGTTCAAGAATCCTTTTTTGCTTTCTTCGTAGTGGGTGGCTTTGTTTCCATCCCCTAAACACAGTTAACAACTTCTGCTTGCTTTTCACATGTACTTCACCATGTTTCTCTATGATGAAGGCCAATTAATGCTTGCTTTTACAGGTCCTTTCCTAAAGTTTCAGTCAAAAGGAGGAATGCTGCTAACATTATGTTCTGTAGAAGATGAGCCTTAGTATTTGTGTATTGAAGCATTCTACATTATGTATTTAATTTGTCAATTCTCTATTTCTTAGCATTCTGTAATTGTATGGATATAGCACTACGGCTTTCCTAGAGTTCCATATATAATGAACTGCAATGTTGACTTGATTTGTATTATGGAATGCAGAGCAGGATAATCAAGAAGTTTCTTAATTTAAAGTTTGAACAGATAACAATGTTGCCTGGATCTATTTGATAACAATTTTATTATTTTCTTATATATAATAATGACACCATAAATTTAGCAAATGTGCAGGACAATTTCTTATATTTGTATTGATACCCAAAGCTTCATCACCATATTTCTAACCGTTTGTAAATACAGAATACAACTTAAGCATGCCTTTACATGTCCAGTTTAATATATATAAATTAAATTACAACACTGCTCACCAAGTTCCCTCCAAATCAGAACAACCACAACTAGGTTCTATATTGATGTGGATTGTGGAGAGCATCAATTTTTAAACGTATCCTTTCTTGGTGGCAGTTAGTTCAGCAACTTACCATTATCGATCAAACTAAAACGGTTAACATATTCTTTTTCTGAACTTTAGTATACCAAGGTTATTAATTTTAGCTAAATCGGATTTTACTTGACTGTTTTTCATGAACACACTTCCAATACTCTAAAACTCACATCATTGCCTATAATACGACGGTTCTTATCTATCGTCATCTGAACTACCAGCCATACGGTCATGTTGATGCAACTTAAGTCCCCGTGGCGTAGCCACGGGTATTGATCCTAGTAGTACGCCACGGGTATTGATCCTAGTAGTACATAATTGCCAAGTGACCAATCGTTATTTTCCTATGTAATATTGGAGTCCCGTTACAACTTACAATAGTGAAACCTTTATAGTTTATAGTGGTGGAGTCATATTGTAAGTGTAACACACATAGCCACATAGGTAGTACCCAAACGATGAACCGGTCTATTTAAGCGGTCAACCGTGATTATGCCGGTTATTTTCAAAAGTCACAAGTGCCGACTGCAAGACCCAACTCCCAACCCAGCCGCTGCCTTCCCTGTCCAAGTCATCTCTGTAGTCTGTTCCCCTCGTTGTGTTCATGGCGTCGGATAGTTTTTCTCCCTGGTCAATGCTGAAGAATAATTTTTGTTTTGGGATCCAGAGTAGGACTATAGGAAATATCTATTGGATTAGCGTTCAAAGTCTTGCTGATTTTTGCCCAGAAGCTCTGAATTCAGGTAATCTCTGACTGCCAGTTTTGATGAAGCTCCTGTTCTTTTGTTGGTATATGGTAACCGGAATTCAGCGCAGTTCTTTTTTACAGTTCGCGTCTCAGAACAAAAAATTTAAGCGGGCATTGTTATTAGCAAAATATGTTCCTTCAACACCTGCCGTCGCGACTGGGATTGAACTTTCTGGCTAAGATGATAGCTAAATTCAATCTTGATAGTGGGGATTGCCAATCGTGAAACATCCCGATGCGTCGCTCACAGCCTTAGGTTACTATGCGAAGCAATAGTTAGCTATTCGATGCTTAAAATCATCCCCTTCAAATTCATTCCAGGTGCTGTCAGTATCTCATTATTTTCACTCAGTTGGTTCCCTCTCTTTGGTTTTGTACTAGCCCAGAAGTTTCTGACATTCGTTTTATTGTGTTTGTGGTTCAAGGATTTAATAGTTTCAATAGCCTGAACAACAATTACAGTACTGGGAATCGTTGTGGGTTGCAAAGATTTTTATTGTGTTCATCAGCTGGTGTTGTTACCCTGATCCCAACTTTGGCATGGCATTCCCATTTGGTAACGGTAGTAGTATGAAGTGGCATTTCGCTGCAAGTGAAATTAGTGATTCTACTGCTGAGCAGAAGCCCAGAAAGATGTTCCTGTTACTCTTTACCAAACTTCTAGTCAGCCACTGGTTATGTGGAACTACTGTACAGGCCTGTAAGGTGCTTCTCATATCCTTTCCTTCAATTATTTATGGTCTTTCCTTTTTTCTCCGAATCCGTCATTGATTGGACTTCCCTCGCCTGTGTTGATATGTTAAGACTAGAGACGTTTCTCGGCTGCTCAAGATAAAACTGTGACAAAAGGGCATGTACCTTCTGTTCTGTCTATATGATGTGGTGCACCGCTCTTATTTATCTGCTATGCTTCTCGAAATTTAGTTTAATGGTAGAGATTTGCCAACAGGGAAATTATTCTTATACATGAGATCAGGATACTATCTCTCTTTTTGCATAAGATAAAAAAATTAAAAATGATTGTTTATGTAGGAAGATGAGGTCCCATGCCACAGTTTGTTGTGATACTTGCCAGTAGGGTTGCCAGTTTTACTTTTCTCATATCTGCTTTCCTGGCTTAGGATAATCATGAGATTGAGCATATGGTATCTCTTTAATGCATGTTCTTGGTGTAATAGTAGTAGCATTCTGCATATCGGGAGCAGTTCTGATGTGGCTGATGGGGTCTTGAAAGTTTATTCCAACACAGAGAAGAGCGGTTAGCTTTAGCATGCACATGCATTTTTTAGTTTATTGCAATATGCCTGCAGCTTTGCTTATGCAATTTTTGTATCTTCTTATTTATTTTATATATAGGTGAAGATATATCCTGGAGAAATTGCCTTGCTTAACGTAGGGCTGAGAATTAAAGTTCAACTCCAATAACTGGTGTGTCAATATATAACATTACTCGTATCAAGGTGACTTTTTCTGTATGAGTATCATCTCTTAAGACTGGTTTGATGGGGCTTCGATGAATCCAGTCTGCCATTATTCATAATAGATGGAAATCTACTAGCTCGTATCTTAGTATATGAACATAATACTTATCCTTAATTTCCCTAGGATATGAAGAAAAAGCAGATTATTCCCAAGATTGGTGTTTTCGGGTTAAATTGAGGCGCCACTGCTTTTGCAAAGCCATAGGAAGCCCTGTTCTATTCTGACTTAGTCTATGGCTTTAACTTTATGGCTGAGGAAGATCCAGTTCTATTATGTTACATGGTAATATCTTTCAAACTTGGCTGTACTACTTCAACAAGATTCAATCCTTGTGCATTATGGAACAGGTCAGCGGGTTGATAGGCCCATCAGTAAAGTTCCATCAGAATTAGCTCCAGTCCTTGTGGCCTGAGCATTGGATTGACGAAACATGAATCTCGTTGTAGACCGTCCTCGGCTCTGATGGATCCCAGAACCAGAAGCTGAGGACCCAGGTAGCACCGCTCCCTGTATCTCTTGCCCCACGGTCTGGACCCAGCCAAGGTCAGGTACAGGTATAAATGTGAATGCACTGTCATGAACTTGGAGAAGGCTTCAAGGATGAGAGCTATGGATCCTGATTCTGGACCTGAAGTCACTAAGCGACAAATGATCTTGAATGAATAATTGTTGAACTCACAAACTTGAACAAAAATAAAATAGTTCATACTAGCAGCCCAAGTGAAATGGGTTGTAACGGGTGGCTTTGCCTCCCTGTTTAATTTGATGTCCGTTTGTAGGAAATTGTCTGGTAGCTCCCTTTATTCTCTGATACTGAAAAGTGGGCCATTACGAAGACTTCTTGACTTCCAAGTCTCCGCGGTCTACTTGCACCGTCTTTCAGTTCTTCATTAGGGTCTGTGGAAAATGTGAGAACAAGAAAATCAGTCCCATCATGACAGTGCTGTTCTTCAGCATAATTTCCATAAATATTGAATACAATACACATCACCCTTCTGTATCAGATGCATTCGTAAATCATAATGGCAAATCCATCTCTTGTTGTACCCAAACTCTCTAATTTTTCATATCTTGTTGTGGCCCTCATAGGAATCTGCCATCTCTGTTGCTCTGTTTCTTGCAGCCAAATCCGATGCCTGGAGCAGGAAAGGGCGCTGCTCCTGCTACTGAAGCTAGAAATCTCCACTGATATAAACAATGATTTCCCTCTACCTCTACCTCTACCTCCACCAAAACTTTCCTCATGGAACAACTCTGGCAATCATGAAGACTGCTGCTCGTGGGATGGAGTCACTTGCAGCTCCATGTCTGGTCATGTCGTCGGCCTGGACCTCAGCAGCAGCTCAATCGTGGGCGGGATCAATGGCTCCAGCAGCATCTTCGGTCTTCGGCATCTCCGGAGCCTTAGTCTGGCTGAGAACCTCCTATATGGCTCACCTTTCCCTTCTGGTTTCAGTAACCTGTCAGGCTTGACACATCTCAACCTTTCCTTCTCAGGCTTTTACGGTCCCATCCCCCAACCTGAAATTTCATGCCTTGGACTGTTGGTCTCTCTCGGTCTTTCTAACCATGGATGGTTACTGCCACCAAACCGCAGTTCAAGTGTAGATTTGGGCAAGCTAGTCAGAAACCTGACACGGCTGAGAGTGCTCCATCTCGATGGAAGTGACCTCTTTCCCGGAGGCAGCAGCAGCAAGTCATGGTCATCGTCGATATCTGAACTTCGTGACCTGAGCCTGGCCAATTGTAAACTTACTGGAGAATCGCTGCAATTTCCATATCTTCTGCGTCTGAAATCCCTTACGCATTTGATACTGAGTGGGAATAATCTTGCCTGGAATGTCTCAGGCGAGCTCGGCTTCCTCCAGTTTCCTTCTCTGATGAATCTGCAGCTTGGCTATTGTGGGTTGTATGGAAGATTCCCCAGTAGAATGTTGACGATGCCAACTCTGCAAAAACTCGATTTATCTTTCAACTACCAACTCACAGGTACTTTGCCACACTTCCCAGTGGGCAGCTTGCTACAATTCATCGACCTTTCGGGAACTAAGTTTTCTGGGAACCTGCCTCATTCCATCAACAATTTAGTGTCTCTGCAACATTTCGATCTCACTGACTGCAACTTTCTTGGATTAGTACCATCTTCAATTGACGCTCTCACTGAACTACGCCATCTAAGCTTTTACAATAACAGCTTCAGTGGTGCACTCCCATCACTGATTTCATCTAGCAAGATTGTGGAACTCGATTTTTCGACCAATAACTTCAGTGGTATGTTAATCGTGTCTCTACTTAGATTTTTAGATAACTTCCTCCTCTGTTTCTTTGTTGTTGAATTATGTATCTGCCTCTTATCAGGTAGCATTCCTCTGTCTTATGGGAGTGATCAGTTTGAAAATCTCGAGATGCTACACTTGATGAAGAACAATCTACGAGGGAAGATTCCGTCTGCTTTGTTCAGGAAACCGTCTCTGAAGAGCTTGAGACTGGCCTGGAACCACTTTGATGGGCAGCTGGAAAAGTTCCACGATCCCACTGCTCTCCAACTAATGGAGATAGACTTGAGTCATAACGAGCTTCATGGCCAGCTTCCTGAATCAATCTTTAATATCAGCACCCTTGTTCACCTGGAACTTGCCTCCAATAATTTCAGCGGCAGCATAAAGATGACAGAAAGCATGAACAATCTTACAACTTTGGATCTCTCGGACAACCACTTCCAAGTAGAGATTAGTGGTAGTGGCAACCCTACAACATTGTTCAAGGTTTCACACCTTGGGCTGGGTTCATGCGCTATTGACTCATTTCCTGATTTCCTCAGAAACTCCTCGAATATGAATTACCTAGATCTTTCCAGGAACAAGATCAAAGGGAAAATACCAAGCTGGGTTTGGAAATTAGGGAATGGGAATTTGGTTCATCTCAACCTGTCACACAATCTGCTCTTTGGTTTCGACAAACCAGGTCCAAATCTTTCCCCTAGTCAATTGGCTATTATAGACCTTCATTCTAATTTCTTGCAAGGCAACTTCATTATGCCACCACCTTCCATTATTGTTCTGGATTACTCAAACAATAATTTTTCATCAACAATTCCATCCGAGTTCTACCAAAATGCTATATATGCCACTTTCATCTCACTGTCAGGGAATATGTTTGAAGGCCAAATCCCACCGTCCATCTGCCAGATGACATACATAGAAGTCCTAGATCTCTCCACCAATCATTTCAATGGCTCCATTCCGCCATGCTTGGCTTCACTTGACACCCTTGCTGTGCTGAGGCTAAGAAACAACAAGTTCAGTGGTGTGCTCCCAAAAGGATTGGCACACAACTGCAGTTTGAGAACTCTTGATGTGAATCAGAACCACCTCCAAGGCCAACTTCCAGAATCTTTGGACTTCTGTAAATCTCTGGAAGTGATAGATGTTGGCAACAACTACTTGAGCGGGAACTTCCCAGCTTGGTTGGAGAATTTGCCACTGCTACGAATTCTCATATTGCACTCAAATCACTTTGGTGGCTCCATTGGCTCCCGAACCCCTAATGCCTTCCCTGCACTTCAAATATTTGATGCTTCTTCCAATGATTTCGTGGGTAAGCTGCCTTCAGGATGGTTCAGAAGTTGGAAAGGAATGATGAAGCAAGCTTCTGCAGCAGGATCCCATCAAATGAGCCCAATTCTCAGGTTCAATTACTTAAAGCTCAGTGAATGGTATTATCAAGATTCAGTGATTGTAACCATTAAAGGGGTTGAAATGGAGCTGGACAAGATCCTCACCATCTTCATCCTGATAGATTTATCTGGCAACAGATTTGAGGGGGAAATTCCTGAAACAATCGCTTCTCTCCAGTCCTTGTACCTGCTCAACCTGTCCAACAACCATTTCACAGGCCATATCCCGGCAGTGTTTGGAGAACTCAGTGAGCTGGGGTCGCTGGACCTTTCAGCCAACCGGCTCTCTGGTGGCATTCCCTGGCAACTCACTGGGCTCACTTTCCTGTCAGTGCTGAACCTGTCACAGAATCTGCTCACCGGGGAGATACCGAGAGGAAACCAGTTTGGTACTTTTGGAGAAGGCTCTTATCGAGGAAATCCTGGACTGTGCGGGCCACCATTACATGAATCCTGTTCTGATGTCAAATCCTCGTCTCCACACACCAAACCGGCACAAGCTGGAGGATGGCACAATGTGATTGACTGGGAGTACTACAGAGTTGGGATTGCCTGTGGAGGTGGGACGGGTATCATAGTTGGAATCTTGGCAGCCAACCTCGTGCTTGGGAATGTCTTTGTCTGGCGGAAACCAAGAAGGAGAGTTCGTCGTAAGGCAATTCGTGCCCTATGAAGCGATCTTTGTCTACGTTTATTATCACTCTTTGTGCGGCCACACCATCCTATTACTAGGAGCCTTTCAGTTTCAGTGGTCATAATTTCAGTGTAATACTTGGTGGTCCTAGGCTCTGCATTTAGCATACAGGACCCTAAGAAGTTTTAAGACAGCAAAATGCGTTGGAATATTAGTGTGGTTTATATGTATTGTTGCAGAAAGATTGTGCCCAGAAGATCAAGAGAGAGTCTTACATTAGTCATCGGGATTGCATTCCCATGAACACAGACAGCTTATTCCTCCTTAATCCTTATGAATACCAATCTACACAATTCCAGTACTAATGAGACAGTTTTTCTTTTAGCAATGTCGTAATTCATGTATGACATCTCTAGCACGCTGCTGTATACTTGAACAAGATTCACGCTTTGGCTGCTTCCTTGGCGAGCAAATAGTGAAAACCTGTACGAGATACAGAAACTTTGGTTCTTGATACAGAAGAACAACCTCTCATACGCCAAAGCCCAAACCCATTTTGGTGGCAGAACATGGAAGCAGCGTGGATTCACGAACGCATCAATCGCGTTGTAGAAAGCCCGTAGCTGTAATGGGCCCATGAAGCCCAGAACCAGAACCCGCGGGCTAAGCTCCCTGTATCTCTGCTCCCACGGCCCAGCCCAAGCCACAATCAGGTACTTGACTTACAACATCTCGATTCGAAGTCATGAACCTGTAGAAGAAGAACGATTCGATAAAGAAAAAAAGGGGAGAAGACTGACTGAGAGGAGGGAAACAAATCAAGGGAGGCTGTCGTTTTCGATCGAAGCAGGAGAGGAGATTCATCCGCCCGTCGCCACCGCCGGTCACCGCATCCATCACCTTCTCTACGCTGCCGGTCGATCAGCCATCGCCTGCGGCTTCCGATCTTTGCCGGTCTTTCCTGGCCGTCGTCCACCTCCCCCGGCCGCTACTGCTGCGGGATCGTTCGCCGCTGAAGAGGAGCAGAGAGAGAAGAATCGTCCGCCTCCTGATCGTTATCGCCCACTGTTGAGTCTACTTTCACCGCCGCGATTTTTTTGCTCTCGCCATCCACCAGAAAGTAAAAGAGGTAAAACACTGAAGAGGTGATTGGGAGCGAGAGGTCGGGATCGAAGAGGCTCCTTGCCGGTCAGTTCGTCAACTCTGAACCCGCTGTTAGAGGCCCGTGAAGAGAAAGACGGGATTTTTCCGAAGAAGAAAACCTAGAGAAAGCAAATTCTCTTCCTTTGTGAGTCTATTGCCACTTCTGGCGTCTTCCTAGTTCCTTCAGGTAAAACTAAGCCTAATTGATACTGAAATATTGTCACGGCGTGAATGTGTTGATTGTTTGTTGCTGCCTTGTTTGATGAACTCACAACCATATCAAGATCATGACTTAGGAGTTCGTATTTTTACCATTAGGTTTAAAGTAGTCTGCGTTTGATGGCAATGGTTGTCAGCGATTGTGAAATTTGTGTGGGGAACTGGGTTATTGGCACTAGATATTAGTCTCCCAGACCAATTACTGTGAATGGAATGTCTGTCCGTCAGTTCTAGTGAACTGTTTGTCAATTGATCACCATTATGGGGTTTACTAGGCTAGATATGAAGACAGTCTCCTGCTTTCTACAACCATACTTGAATTGTTGAAGTCATTATGTGATAGAACAAGTGTGAACTTTTTTGGTTGGAAAATGATGTGCTTGTGTAATCCATTACCATTGTGGCTGCCTATCCATGAGTCAAGGAGGGAAATGTTCAATTGATAGGTCCAAATCTCCATGACTTGTTTTGTTTAGATGATGGGATTGAAGCTTTTGATCTTTTGTTAGCTATTTAGCTTTCGACCCTCAATTAGCCATAAAAGATTCGCACTTTCTCAGAGATTTTAGTTGAAACATTGAGATTTCTCTGTCCATTAAATTCCCTACTGATTTTCTAGGCCATACATTGGTGAAATAAGCTTGTGATGTTAAATATGAGGTTTTTCTATTTCAAAATGTTAATCTTTGAGCAAACTGTTCCCTTTCTTTTTTACTTAGAATGTGTTATGACTTATGACACTGAGAAGATGGTGGTCCCAACTTCTTGGTTTAGTCTTTGATTTGTGCTTAACTGTTCCCACATTCTACCACTGTGAATATTGCTGGATGAATAAGAATATATGGCAGGTTGAACACATGTTTTTCCTTGGATTATTACGGTCACTTGGCAAGGGGCTTCGGGGTCATTGATTTGTGCTTTCCTTGGAATGGAATGTGTGAGTCGATTGTGACGAGTGCTGATGATGAAATTAATAGGGATAAAATGTTAGGGATCTGAGCCCGTTGGTTTATGCAATGCCTCCGATGTGTATGACTAATTTGATGAAAAGACAAAGGGCCTATGGGGGTTTTCTTCCATATGTTTGATGATGATTCAATGACAGCAATATTCTGATTTCTGATTGTTGTTCTGATACGGAATTGTATGGAGGAATTACCATCCTTTGCCTTTTCCTGTTACTATTTAAATCCTGAATATTTGCCATTAGTGGGGATTGTAAGCAGTTGAGTCCTGATGTAGCTCTGTCCCTCGCCTCATGAGAGTGCATCCATATTGTCAGTGTTTAATAACAAAATGTGACTGCATGTCATTTCGGTTCACGAACATGTAGTCAACCTTGAATGATTGTTGGAATTTTTATTTGTTTGTTTCCCTGACGATCACAAATTGACTAGCTAAATAATTAAAACCATGTGTGCCTGTTTTCCTGTTGTTGCAGTTGATTGTTCATGTAATGGATGATATGGTGGATAACATGAACAATGCGTATCAGGAATTCGTTGCTGCAGCAGCGAGTGTGCTCGAGACGAAAGAGTTATCCAGTGCGCAGAAGACAATAGCTACCGACAACTCATTGGAGAACTTCAAGCAGAAGTGGGAACTGTTTAGGGTGGCTTGTGATCAAGCGGAGGAGCTTGTGGAGTCAGTGAGGCAAAGGATAGGGAGTGAGTGCTTGGTGGATGAAGCTACAGGAACAGGGAGTGGAGCTGTTAGTGGGAAGCCTGGGCAGAGCGGGCCAACTGGCCTACATCCAATAAGTGCAGTTCGGTTGGAGCAGATGAGCAAGGCTGTAAGGTGGCTGGTCATTGAACTGCAACATGGTTCTGGAGCTGCATCTGCTGCTGGTCATCATCCTCACACTCCTCCGCCTCCTTTTGATGCCAGGTTTTCTGAAGATGCCGCCCAATAGAGATAAGGGTGTAATGCATACTAGCTGCCCTGGAACCTGCTTTGCATCTCTAGGCCATCTGCAGATGGATCGTTGGTTTCTAGATTGCAGAATGTCTTGTTAACTGTTGTGTAGCGAAAAAACAAGGGACATAACATGTTACTAATCTTTGTTATCGATTCAGAATTTTACGTCTCGGTTAAATGGGGTATCCAAAGTGAGAACACCCTTTTGTTTGCTTATTGAACCATAAAAAAGAGGGAATTAGATTAGCAGAGGATAATGATGTTTGGTTGACAAAGTGGAGTAGAGAAACAGTATATAAGCACAAAAGTGTAGACGTCATCCTTCCATTCCATTCATATATGCCCCCAAATTCATCTGCAACTGCTCCAGAAAACACAGATAATTTGAGTGGATGATTATTGATTAGGAAACAGAAAGTTATGCATATGCTTTCATCATCGCATCGCACTCCCTCAAACAGTCAGCATGCAAACTACCTGATTGATCTCCCTCGCAGTTTATGATACTTTGGCTTAGCTGTATGGGCTGTTGCATCAATTAGGTTACGTGGGTCTTGCAGTTCGTGTGAGTGACCTTCACAGTGCAAAACCTTCATGTCATTGTTGATTTCTTTTGCTTGAAAAGATATATGTCTTTGTTGTTTGTTGATGCGAATGCTGGTGGTCAAAACTACCTGCACTTTAAATTTCCGCATCACGACACCACGTTACATGACAAACCCATTACATTGTAGCTAGCTACCAAGCTCGTAGAAGACTGAATACGTTACACCCTTTACACAATATAATTATTATTCCTCCTTTCTAGTAGAGTGGTTAGAGCAGTTGCAGAAAAGGAATGGAACCCTTTATTCCTCCCTATATATCAACATTACCAAATCCAACCCACCTGCAGGCTGCAGCCACCACCCCCAAACTCCCAATATTTATCACTCAATCCATCCGTCATATAGCCAGAAAAACAATGAAGGAGAAGGACTCCTCCTCTAAGCCCACGTGGCGCCCTCTCACGGCGAAATCGTGCTGCGCGGTCAACGAAGGCGACACCCTGTTCTGCGGCAACTTCAGCCGGTGCCGGCCGTCACGGTCGGAATTCTCGAAGAACGTGGCCCCGCTGCCGTCGTTCAGGAAGCTGTCGTTCTCCGACGTCAGCAGGTCGTCGTCGGTGAGGATAGCGGAGGATCTGGCCCAGTCGTTCGGGCCGGACCTCTACGACTTCCAGCTCAGCGAGCTGCGGGCCGTTACCCAGAACTTCTCGGCCCATTTCTTGTTAGGGGAAGGCGGGTTCGGGCGGGTGCATAAGGGGTACGTGGACGAGAGCTTGCGGCATGGGCTTAAGGCCCAACCTGTTGCTGTGAAGCTCCTCGACATTGAAGGCCTCCAAGGCCACCGTGAATGGCTAGTAAGTGGTTAACTACTTAACTGGTAATTTATTCCTTAAATCAAATTTACCCATTTGCTTAATGAATAATTAATCCTCGATGGTTTACGTTTGCAGGCAGAAGTGATATTTCTAGGGCAGCTTCGACACCCAAACTTGGTGAAGCTGATAGGGTACTGCTGCGAGGAGGAAGACCGTCTGTTGGTCTACGAGTTCATGCCCCGGGGCAGTTTGGAGAATCATTTGTTCAGAAGTACTCCCCGATTTATATTAATCTCTCCATTTGGTACCTCGCGTAGAATTAACTTAAATCCCAATTAATACTCCGTACTTATATACATACATTATATAATTGCGCGCAGGATTATCAATGACGTTGCCATGGGGAACAAGATTGAAGATAGCGATCGGCGCAGCCAAGGGCTTGGCCTTCTTGCACGGTGCCGAAAGTCCGGTGATCTATCGCGACTTCAAAACCTCCAACGTCCTTCTTGACTCCGTAAGTGTTACATATTAACATTCTCCTTATTCGTAAAATGTTACGCATCATATAGTATTAGATAGAAAGCAATTGTTGAGATTCTTTCTTGGGCTGGCTGGCAGGATTTCACGGCGAAGCTGTCAGATTTTGGGCTGGCGACGATGGGCCCAGAAGGATCAAAATCCCACGTCACCACCCGGGTGATGGGAACCTACGGCTACGCAGCGCCCGAGTACGTCTCCACGGGCCACTTGACGACCAAGAGCGACGTCTACAGCTTCGGCGTCGTTTTGCTGGAGCTGCTCACGGGGAGGCGGGCCATGGACAAGTCGAGGCCCAAGCCCGAGCTGAACTTGATCGACTGGGCCAAGCCATACCTCAGCGGAGGGAGCAGCAGGCGGCTCCGCTACATCGTGGACCCGAGATTTGCCGGGCAGTACTCGGTGAAAGGGGCCAGGCTGCTGGCCCATCTGGCGGCCCAGTGCGTGAGCTTGAACCCAAAGGACAGGCCCAAAATGCCGGCCGTCGTCGATGCTCTCGTAGCTCTCCAGCAGTACGGCGACATGGCTGTGAGCTGCGGTCAGTGGCCGCCGTCGGCCAAGTCTTCCTCCAGGTTTGGGGCTTCCCCTAATACCAAAGGTAGGAGGATGGTCGACGGCAGCCGAGGTTCTGGCTACCGGAAATCGGCTCCGGCCGCCGCCACGGCGAAGAAGGTGTAGCAAGGGCTGGTTTTGGGTTCGAGGGGAGTGGTGTCAAAGTGTAAATTATGGTACTTAATTTGTGTCTTAGTTCTTGCGTGATCCTCCTACTTCTGCTTTGTAAATATGTATGGAGGTACTTATTTGTATATGTACGTGTATGTGGCTTGTATTTTGGGTTTTGGCATTTCGAGTGCAAATTATGATCAGCCATATATCATGAAAATTTAGCAGTAATGTTGGTTGATCAATTTATTTTCTTGACCAACTTTTGCTTCAACTTTCTAGAGATTTTAAGTAAATATAGTTTTACTATTATTACAAGTGGTCTTACTACCATTATAACTTATAAGTGTGGTCTTGCTACCATCTTATGTAGGGGTGCAATGGTTTGGGCTCGGTCCGATCGGGATGAAATTCACGAGACTCGCGGTTCAATAGTGAAAGACATTTTAGGATCAAAGACTGAACCAACATTGTATTCGTTGGTTTGGTCTAGTATATAAATCAATTCGGTACATTTTCTCCAGTTTGATAAAATTTTCAAAACCAACGCCCGAATCACATGATTTTGCGATCCTATATGTCTCGATCCAACCGTCATTTTAATCCGACCACATAGTACAAACCAAAATTTTGCATACCGTTAAGTTTAGGAAGTTTTGTGATGGTTATAACTTATAAGTCATGTTCTACTTTGTGAGATTTAGGGATGGCAATGGGTCGGGTTGGGGCGGGTTTTGTCAAACCCAAACCCAAGCCCATGGGTTTATCCGCCAAAAAAATTCGGGGTAAAACCCGTTGGGTTTGAAAAACTCAAACCCAACCCGCTGGGTATCCGCGAGTTCATGTACCCGTGGGTTTTTGTGGTAAAAAATTTACAATAACAAGTTTCTTTCAAAATAAAAGTTTAACATCAATTTTCTCATACAAATTAATCATACAAAAAAACACAAATCTAGAGCATACAAGCAAACCACAAATGATCAATACAAATTTTCAAAATTAAAGATAAACATCTATAAGCAAAAGATTAATTGAAAGCTTCTTCCTCGTCAACTAAGTTTCTTCACTCTCCACTTCATAATATCAACTTCATTCTAAACAATTAGAAAGAACAAATTATACATGTCTCCACAAACATAAATAATATTAATTGTTTAAGGAAGATATATTATTTAGAATATTAAATATACCGGGAAAGTAATTATATTTGTGTGGGCGGGTACTCATGGGTCGGGTTTACCTAAACCCAAACCCAACCCGACCCGGTGAATAGTGTAGCGGGTTTAAACCCTAACCCGGCTCAAAACCCGTCAACACAGGTTTTACCCGCGTTGACCGGGTTGGGTCGGGTGGGTACCCGTGGGTTCGGGTTTTGTTGCCATCCCTAGTGAGATCGGCACCGACGCGACACCTTCATTTCATAATTGCCCATCAAAACTGGCGGGGGCCATCTAAGATTGTGAAAGTGGGGTCACATTTTCAAAAGTCCGCAAAAAGCCAAAAAGTAGCAGAGAAAGAGCACGATTTATTTCTCCTAGATAGCCGTTAAAAGCTAGCCACTGCAAGCACAGCAGCAGAAGAACGCTCCCCCGTTTGCCTAAAACTCGATCATCGTCTTCACTTTCACACGCACCGCCCCCCAGCTCCACTCATGGCTTCCTAGAAAGGCTCGCAAAAAACCAGTAATCCCACTCACTCACTTTTCCCTTACCTTTCTACCTAAAAGAGAAATGGCGGATTTTGACTTCGGGAACCTCTCCGACACCGACGATTCCGCCGTCGACGAGCTCATCTCCCAGACCCAGGACCTCTGCGTCCTCGAACAAGTCTCCAAAATCAACTGCTCCGGCTTCAACGATTCGCTTCTCCCTTCCGATTTGGAAACCCGCTTCCGCAAGCTCAAATCTTTCCCTGCTTCCTCAACCAGACCCGCCGCCCCTGCCGCTAGTACCGGTGTCGTCCCCAAATCCATCTCCAATTCGAAGAGCGAGCTTCATCGTCGAAGCGGAAAAGGGTTTGACGAGGGAGTTGAGAGCCATTCTGATGAGGGAAGAGTGAACCCAAGCGATGGGCAAGTGCCAAAAATGGCTGCTGCCGCGGCGAAGGCTTCTTCTTCTCCCCTGAATTCCTCGAGTTCTTCGGCGGATGAAGAGGGTTTCTCGGAGAATCCAGTTCCGGTGAAGGATTCCAGGAAGCAATTCAAACGTGGGTCTGTTTCCTCTCCTTCTGATTCTTCCAATTCATGTATTGAAGATGTTATTTACTCTCAATCTGAAGAAAATGCGGTTAGGATGATGAGGAAGAGCTCCAATTCGAACTCAAAATTGAAGTCGAAGCCGTTCATTGGTTCTCCTTTGGGGTTGTCCAATTGTTCCCGGGACTCGCCTTCTCCTCCACGTAAACCAGGATGTTTTTGGTGCTCTCCCAAGAAACCCACCAGGAAGAAGAGTAAAGAGAACTGGGATCTGGATTTGGATTGGGGAAACGATGGAGGAGACGAGTTGTTGTCTGATTTAGGAATATTTTCAGCTAAAGAGCAGGAGAAGATAATTAGGAAGGCCATGAAAGAAGAAGAGAGAATCAACAAGGAGGCAGAGAAAATTGTGAAGTGGGCAAAACAAGCATCGGCAAGGATGAGCTACCATCACAGGACTGAAGAGGATGATGATGGTCTAAGTGATGATGATGATGATGTGACTTCAAAATAGTTAGTTCGTTCCTAAATGGTTTTATAAGAGGTTAAAAGGCTTAACTATTCCTTTCCCAACAACTCGAGTTATTGGGATCAAGTGGTTAGTTCGCTAACAGGTTTTGCTTGCATATCATATCAATTCCATACATGGAAGAAATGGTGGATACGGTATACAGATATAGTAGTATTAGTATGTGTGTAGAACAAGCATATAGTCGTGATTACCTTCTAATCTCTCTTTTGGTTGTAATGCTTACTAAAACTGGGTGCCTTGTGAAATGCTATGTGTTTGTGCTCTTCTTGTGCCAATTTTGCTGTCTTGAATTTGCTATCCTTGGAACGAATTGATTGGAAACCAGTTGATGTTTGATGGTTAGTATAGTTAGAGCTCTGTTGGAACAGCAAATATGCTTGCCCTTTGTGAGTATCTGGGTGCTGTAATTAGTGTGAAGAAAAGTAGTCTCAGACATTGCTTGAGCTCTGGAACAGAAGAAGTCATTATGAATAATGAGCTAAATTTCTGCAATCAATTCCGTAAATTTACAGTTTCAAACAGGTCTCTTCCTCTCTTCTAACCCGTGTATCTATAAAAGAATACATACAGAGCCTTACAAGGGATGCAATTATTGTTCCAGCATTCCATCAACAATAATACACATTACAGAGATTGGACAGCACCAGCACATGATGGTGTGTGGGAAGAAATTAAGATACATCATATACAATACAACCGACATTTCGTACACCGACTCTTCTTCTTGTTGGGTTTTTTTTTATGGGATTCAAGACTTCGACGATGAGTCTGTTTCCAACCTCATGTTTGCAGGTGCTTTCTCTTCTTTCTGCACGTAAGCGGAAGGGAACCATCCAGCCTTCCCTCTGCATTCCCCTTCCGACCAACCCGTAGGGGCCACCTGGAGCAAAACCAAACAGAAGCAAGAACTTAAGACATGGGAACTATGTCGATAAGAGTGAGGGCAAGTTTCAAGCTGCAACTGCTGCAGTACCTGCCGAACTATGACATAGTCATTGACCGATAGACTCAATTCCCCTTCTGCGTCTGCATCAAATGGGTGTACAACCTGGCAAGATGTTTGACAAGTTGAGAACAAAGAACAAAAATTTATCCACCTGTTCTAGCTAATGGAGAATGGACCGAGAGCAAGAACAACAGTGATGAACACGGAATGGCAGATAGTTCCCTCAATGACCTACCTTGGCTATGAATAGTGCATCCTTTAAGCTAGTAGCATCGTCTGTTGTTCCATTAGTGATACTGTACTCCTGCTGAGTTGGAAGATTAGCTTCTTTCTCTGCAGCCACTGTTTGTGAAGTGGACTCATAGGATTGCTCCTCTGAAGTCATCTATCCGAATTAGCACACATGTGCATTATGCCAGTCAGAACCTCTTTCAGAATGGGCAATTGGGCATAAATAGAAAAGCATTGAAACAAAGATGAACGCTGCTGAAACATGAGTCAAACATGGTCTGGCGAAAACAGTTTATGAAACTAGTGGCCAATGAGCTATATAACAAAAAATGTAGATTCAAGTGAACATCTACAAACCTCAGCATGCAGCTTTTCTAGGATACCAAGAACATGTTGATGATAGCATCTCTCTGCATCCACCTGAAATTGAAGTTTAATGTCCATATGAGGGAGTAAACGAACCAGAGCTTGATCCAGTGCAGATATCATCACACAGTTTATATCCCCCCATCTTTAGTTCCAGCTCATACTGATACTGAGCTGGTTGTTTACAAGGAAATCAGTTGCTGAGACAGTAACTTACCATGGCAAAGAGCCGCTGACTCGTGATCTCTTGCTGTTGATTTTCAACCGAAGACATGGCATCAGTTGCTTCTCTCCCAAGTGCCACCATACTAGATTTAAGCTCGGTCAACCTAGTTTCAGCAACTCGGAGCTTCATGGAATTCTCTGCAGTTATATCAGAATCCTTAGTCTTTGAGCGACGCCTCATTACATCGGCAGCCTGAAGAGACAGAGAGAGAATATAATGAAAAGAAAAAAGGAAAAGCTTTGAAATAGCCCTGTCAGATAACCACACTAATAAGATATCACCTGAGCCTCAACTTCCTGGCGAAGCTTGTCATACCGGTGCACCAAGTGACGAGCATCCTCCAGAGGGGCTCCAGTTATTAACGCCCGGAGCGGCTCAGAAACCTAGACATTATAGATCTGTAATCCAATTAGAGAAACAAACTAATAAACTCAAAAATCTAATATCTGTAGCACGACTTGCTACCTTAAAACTGCAAATAAGTTATTCATCTTTTGGTTCTTATCCTAAGCAACAGACATGACCATAGGGATGTGTTCTAGTTGTCAGTGGCATAAGAACTGCAGTTACACAGGTTCACTTGGTAGTTCTATATCATTTGAAATGTACAAAACAAATGCAGGGATGTATCGGCTGAGAATAAGTTCAGTTATGCTTTCGTTTCATAAAGTGGGCTCCATCCAAGGGAATCACATTATGCTCTTCTATAAAGGCTCACAGCATCAGATGAATGACTTACCTGACCACTAAGAACCCCAAGCAATGTTTCTCTTTCACCCTCCATTGAAGTGTGCGAGGCACCAAATTGACTAACAGCTTTGGAAACATGAGGATCTGTGCATTGTCCATCATCTCCATATTTGCAACAGTCAACAGCCAACTTTCTTGCTAAATCAAGGAACTCAGGCGTCAAAAGTGACAATCTTATGGAAGAGACGAGTGCAACAGTAATAAAGCTCTACTAATACTGACCTATCTCCATTTCCTTCGAACCCACAGAAATGTAACCTTCAACTCCACGAACTATGTTCTTCTGTAAATGCTGCAGGGGGGAAACAAATTTCGAGTTCATATAGATTGAAACTGTATTGCAAAGCTCATGGGTCAACATCTTTGTGGACATATCAGAGCCAATATCAGCAAAAGTAGAGATCTTTGAAATATAGTTATGAAAGAGGGCACTGTCGTACCTTTGCTGTCCTAGTAGAATTGTACAGGTTTTGTAGATGTTGGTAACATTGCAGCTCAGCTTCATCGAGAACTATAGAATCTTGTCCAAAATGTCCCAAATGTTTCAGTACTGCCTGTAATAATACCATTCTATATAATAAGTCAACTAATTTTGTCTCGCTTGGTACCTTTCTATTTACCTCATTCCCACTCAACATCGAATCATACACATAGAGCTAGGTACATCAGAAGCAATATAGGGAGATTGTCGAATGATTCAAAATCAATTTAACTCTGGTTCATACATTTAAGGTCGAATTCAGCAATACCAAGATGAAGACAATGACCTTCCACCGGAGGCCAGAGCCAATTTATTTGGCAGCTTTATCACTACCCACATTCTGGTTTTCGTTCGTGAAGAAGATAACTTTCAAATTTCAACCCAAAAGCTTGCTAATTTGCTATAGTAATCGCTTTCAGCTCTCAATTACTTCATAATGGCAAGTCAATCGGTGAAACTAACTGGTGGCAAGGAACCTCCTTACAGAAGGACCGATAGTGCAAATCTCTTCCCAATTTTTAATACTACAACAAGGTTCTGAGCCCAGTTTAAGGATTGAAAATGAGTCAATGTCCCCCGAAAGTAGATCCAATAAAGGAATTTGTATAAAGGGATGAAAGATGACAAAAAAGAGGTTTGGACCGATTGAGACCTGGCCAGTTAAGCATGGTATGAATGAGGGACTAGTAACAACTAGAAAGGTTTCACATTAAAGATCGAGAGAGACCAAGAGAGGAAACCACTCCCACTTTCTGCCCAAATTCACAAATAACAGTTATCATCAATGAAACTAAACCACAACCAACCTAGCTTTGGACCTACAGCTAAAGCACACAGCGAATTCCAAGAATACAAAGTTTTCAATTAAAAGAGTAACCATCCAAAAGGGGAGCAGAATCCAAAGCCAGCTCTTACTGTAGAATTTTCAGTGAAGATGAGTGAAGTATAGTAAGATGGTCCGTATATCAAAAAGAGGAACAGTATTTATTGGGGAATTGAGTTGCGAGCCCCTTTCTGGGAAACCAAAATCAAAACCCAGCAAAAGAAAGGAAGGAAAGACCTGTTGCTGCTTGGCAACTTGCTCTCTTAGCTTAGCAGCTTGCTTCTTGATGGCTTCCATGGTCAGCGCTCCCGCCCTCCAAGCGCCTCAAACACCCTTCTACCAGCTCCACCTACTAAGTAACCACCCACTCCAGGAAACAAAAGTTTTGGTCTCTGCGGCTAAGGTTTCTGTTGGGTGGAGATGGGGCGAGATTTCTTATTGGCGAATCTCTGTCTACGCGGAGAGAAAGCTGAGAGAGGGAAAAGTGAGTAGAAAGGTGGGGAAGGAAGAAGAAGACAGACAGAAACAGCGGGAGAAGAGAGGAGAGGGGGAAAAGAGGGAAAGCAGTAACTGTCCTTTCTGTCGGGTAACTCATACATAGATTCAGCCCATAAACCAAAAATCCTTCTTTTCTCGGATTAATTAACAAAATCTCCTAATGAATTGAATAATTTTACATAGTTAGACTTTAGAATAAAATTTGGTCATCTGGATGATATTGATATCTTTTTAAAGTAGGTAATCGGCTCTGGACAGTGAAAAAGCAATTGTATTTTCTTCCTCCAAATTTGCAGCTCAATTTATAGCTTATATTTCGAATGTTCAAATTGTGCATCCAAAAACAAAGTTTTTACAACCAAAACAAACATAATTTTACTAATAAATTAAAGGCAGTCTTAAGTAACAAACAAATAATGACCTCGTTTTAAAATCCGATTATGCGCCTTAGAGTGAGCCTTACAGTTTGTTCAAACCCCTCTTAAAATATGTTACACACTTCGCGAGATTACATAGCAGCCCGTAAAGTCATAAAAACTCGAGAAGGAGTTGTTTTAACTTGTCCCGAGTATGCACATATCCAATATAAGTAAATCATCACCAAAACGCAAGTTAAACAGTTAAATAAACATTATTATATTGTGGATACTACGAGCAGTCTTAACTAAAAATGATGGAAAAATATTTCATGTTGATGGTAAAGAGAGACGATGGTAAAGGGTTACCGTGGAGCAAACCCTTTTGAGCATGAAGTATCCACATGACTCTTAGTTGACATCATATGTGAATCCAAAAAACAAACTTATCCCAACAGCCCATTACATACATGACCATAAATAATAAATTACAATCCATGGAGTAAAAGCTCTTGTTACATTTACTTTGATTGCACATATAGACGACACTCTTTCTATGACAACTACTAAACACCGTGCAAAAAAAGAAAAGTGGACGAGTTCATCAATACTTGGCACGACTCTCTCTAATCTCTTTGTAAATGACTCAACAACTTGTTTATTAACCCAAGTGTGGTAAGAACACGTGTCTTTATGGTCAACAAGTTTCGTACCATCTACCCAATTCTTCGAATCGATCATATTTATACCGATGCTTCTTTGATTCGATATTTCCTCCGGGTTGATGACCTCATTGAAATCGAATGAAGATTCATAACCTTAACACTCCTCATTTCTTCAATTTGTTCTTCTATTCATATTCCATTATTATTCGGGGGAAAACACCCAAATAGACTAAATTGGATGACTATTAAAAATGAGGTACTTAATCGAAAATCCATTCTCAGTTTGCCAAGCATTTCCTCCGCCGGCCGTTTCTTCTCCATATAGCGTCCAGCGTCGGCCTTCCTCCGCTTCCTTTGCAGGTCGCCAAGCATTGCCGCCGGCCATTCTCAGTTCCCACCTGCTAGTGGCAGAATGAAAGCATTCTCCACACAATCACTCTCCATTTCTGCGTTGCCTCCGACTCCTACTCCTCTTAATCGAAACCCTAATCGTTTCTCCTCTTCTTCTCCCAATCCCAACTTTCCGCGTCTCAATTCTCCCTCCCCCATCCCCACCTTCTTCCTCCACCGACGGAGAACAGTACCACTCGCCTTCTCCGATCACCGGGCGGAAGAACCTCCCGCTACTCCGTCACTTCCGACTGTCTCCATATTTGTTGCTGCGGCATCAGCTCTACTCTTTCTCCGTCTCTCAGGAATCCCCGTCTGCCCTGCTGCAATCGCCGCCGCTCGTCCTCTCCCTGCATTATCCGCGCCAGGTGATCGAATTTTTGTTTTTTAATTGGTACGATAGTAAGCTTAATCAGAAAAAAATCATTAATTTGGAGGGAATTACCTATTATCGATAGTTTGAATTTTGGTGGTTTGTCGTGAGGTTTCAGACGATTCAGCTCATCCGGATGATGCAACTTCATCTGGGAATGGAGAGAGAGTTGAAGTTGATGAGGAGCTTGAAGCTGCATTCGATACTTGGAAGTCGAAGACATTTGCTTTATCAGTTCCTCTACGTGTTGTTGCTCTTCGTGGCTCAGTTCCCCCCTCATGGCTCAAGGTAGTAGTAGACTAGTAGTTTGTATTTAGCCTCCATGTACCCTTATTTCGATCCAGTTTAGTTGGGTTTTCTTAGATTTCAAAGATCACTGTTCACGCTGCAGGATTTCATCCAGTCTCAGAGCAAGAGGTTAAAGTTCAGCACCAAGTTTGTACCAAGTCTTGAGAGCATCTTTGCTGATCTATCGGTGCCAATAACCGACACGAAACGCAAAGTTGCTGCAACGTCTGTTGTGGCTGCTGATTTAGTAAGTGTTGGTGACTCCTGGCTGAGTTATGCAATCAAAAGGGGAATGATCGAGCCAATGAATGGGGTGGAGGATCAGGATTGGTTTAAGGGCTTGAGCGAGAAATGGAAGGTAATGATGAATTGAAACCTTTTGGTGTATGAAAACTTCCTACCACCATAATAACTGTAATTTGATTTTCGTCGTCATGCTTTGGGATAGAATTGAAATCATTTGGATCAATGGAAATATGGAGATAAGGTCATGTTAAGAAGGCATTCCCGTGTAAGGTTGCTATAGCATCCTTTAGATTCTTATTATTGCTGAGAACTGACTACAACCGACTAGGTCATTATTGATTGAAAGATAAATAGATAAGACCCACATGCATAAGCATCACTTTGTGGCAGGAGTTGGTTAGGGTGCTGAACAGGATTTTGTTACCATAGTGTGACCACTGTTGAATTTGGATGCCTCTCAGATAGCTGTGGAAATTGACAGATATTTATTTATCAGCACGTTCTCGCTAGCTTCTTCATATTTACCATGTGAGAGAATTCACTCGATCTTTCTGCTGAACTTGTCTTAGGTATATGTTCGCAGGAATCATCAGGGCGAAATGGATCCTGAAGGTCAGATATGGGCTGCACCATATCGATGGGGTGGTATGGTTATAGCATACAAGAGAAGCAAATTTAAGGACCATAAATTGGCTCCAATAGAGGTAATGCATTTTGTTATTGGCACAATGGAGCAGCCTTTTTCTTAGATATGGCTTGAAAGGGAGGCATAGTATTCAAATTTGGCGACAACAGCGTTGTAGTGAAGTATAACACATGTTTAACTAATTAATGCTACATACATGCATTAAAAATTCATCTTAATCCTAAACATATTGCAGAATTACTGTACTTGCTCTTCATGAATGTTTATTGAGGTTAACCATATAAAATAGTTCATTTGCTCCAGGACTGGGCAGATTTATGGCGGCCTGAGCTTGCAGGCAGGATTTCAATGGTTGATTCTCCTCGAGAAGTTGTTGGTGCAGTCCTAAAATATATGGGTGCCTCCTACAACACAACTGACATGAACTCACAAATCGCCGGAGGAAAGAATGCGGTGCTGCAGAATCTGGCGTCACTAGGGAAACAGGTAACTCTGATTTTGATCCTTAAACCTCAGGCTTTTCTAATGGTTAAGCAATAAACATAATGACACTGTTTCACAAATTTTTTCATATAAAAAAGGTACCAAGTAGTTGAAGTTAATAATTCGAGTAGCAGTAACTCGCATCTTACTTGAAGATATTCGAATCCAGGTCCGACTATTTGACAGCACGCACTATCTAAAAGCATTTGGAGTGGGAGATGTATGGGTAGCGGTTGGGTGGAGCAGTGATGTTCTTCCTGTCGCAAAGCGTATGTCGAATGTTGCAGTTATTGTCCCCAAGTCTGGGACTAGCTTGTGGGCTGATCTGTGGGTAAGTCTTGAACAGTGCCCATCTCCATCCATATCACAGTTGTCTTACATTCCCATGTCCTTCCTTAGCAGAAAAATCGTATTATTCTTTCCCTTGCAGGCTGTCCCAGCGACTTCCAGGGTTGAAGCAGCAAACCAGCTCGGCGGAAGAGTCAGAGGGCCATCTCCACTAATTCACCAGTGGATCGAGTTCTGTCTGCAGAATGCAAGAGCATTGCCCTTCAAGCAGGAGGTAATCCCTGGATCAATTCCCTCGATGCTCGACAGTAACTGTCAACCCGAAATGCCTAAAGAGCTCGACGAAGGCAAACCCAAACTCGAGTCGAATCTCGTTGGTGGAGCACCTTCTCCCGAGATTTTGAGCAAATGCGAGTTCCTGGAACCGCTATCTGAATCCGCGGCTTCAGATTATAAGTGGCTTGTTGGTAGCATGCAGAGCGCTGATGATGGCCTAGCTGGATTGATCAGTAGGTTGCAGAATGACATGTTTTCTGCCGTTCGAACTTTTGGTACGAAGAAGCAGCAGTCAGAGTCCTAGACAGTAAATGTGCTTATGATTCAACATTATTTTGAGTTGGCTATCCAAACCTAAGCAAGTTGAAAGGGTGAAATTTTGGGCCGTGAGCTTGGCCTGGGTCAATTAGCGTTCGGGGTCTAAATATGGCGGGATCTTATGGCCGTTGTAACGGGCAGTTGGGTTTGACCCTAGGAACCCATTCTGACCCAAACTAACCGACTCGAGGAAAGAAATTTGACCCAGACTAACCGTTGGTCGGTTGACACGAACGGAACGTCGGGATCCACACGTGAGAAGCAAAATAAGATTGGGCTACGTGAAATGACGTCGTATTCGAATTTTAATTCGTTTTTGCCTGGGATCAAAACACAGCGCAGCACAGGCGAGAGCATCTTTCTTTCGCTCTTCCCCACCGGCCACCATCACCAACTTGCACATTCCCAATAATTAAAAAACTCAGAATTTTATGGAATTTTTTTTATTAATAAATGTGGGTATTTGACCAAGTTTTTTCAATGGGAGAACCCATTTAGTTGGTTTGATTTTAAAGAACTCCGATCCAACTCGTCTCATTGTATTTATAAAAAAAAAAAAAGGTGTAGACCTGTAACATAGATAGACCCATATCAAGCAGCTTCTGGAGCTAACCTCAAAGCAGGAAAGAAAAGTAAATAGAGAGGCACATGTCTCAACAACACAAAGCGAGGGTTTCGCTAGTTATAGGACTTGACCAAACATCTCACGACACGAATTGACGACAGACATGCAACACTTGTATGAAAGTCAGTATCTTCTCATTAAGGGCAGGTTTTGTTGTTCATATGTCAAGGGCTAGTGAGCGGATACCACCCAGATGCATAATATACCATGCCAGTTGATCCTCGTCGTCGAATGCATCTATAAAGCTAGCTTCTAGTGTCCAAACTGTCAACCTAATTGGAGATCCTCAATATCCCCTCTGTGTGTTCCGCACGAGTAATCGAGCAACTTTTTAAATTGATGGTGTAGGCACAAATAATAGATCCTGTCAATCCCACATCGTCATAATACCAACCATTGTTCTCACAGAAGAATAGTATGATACGAATGATCCATCTAAATTCACTATGACTCAATCCGATGATATCAACCTCCATCCCACAAAAAAAATATATATATATATATATATATATATATATAATATAAAATTTATCGTTTCCCCCCAAAATTAAAAAGGAAAAAAAAGAAATAATTTTGGGAGAACACTTTCTTGATTTTTCTCTTTTTTTTTATTCCTTACCTAAATTATTATTTCGTGGAGGGGTTTTCCTCTCTGGATTTTTGTTTTGGGTTTGGTATATCGCTTTACAGCTCACACAGACAAAAACACATTAAGCTGCCCTCTCTCACTCCCTCCTTCCTCTTCTCCTTCTCACACTTCCTCCATTCCTTTTCCTCTGCTGCGCTTTGCCTAATCTCTTCTTCTTCTTCGTCCATTCTTCCGCAGATCGAATCTGTAACAGGGTAAGCAACCTCCTTCCTTCTCCTCCCCTTTTCCGCTCTTTCTCCCCAATGTGACTGCGTGCAATTTCCTCTCTTCCCTTTCCATGGATTTCTTCTCCTCTCTCTTAATATATTCCATTTTTGCTGCATGGAATTCCTGCCCTTTTCCGTTTCTTTTGGTCTTTAGCTTTTAGGCGTTTCTCAGCTTTACCATTTCCGATTCCGTTAAGTTTACCACTCTGTGACCAGTGATTTTTAAGACTGTTTCTTCTTGAGCTGGGAATTAGGTCTTCTAAAGACACCATCAGCCTTGCTTGATTCTGCCTTTTGCTCTCCAATCAGCTGCTGCTCCTCGCCTTTTGCTTTACTTTCTCGCTTCAGCTTGATTCTGTTACTCCATTGGTCAAGGGAAAAGTTGGGGTAGGGTTGGTTTTCACTGTTTGGACTCATAATGAGGGCTGCACAACTTTGAGCTCTGTTCAAGGGGAAGGATATCAGTTATTTTTGGGGAGGGGAGAAAGATTCTTTGTTGAATGTGTTCGATTTTCAGTCTAAGTGTCAGCAGTTCATGTCCTTATCTTTTTTTGGAAAAAGCATGCGAATTTGGCAATGGTCGGTGGCTTGTAGCTGCTCAATAAGCACTGGCTGTGAGTTTTAGCTGCACATACGGTTCATGAGGCTTCAACTGGTTTAAACTAGCATCGCTTAAACACTCCACCCCCACTTCTGCTTTCCTTTGGAAACTACAAGGAATTGTACTTGTTTATATCCGCTTGTCTCATTCTCATGGGTGCTTATGTTTTGGAGTTAGCAATTTGATTGCTGCTGCTACTATTACTATTCATTTTTTGCCATTATCATTATTGATGTCCCTAATGAACCAATTGTGTGGATAAAGAATGCTGCTTTTTAGTGGTCAGGCTAAGGTTGATAGGGAAAATAACAAGGGTCTATGATTTAACAGTTGAAATTTTATTCTTTCTCTTGTGGGTTTGGCGTTCCTCAACGGAACCGAGCCTCGTAGCCATCTCTTGTTTTCTCTTCTTCTGTTTTTTTCCCCTTCTGTTCTTGAACTCTCTCTATTCTTATTTAGTTTCATTTGTTTTCTCAGGTTGCTGCGGAAGGATAGTACTAGCAACTGAGCCCCGATCCAAGAGAAAAGTAAATTTTAGTGATCGCTATTGCTTTATCTACCATAACTTGATCTGGTAAAGTTCTTATGCGTCACAGTTTTTGCTTCATGTTTCTTTGGACTTATGGAATATATGTTATAACACGAGAGGAGAGTTGTATTGGTGATCGTATTAGTAAATACGTAGAATGGTTCAGAAAGCCAAAACAACGAGCAGCTAGTTTCTTAACTTAGCTGAACAGAACTTGACATATCTAGTGTTTGATATCTCTCTCTATTTCTCTCGTGCAGGAAACACTTTTCTTAACTATCCAGCTGCAGTATGTCGTACTTGGACTGAAAACAGATGTTTCAGAGAAAGCATTCTGAAGCTGGCCTGTTTGATGATTCCTGCTGGGTGTACTATGCTTGACAAGTGCCACTATGGCCAAATGTCAGATGATACATCTAAGGCCTTGGCTTGCTTCTACCCTTGTGCTTTACATGCTTTTACAGAATGGCGGAGCTATCAGTCCCGATGGTAATGTTATTCGGCTGATCCATTTACCATTTCTTTAGTTAAAGCAGCTTTAGGTCATTGTAGTGAAGTTTCTAAAGAAACACTTTCCGTCCTGCATATTTTGATGAGAATCTTTATCGTTGTGTGTTAGTCTTTTCATTTTCCCAAAACGTTTACGTTCAGTAGATGTCGAACTTAGTTATAAAGAGCCATTTAACTTGCTTCACATTGGAAATATAGCGTTTGTGATCTGAAACACATTCCTAGACTGCACCTGAAATTTTGTCACTGTTTCATCTCTTTCTGAACTTGCTAGAGTAACTTCGTCGCTCTCTAGCTAGGTGTTTCTTCCTCTGCATGCGGGTTTCTATAAAATATTTGTGTAAAGATTGAAAACAGAGCCTTTTTTTTACCATTACATGCTCTCTTATATGTGATTACTTCTGGGTGCTGTGCCGGTGCTTGTAATTTAGAAACTGATGTCAGTTTTATGGTTTGTGCAGGTGAGGCACTTCTAAGTTTCAAAAATTCCATTGTTGGGTCAGACACTGTACTTTCATTTTGGAGGCCAGAAGATCCCGACCCATGTGGTTGGAGAGGTGTAACTTGTGATCGGATAACCAAGAGAGTGGTATATTTGTGAGTGTAGAAATCTTAATACTTACTTATTGATTGATTTGGATTTATTTTTTGCTTGAGTAGTGCTCCACGTGCTTTGTTTGATTGCTGTAGTTGATTCATATTTGTCAGTGATTCTTAATGCTATCATGGTTGTCCCACATATACTGGATAGCTCCTTTGGTTTGTCGTTATCTATTGTCACTTCTGCTACCAAGGACAGGGAGTTGTGAGTGAGTGAGTGGGCATGGGATTGATTTTGTGTCTGAATGGGCTTCTTTGCGTTTCTCATTCATTGTTCATTTCGGGATGTAGAATCTCGTTTCTGTATATGTAGGAAATGCAAAGATTTGTTATTTTCCATGCTCAAATCCTCATATGCTTTTTATGCAGTTCATATTGCAGAATGTAAGTGCTCACTTTGTCCATGTGAGTTTGTTGGACATATATTTGACTGTGGTAAGTCATTGATGCAGGAGTCTGAAGGACCGCAGGTTGAGTGGACCTATATCAGCTGACCTTGGGAAGCTAGACCGCTTGAGGATTCTGTATGCAGTTTGCTGATTCACTACTTTATTACTTCTAGCTTACTATTTACTCTTATTTGTTTGTGACATGGTTGTGATTAAATTTCCTTCTATAGGGCTCTATATAACAATAACTTCTATGGAAATATTCCTTCTGATTTGGGAAATTGCACCGAGTTACAGGGATTGTAAGTGTCTCTAATTACATTCACTTATGTCGTCGTAATGGCTTTTCTATTGCTAAATGTTATATGTAGCTTAGTTTAGCACCAGCTGCAGATCATTCAGAAACTAAAAGGTTAATTTAGGTCTGAGAATATTTGATGTGCCAATGGAAATGGTGAAAATCACCCTGTCCATATAGCTTTGTACTTGTGCAAGCACTTACTGGGATTTGAGCTGATGGTGGGAACTATAGGCTTTCTCAGCATGCCCCTCCCTAAAATTTAAACCCCAAACTCATATTTGGAATTTGTAGATTCCTTTTCTTTTTGCTCCTCTTTTTAGTTACACAGTTTATAGGGAGGGTCTGTATGCATCTTTGTGTATTTTAAATTCATATGTGGTTCGGATGTAAGTAAATTGAATTTTGTTGTATGCAGATACTTGCAAGGTAACTACTTGAGCGGAGTTATTCCAAATGAGCTGGGAAATCTATCGCAGCTTCAGTACCTGTGAGTTCTTATCTCCAGTGACGTCTTTGACATCTCTGCAGGCAGTTTTTACAATTACAAAAATTTGTTTCTTTCTGTTTTGAATAGAGTTAGCTGCTAATTCTGCTAGGAACTTCTTCATGCTGGAAATTATTACTTCATTTATTTCTCTTTTGGATTTTCTAATTTCTGTGTTATTGTTTAGCAATTTGGATGGACGAAGAAAATATATAAAAAAGAAGAAAAAGAAGGGTTATGTAGTCTGGATATTTTGGAAATCTTTTAAGCATCTGCATATATAAGGAACCTAATTGTATGGTAGGATAGATAAAAGGTTAAGCTACTCTCCAGATTAGCGTTCAAGTCACCTTGGCAATGTAGATTTTAGACAGACCATTTTGCATAGGCAGCATTGGGCTAATATGCTGTGTGGTGAACCATCAAAAGTGGGATGCTCGTCTGTGAAAGTCAGTGTTGTACTATCAATGTCCAGTAAAGCCAAGTATTAGAACTGTTGCTACAAATGCTGAACCAAGTTTCTAGAGAGGGAGTATTATAGAAGAGGTTACTTGAGAGCGAGAGCAAGATTATGAGTCTTGCTTGTTGTAGTTTAATAATGAAACTGAACATTTATTCTTTCTGTCCATTAATTCCACAGGGATGTCTCAAGCAACTCACTTAGTGGGTCTATTCCCCAGTCACTTGGGAAACTCAGCAAACTCGTTAATTTGTGAGTTGACGTTTTTTAAACTAAGTTGTCTGCTTAGTGCAAGTTTTCCACGGGAAATTATCATAAATAAGCTCTAATGTTGTGTGATTTCTTGGTTAATCTTTTTAAGCAATGTCTCGAATAACTTTCTCATGGGGCCAATACCATCAGAGGGTTCACTTACCAAGTTTCCCGACAGCTCGTAAGTCAATATTTTTTTCCACTGTTGTAGCTTTACATAAATGAGTATCTGTGAGACTGTGACACTTTTTTGAAATTTCCATCTGAAGCAGTTTGAGGTTTCATGCTTTCTTAAAAACAAGTGTTCAGAGTTATACATGGATTTGGATCTTATAGTTACAGACTAAAACATGCTTCTTCTAGGTTTGCTGGAAATAAAGGTTTGTGTGGGAAGCAGATCAATGAAGCTTGTAAAAATGATAACGGGCCATCCAATAATTCATCTGGGCCTCTGTCAGGTATAACCAGCTACTAGTGTTCTTATATAAATGTTTGTGTTCCTTTTCCAATTCAATCTTGTTCATCAAACTTAACACTTGTTCACCCAAATGTTCAGAACCTGGCTTTTGGAAATTAAGATGTTAGTCAAATGCAATTTGTTTGTCTTTAAACCTCCTTTTCCATGTTCCTTGAGACCCAATCTCTGGTGTCTGTCTTTTATATTGTAAATATGACCTAGTTCTTCAGTTCTATTCTGAGGCTCATTGTTTACAGCTCTAGGTCAAGGAGGCAAGAAGAAATACCCTGCACGGTTGCTTGTCAGTGCATTTGCAACCATTGGTGCTCTGCTCCTTGTTGCACTCATGTGCTTCTGGGGCTGTTTTCTCTACAAAAAGTTCGGCAGAAATGAAAGTAGCAGTATTGCAATGGATGTTAGCGGAGGTGCGATGAACTATTTATCCCATGCACATATGGGGTCCATGTTCTGTTACTTGCAACTTTCTTAAGTTTGACATTTTCTTATTTTGCTTCCTTAGGTGCATCAATTGTTATGTTTCATGGGGACTTGCCATACTCTTCGAAAGACATTATTAAGAAGTTGGAGACCTTGACGGAGGAGCATGTGATAGGTTGTGGGGGCTTTGGGACAGTCTATAAGCTGGCAATGGATGATGGCAGTGAGTTTGCCTTAAAGAGAATTGTTAAGATGAATGAAGGCTTTGACCGCTTCTTTGAGAGGGAGCTTGAGATTCTTGGAAGTATAAAACATAGACACCTAGTGAATTTGCGAGGATACTGTAATTCTCCAACATCAAAATTGTTGATATATGACTATCTACCTGGCGGCAGCCTTGACGAAGTACTCCATGGTAAGCTTTAGACTGTTACTCTGATGAATTATCTGGTATGATGGTACAGCGCCTGGCTTTGTCTGGTATCATTATTTGCTTAGACGCAACACAAATGAGGTGGCTTTTTTGTGGTCCAGTTCCTTTTACCAGATGGATATGAAGTATGAATGCTGTCTTCTGTAATTGTCCATTTTCACTCTTGACTGAACCAAACCATGACTATACTTGTGTGAATGTGGATTGGCTTACATTATGTGTGATTAATTTGGCTGGGTGAAGCTGGTCAATAAAAAAATATTAAGTCTGTACTTGTGCCAATATCAATGGTCCAGTCATAATTCCAAGTGAGCCTTAGGTGTTTGACTTGTGTAATGGTCACTGGGATTCTGATTGAAAGCTTTGTCCCGTCCCTGCATTTGGAAGGTGTACAGTATGAGTTGGTCAAAGATTTATTCAATCCTGCGTTGAACTTATTTCTCTGGTGTACTGAGATTTTATATGCTTATCTTGTAGCTATCTCATGTGTTTAAGCTCATTGTTGCTTGGAAAATGCGATGCCTTATACAGAAAGATCTGAACAGCTGGATTGGGATGCACGCCTGAATATCATTGTGGGAGCTGCGAAAGGACTCGCGTACTTGCATCATGATTGTTCCCCTAGGATCATACATCGAGATATAAAGTCAAGCAATATCTTACTCGATGGCAATTTAGAGTCTCGAGTGTCTGACTTTGGTCTTGCTAAATTGTTAGAAGATGAAGAGTCACACATTACAACCATTGTTGCTGGAACCTTTGGTTACTTGGCTCCTGGTAAGCGGTCTTTGTATGCAGTTTAACATTATTGTAATTTGTTTCATGTTTGTTTAGACTTAACTGGCTGCAACAAGTAATTGTTGAAGTATGGCACAATTTCTGTACAAGCAATCCTAAAAATGGACGATGACTGAAATGACTCACTTGAGAAGCTTGTAAGAAATGAGTTGTTTTTGGTTTATCTCTTAAATGCATCAGCGATATACTGAAGTTGGCTTAATTGTGTTTTTGGTGTTTAAGTGAGTTAAGGTGAATGCTGTAGTTCTATTGGCATTGTCTCTGAAATAGACTCTGTTAACGTGTTCAATAAATTGGCAGAGTACATGCAAAGTGGTAGAGCGACAGAAAAGACGGATGTTTATAGCTTTGGGGTGCTGGTGCTTGAAGTATTAAGTGGAAAGCGACCAACTGATGCATCATTCATTGAGAAGGGTCTCAATATTGTTGGTTGGGTAGGTCCCTTCACTTTGTACTCTTAAGATTGTGATGGCAAGTTTTAGCAGGGCCTCTTGCAAAGTTATTTCTGATCATTATGGGATATAATTTGGTAGCCCTGTTTCTTCTCAGTCTCCTAGCATGTAATGTCGCCCATAACTAATAAACTACTCTTTGGTTGACAAATAGTTGTGAAGTTCTGTCTTATTCACTGATTATAATTTGAAGTTGATGAGAATATCTGCATGCTTTGAAGATACAGTGCTAGCTGAAGGGATGACCTGAATTTATAAAAGGCCCGCTTTCCAATTTTCTGCCGCCCTTGATCAATGAATACACTGTGGTTTTGTTTTGTTTCCGTTCTTATTTTGATCTCACTTGTTCATTTCAATGGGCCTCTCTGTTTTTAATTCAGATACGATCATCTGAAACTGAATTCTGATTAGTATTCTCGATGCTTTGTTATGTATTGATGATATTTGTGGACTTGGTAGATCGATTTCAACTGTCTACAGTAACTGGTGCCAGTTCTTTATCATCTATCTATGTGCGTTTACCTGGAAGTTATTTACTTATTTTAGAGTGTGGTTGCACAATGTCTTCCTGGAGTATTCTTGCTAATCTATTTCATCTGTTTGCGCGCAGTTAAATTATCTGGCATCTGAGAGTAGGCAACAGGAGATAGTGGATCCACATTGTGAGGGTCTGCAAGCTGAAAGTCTTGATGCCCTGCTTTCCGTTGCCATCAGATGTGTATCTTCGAGTCCAGAAGATCGCCCCACGATGCACAGGGTGGTTCAGTTGCTGGAATCAGACGTCATGACCCCATGCCCAAGTGAATTCTACGATTCCAATTCCGAGTAAACACACTGAGATGAGTTGGTGATGACCAATGGTACATTTTGAGTTGGAGACAGGAGTTTTGCCCTTGCCACTCCATGACCATTTCATGTCTTCCAAAGTTTGAGGCCACGGTAGTACTAAATGGTGAAAAGGAATTAAGAATCTGCAACCCGGGTTTTGCGGTGCTACATTCTATTCATTCTTTCTTTCTGCAGATCAAAATATCATATGATTGGGGGAGATTACTGCAGTTCACCTGTTTCATGTTTCGAAATTCCTTGCATGCCCGCAATTGATTATTTGGTGAGGGGTCAGTGAATTTTCTGAGATGGGGGATTGAGGCCTCATTAGGACGGCCTGGGTTGTGAAGATCAGCTTTTACTTTCGTTTTCCTTTTTTCTTCTGAACACTGGAAGTGTGGGCATCTGTTCTTACCTCGTCTTCTTTTTCTTGATAACTTATTTTCTTTCAATCTGTAAACCTTTTCTTGCATTAGTTGTCTTCTCAGTTTGTTAAATGTACATGAGAATGAGATATATGTATAAATAGGATACAACTGTAGTTTCTGTTAGGGTTCTTGTTATACGTTAATCTTGTATAATATTTGTTGAAAGATATTTACTGCTAATGCTTGATTGTAGTTAGCGGTAACAGCTAGCCCTAGTCTAATTGTAGAAAGATTAGATAATAGAATATATTTCAGTTAAGGTAGGTCTCACCTAACCTAGCTTATATATTCTCACTCTGTAAATCATGAGATATACGAAACAGCAGAATTCTCTAAAACCCTACTTTGTTCTTGTTCTCTCCTAAACTTTGATATGGTATCAGAGCTGCCGGTTCTTCCTTCCGCTGCTGCCGGCTCTTCCTTCCGTTGCTGCCGACAGTAACCTCGTTTTGTCATGAGCACAGACGAAGATTCACCCGATTCTTCTTCTTCCTCTTCTACTATCCAATCTACCAACTCCAAAATAGAGAGTATGGCCACATCAAACAATGATTCAGGCACAGAATCAAGCTCTGGAGGAATCACCATTAGAAAATTCAATGGGAAGAATTACCTCCAGTGGTCTCAATCTGTCCGGATGTTCATCACTGGGAAGCAAAAGGGGGAATATCTGACTGGTACTGCAACTAGACCAGCGGAATCCGATGCTGCTGCTTACACCAAGTGGAACAACGACGACAACCAAGTCCGGTTCTGGCTTATTTCCACAATGGAACCAGACATTGGAGACAATTACCTACTGCATCAATCTGCCAAAGAGCTATGGGTTGATGTAGAGGAGACATATTCCACACAAGACAACTCTTTTGCCTTGTTCGAAGTAGAGTTAAAACTTTTCAACTTCAAACAAGGGACGATGAGTGCTACAGAATACTACAACCGATTAGTCAGAAGCTGGCTTCAACTTGATTTGTATGAAGCTCAGAAATGGGAAACGACGGCTGATGCAAAAACGTTTCGGTTGTTCGTGGAAAAGAAGCGAACAATTCAGTTCCTCCTTGGCCTCAACCAAAATCTGGATGCAGCTAAAAGCAGGATCATGGGAACAAAGCCTTTCCCGAGTTTGAAGGAAGCGTTTGCTGAAGTGTTGAGGGAGGAAGGTCGTCGCCATCTTATGCTTGCAGAGTCAAAGTCCACCTCAGATAACTCGAGCTCTGCCCTAACAACAGAAACAGCCACAACACTTGTTTCTCAGAATAACCGGGGAAAGGGAAAACCGAGAACCAACTCGGATGCTGCAGCAAAATGGTGGGCATTTTGCAAGCAACAATTTCATACGAAAGATGAATGTTGGGAAATTATCGGCGGACCACCCGGCTGGAAATCTAAGATGGGACGTCAGAAAGGACGTGCTAATACAGCAACCAGCAAGGGTACAGAGGAAGAAGGTCAATTTTCGAAAGGGCAGTTGGAAGCTCTTCAAAAGATGTTCTCTCAGGTACTTCAGGCTGAATCAAAACCGAAAGGCTACATAACCCAGCTGTTCGAAAAATCAGGTATTCCTCAAGCTCACACTTCACAGCGGAATTCTAAGAATGTACGGATTCTAGACTCAGGTGCCACAGATAATATGACGGGTTGTAAGGACCTAATACAGAACTTACAGCCCTATCCTAGGAAAACTGGGGTTCGTATTGCTGATGGGACCATTGCTCCTGTTGAAGGATTTGGTATAGTTCGGGTGACTAAGGACTTCACTCTCTGTCCTGTACTCTATGTACCAAAACTTGACTGCAACCTCCTATCTGTTCCACGAGTTACTCATGACCTCCACTGTGAAGCTAAGTTTACCCCCAATGGTTGTGTGTTGAAGGAAGTGGGGACGAAGAGGACGATTGGCAGTGGTGAACTTTATGATGGGCTGTATCTTTTGCGGGGCACGACGGATGTGGAGCATCACTATGGAGATAGTAGTAGTGCACATGCTGCCTCTAGCATAGAGAACAATAAGAATCCAGTTTATTTGTGGCATTGTAGGCTTGATCATCCTAGTTTTCCTTATCTTGAGAAGTTGTTTCCAACACTGTTTCAGAATAAAAGTTCCAAGGATTTTGAATGTGAAGTGTGTCAACTTGCTAAACATACTCGATCTGTGTATTCGGGAATTGGCTATCGACCTACCACACCGTTCAGTGTTGTGCATAGTGACATATGTGGACCTATGAAAATCAGAAACATCAATGGTGCCAAGTGGTTCATCACCTTCATTGGTGATCACACTCGGTTAACTTGGACGTTTTTTATGAAAGAGAAGTCTGAAACTGCTGGTATCTTTCAGAACTTCCATACCATGGTGGCTACTCAGTTTCAAACCAAAATTCAGGTATTGAAAACTGACAATGCTCACGATTATTTCAATAAGACTCTTGGGGTCTTTCTGCAGACACACGACATCATACATGCTAGTTCTTGCGTCGACACACCTCAGCAAAATGGCATTGCTGAACGCAAGAACAGACATTTGCTCGATGTTGCCCGTGCACTCATGTTTACTCATCAGGTCCCTAAGCATTTGTGGGGGGAGGCTGTTCTTACAGCAACTTACCTTATCAACCGGATGCCGAGTAGGGTCTTACAGTTCCAAACCCCACGACATGTTCTTCTCGACATCTATCCTCACATGAAAAATTACTCTCCCGACCTCCCTCCAAAGGTGTTTGGCTGCACAGTTTTCATCCACAATTCTGCCCCAAATCGCTCTAAGTTGGATCCAAGATCTCACAAAGGGGTCTTTATTGGTTATTCTTCCACACAAAAGGGCTATAAGTGTTTTGTTCCACATACCAGACGGATCTACACTACTCGTGATGTCACATTCTTCGAGTCACAGCCCTTCTTCACCACGGTTGTGCCTCAGGGGGAGAGTTCTCATGATTCGTCCAGTTCGATTGATGCACAACAGTCTGGGCAGCAGGTTTTTGTTGATCTCATTACCTTGGATACTGACTTTGATGAGCCTCCCACACCAACTCAGGGGGAGCATCTAGTAGTGGAGAAGCCACTACTAGTATATCAAAGAAGGAACAAGGTTCCAAGTACAGATGTGGAAGATGAGACTAATGCCGAAGTGGAAAATGACACTAATGCAGAATTGGAAGATATGGAAGATGATCCTAGTGCAGATCATGATGTGGTGCTAGAGGAACTTGGAGATGATACTACAACAGTAGGAGTGGAAGATATACCTATTGCTCTTAGAAAGGGAGTTCGAAACTGTACAAAGACTCCTAAGTATCCTATTGCTCGACATGTCAACTATGACCGTCTTAGCAAATCCCACAGAATCTTTATATCTGCTCTAGAGGAAGAACAGGTGCCAAAGGATATTCATGAAGCAATGAAACATCCTAAATGGAGAGCTGCAGTCATGGAGGAATTAAGGGCATTGGAGGAAAATGCTACTTGGGATATTGTATCCCTTCCTACAGGGAAGAATACTGTTAGCTGCAAATGGATATTCACAATCAAATATAAGGCATATGGTTCGATTGAGAGATACAAGGCAAGACTAGTTGCACGAGGATTTACTCAAGAACATGGTGTGGACTATGATGAGACCTTTGCACCAGTGGCAAAGCTTAACACAGTAAGGGTACTCCTCTCTCTTGCTGTGAATCTTGATTGGCCATTGCACCAACTTGATATTAAAAATGCTTTCCTCAATGGAGACCTTGTTAAAGAAGTTTACATGATGTTTCCTCCTGGAGTGAAAAATCCAGTAAAAGGACAAGTTTGTAGACTCAAGAAGGCTTTGTATGGGTTAAAGCAATCACCACGTGCATGGTTTGACAAGTTCACCAAGGCTGTTAAACAAGGTGGATACTACCAATGTCAAACAGATCACACCCTGTTTGTGAAACACTGATCTACTATGAAGCTTTCAATTTTGATAGTTTACGTGGATGATATCATAATTACTGGGGATGATACAGAAGAAATTGCTAGATTTAAAGCTCAGCTTGCAGAGGAATTTGAAATAAAAGATCTAGGAAATCTGAAATATTTTCTAGGGATGGAGGTGTCGAGATCGCAGCAAGGGATTGTGATCTCTCAACGGAAATATGTGCTCGACTTACTCAAGGAAGTGGGAATGCTCGGATGTAAGCCGATTGATACACCAATGGAGCAGAACAAAGTGTTGAGTAGGAGTCAAGACATTCCATTAGTGGAGAAGGGAAGCTACGAACGTTTGGTAGGTAAGCTTATATACGTTGCTCACACTCGTCCTGACATTACCTTTGTTGTTGGAATTGCGAGTCAACATATGCAATGTCCAAATGAAGAGCATATGCAAATGGTAATCAGAATTCTAAGATACCTTAAAGGTGCCCCAGGAAAAGGAATTCATTTCAAGAAAACGACTCACAGAAGGATAACAGTGTATACTGATGCTAGTTGGGCTGGAGAGCTCACTGAGAGAAGATCTGTTACTGGTTACTGCAATTATGTTTGGGGCAATCTAGTTACTTGGCGAAGCAAGAAACAGAAGGTTGTTGCGCGAAGTAGTGCAGAGGCAAAATATAGAGCCTTAGCTCTCGGCATGTGTGAGAGCATTTGGATTAAACGAGTTCTAGAGGAATTGAAGATTCCTCATGAAAGTCCTATGAAGCTACTATGTGACCGTCAAGCTGCAATTAGTATAGTTAGGAATCCAGTCCATCATGATCGAACTAAACATGTGGAAGTGGATCGACACTTTATCACTGACAATGTCAACACTGGAATGATTCAGGTTGAATATGTTCCTTCAAAACAGCAGACTGCATATGTTTTGACAAAGCCATTATCAAGAGACATGTTCGAGGCTCTAATGGGCAAGATTGGGTTGATTAACATCTACACCAAGCTTGAGGGGGAGTGTTGAAAGATACTTACTGCTAATGCTTGATTGTAGTTAGCGGTAACAGCTAGCCCTAGTCTAATTGTAGAAAGATTAGATAATAGAATATATTTCAGTTAAGGTAGGTCTCACCTAACCTAGCTTATATAGTCTCACTCTGTAAATCATGAGATATACGAAACAGCAGAATTCTCTAAAACCCTACTTTGTTCTTGTTCTCTCCTAAACTTTGATAATATTTTTCCATTGGCAATAATCAGAGCTGGTTTCTTGGATGTCAAGGATCTACTTTTGTTCTTCAGTCTGTGTAAACATATCAGGTCAATTTGTTGCAGCTATATTAGTTACTAAAACAGGAAGATGCTAATTTTACCAAGTGAAGTCATTGACTTCAGGATGACTTGTTTTAGAATCATATAATTCATACAACCAACAAATTTATAATGCATGCTTTCTATGAGAACACATAGTTGAAGAATCTCAACTTCCAAGCGAGACAGTTATTCTAATATAATCTCATTGCACATTCTCCTTGTCCTTATTTTGGCCATTGGCCAGCTATACTTCAACAACCAAAATGTACACTGGACTGTACATGTGAAATCAAATGAGAAACCTGGCATGGTCAGCTATTGCATATTTGCATGCCAAATACTTGTGGTCTCATGGTAATTGACGATAAACAGCAGCAGTATCACTTACTCACTGATATCATGATACTGGTTCAGCGACAATACTTAAAACTGCTCGACAGTAGAAACCCCATAAACTGAGATTTACTTGCTCATTTACACAAGGTTGTGATCGATTCAGATCAATCCAAAGAAGCAACTAAGCTTCATGTTCCATCTCTCGCTTCTTCGCAGTAGCTTTATCCTTCTCAAGCATGTACATTTTCTCAGCTTCAGGGATAGTCAGTATGATAGTCTGCAGCTTCGTGTCGATCTCTTCAAGCTTCTCCATCAGCCTGTCATTTGTAAACACCCCGAGGCAGACATTCTTGATGGTACCCCAGCTCTCGATCAATGGCAAAGCTATAATCACTGTTGATCCAATGGTTCCCCAGGCTATGGCAATCACAACCCAGAATGTGAAGTAACCTAAGTTAAACTCCCCTGCCATTATCACAACAACACTCATCTTCTCAGTTCCATTTCAGCGGATACAGAATCTTAGCCAAATTAAAAGAGGAAAACAGAACTTACTGGCAGGAAGGCTAAGAAGTGGCCAAACAACAACAATGACAAGAGTGAAAGCAACTCCCCATCTCACAATCCATGCTTTAGCTCTCTTCAACTTCTCCTCTCCAAACTCTTCCGCAGGCAGCGCACTCCGGTCCTTCTCAACAGTGCTAATCTCCCTCGTAGTATCCCACTCGTAGTTCTGAGGCCACACCAGACTGCACAAAGTGTGTACAGCTCCTCCAGTAAGTATAGAAACCAGATTACCAGCCAGCGCTGGTGCATTCCTGCCAGTCGTGTGAAGATCGATCCTCCCATACTCGATGCTCGTAGCTGATAACCACGTGGTTATACCTAGAACACATCCGATTACAGTTCCCAATATGGCACCAATTGCGTTGGCTTTCCTCCATAGGAGCATCAAAGCAATGGGAATAACAGCTGAGCCTATAAGCACTCCCATGGCTAGATACATCCAACCAAGTGACACTCCAGCCTTGTTCAGTATCACTGCCAGCAACCCCATGAAGCATCCGAATCCTAGCACGACTGCTCTCGAGACTCGGAGGATTTGTTTACCTGACGCTTTTGGGTTTATGTAGGCGCGGTAGATGTCGTAGGTGCATAGTGAGGAGACTGCAATTAGCTCGGATGATCCAGCTGAAGTCACAGCCCTGTTGACAAAAAATGAAGCTAGCTTGGCCGTCAAGCTTCCTTTTCTCCCATTGCTCAAACAAATGAATATACAGTAAAAGGGCTCCTTACATGAAAAGCATGGTGAGAAAGAGTACAGAACCAGATTTCCCCATTAGAGCAGTGGCTGTTGCAGGAGGAACAAGTCCACGGCTTGCTTCTGCCTGAGATATTGGGAGATCAAGGGCGAGTGCTCCTAGACCAAGTGCTGTTGCTAAAGAGAAAGGGACAGCAAACCAAACCAGGCCTCCCAACAAGTACCCTTTATGTGTTGAGGATGGTCTTGCAGCTATCGCACTCACCCAATATCCCTGACAAGCACATGACCTGGTTTTGTTAGGCCAACAAAACTGAGATCAAGGATAAAACCTCCATGCAGAGTTCATAGATACCCCACATTGTCAAGGAAAACAGTGCCGAAGTTTCCAACGATGTTGATGATGCCAAAGGCAAGGCCTCCAGGACTGAGCATGGTAAGATAAGAACCTTTGTAATTTCCTTTAACAGGGCCACATGCTTGGCCAGCGTGGGAGATTGGGTCATTGCAGGCTCTGGATTTGCTCGTCACTTCCAGTAGACGGCGGTATACCACGCTGGGACTGCCAAGTTGGCTGCTTGCCGTGTAGACTAAGTAGACAAAGATGACAAGTGCTACATGGACTAGAACACAAGATAAAAGTAGTCAGGACAACCATATTGTTATGTACTTGGTAATGGTGGATGGTTGAAGAATTGAAACTCAAACCAATGACAGAATGAATGTAGCTAGCCAGGAATGTGGCCTTGAGGCCGCCAGCAAGGGTATAGACGATGACTCCAAGTGGGATGAGGAAGCTGGCGGCATAGATGTTAACTCCCGTGAGTGCATTGACGACTGCCGAGCCACCAAGGAGCAGCATAGCCGTGAATATGATGTTGGTGAGGAAGCAGAAGAAGAGGAACACAATGTGTGCAGGTGTACCCCATCTGTTGAGAAATGTTTGCTTGTGTTTCAGATGATTTGACTTAGGGTTTATGGTTTTAGGATTTACCGAGCTTTTACAATCTCGCACACTGTATGTGCATGTGGAGCCTTTCTTTTGATCTCTATGGCCATCACCCCAAACAACAGAACCTGTATCATAAATTCATAAACAATCCATCCAACCCAGATTTAAAGATCTAAACTTTAGGGCAAAAGAGGAGACCTGAATGGCAGCTCCACTGGCGTACCAGAACGGTCCACTCACTCCAAATTCCCAAGCCACGTTTGAGCTTTGCAAGATTGTGGCAGCCGACGTCCACTGTCAATCACCAAACACATTAATCATAAGCGAAAACAGATAAGCATGGGATTAATGGGAAGTGTTTTAGAGAGAAAGAGAGTGTTACCTGGGAGACAATGACACTGGCGATAAGTCCAGTTTTGACGTTCCTGCCGGCAGTGTTGAACCATTCTGAAGTGTGGCGTAACCCGACGTATCTCTTCTCCAGCCACACCTGGAATCAGCCAATTACAGAATGCAAGAAACTAAAGGCAAACAAAACACAAAAACCCAACTCTTTATAATCCACTAATTTACTCAACAAAACGGAAGAACAAGGGGTTAGAAAGTTTGGGACCAGAAAAGAAGTGAAGACGGCAAAGAAGGCACCGAAGCCGAGAATGACAGAGTAGCCGACGCCTTGTCCCAACAAGGGTTTCCCCTCGAAGAAGCTGCCCTGCCTCACGCACCCATTTCCACTACTGGAGGAGGAGGAGTAGTACTTGGCTGAGAAGTCGAATGGCGGGCAATTTTGTGATGATGCTGACCCAGAAGAAGAAGCCATTTGATGACTGGCAAAAGAGAACCAGAAATCCAGAAGCCAGAGCTACCCTTATAATTCTTGTTACGGTTCTTTCGGCCAGCTAGCTGGCTGGCGGTGTATTGATTTCTGACTGAAAGAAAAAGAGTTATGCTCATATGCATTGTGCCTGGCTTCTTCTGAGCACAACGGCTGATTCTCAGAGGGAGACAGTGACACTGCCATTTCTTAGTTATGCCAACTGTTTGTTTTACTTTCTGGCCTCGTTAATTATCCCCCAAATTTCCACTGGCTACTCGTTTCGTATTGGAGAAATTTTACAATGCTATATAGTATTAGTACTATAGGTTTTTGCTTTTATGGTACAACTTGAAATTGTATCATATACATTTTGTACAAATTTTTTTATGGTACAACTTGAACTTGTACCTTTATTTAATGGTACAACTTCAAGTTGTAAAGTTGTACCATAACATAATGATACAAATTTCGTTATGCTACAACCTAAACTTATACATTTAATGTTATGGTACAACTTTAAGTTGTACATTAAAGCACCGATGCTATATAGCATAGTAGAAGTGCTCTTCATATTGGCATAGTGAAATTTTTTGGAAATTCGTAGCTCATGTTGATTTTGGATTAACTCTTCTGGCAAAAATGATAGAAATGCATGTATTGAAATGCATTAATGGATTTTAAATTCTGTCATTTTGAAAAGGGTAAATGTCACATTTGGTTACCGAGATTACTAAATCGTGTCATTTAGTCACTAGAAAAATTTAATATCAATTTTAGTTACTCGAATTACTAAAACATGTCACATTTAGTCACTCTCCCGTCATTGGAGTTGGACGGAAACTAACGGGAGAGTGACTAAATGTGACATGTTTCAGTAATTCGAGTGACTAAATGTGACATGTTTCAATAATTCGAGTGACCGAAGTTGGACAGAGGCTACAGGATTGTGACCAAATGTGACATGTTTCAGTAATTCGAGTGACCAAAATTAATATTAAATTTTTCTAGTGACTAAACATGACACGATTTAGTAAGCTCAGTAGACCAAATGTGGCATTTACCCTTTTGAAAAGTATATTTCAAATCATGATTTTAAATACTAAATATTTAAAATTTATTGTTTGATATTCCTTTTCTTTTGCATCTTTCATATATTTCCCATTAATGTTTTATAGTTCAATTAGCATCATTCGTGATAGTAGAATTGCAATAAAACTGTAAGGACGCAATACTATTTCATCATAAACCGTTGATCATAAATGACAAAACCTACATGACTTCTTCTATTAGGATCTACCGATGTATATACATCCACTCTTTTATGATTTGTATATATTTAGTTTCTATTTTTGGGTTCAAGTTCAATGTTAAGTCAACAATTTTTCCCTCTACGTAGTTGAAATTTTTGACTTTGACTATCGTTTCATAAAATCAAATTAAAATGAATATATAAAATCCAAGTAAAAAGAAAGATAATAAAATCCACATACAAATGGGTTGATTATAAAGGGCCACCGGATCCGTTCTCCATTGTTCCTACCAGAAATTCGGAAAGCGTTCCTTTTCTCGCCTGAATTTTCAGTTCCGGCAACTTAATTAGGCCGGAAAGTGAAGCATTCCGACGTTTCGCCTTGCTACCCAAGAAAAAAACAATTAAATCAATTAAATAAATACGTACCGGAAAAGAAAAAGCCTTGATATATGTCTCTCCCTCTCTCTTGATCAACGACTCAGATCTCGCCACGTAACATATGCTTGTGGAGCACACGTCTGACTCCTCCAACCTGTAACCCGCCAATAACTTGACCCGACCCGACCCGACCCGACCCAGTCGCGTGGGTATATAAATAGCTAAACCTCCCTTAAACCCCATCGTCTTCTCCAAGCAAAACCAAAAACCCCCCTTTCTCAATTCTTTCTCACAATCACTACTCCGAAGAATTAGCGAAAACTTCCTCCAACAATTCTCTCTCTAGAATTACTGCCGAGCTTTCTTTCTGGTGTTCGATCGGTGATCTGAACGGCGACGATGATGTATACGATGGGCCGCGGTGGAGCCAGCAGGCTGGGTGTGGCTGCTCTGGCGCTGCGCAATTTCTCGTCGGCGACTGGCGGAGGAGCAGGCTCCGTCGCTCGGCGAGCTGCCTCGAACGGGATGGCGAGCGGCGGTGCGCAGGCTCCGATTGCGGTCGGGGTTTGGATTAGAGGCATGGCGACGACCACCGGCGGTGACCGGACCTTCGCGACGATGACGCTCGGGGAGCAGGAACAGCGGGAAGAGAAGAAGCAGCCGCAGATGGCATCCGGCGGCGGCGGCGGGATGAATGGCGATGGAGACGAGGAGAAGGGGATTGTTAGTTACTGGGACATACCGACTCGCAAGATCCGGAAGGAGGATGGAACTGAGTGGAAGTGGAATTCCTTCATGGTCAGTAAGTTCTATTCAATTAATTCCAATTGCAATCTTGGATCCGCTTTCTTCAATTCTTTCTCTTGATCTTTGATTTCTGAATAATCTTGGGGTTTGTTTGTTTGTTTGGGGGGAAAAGCCATGGGAGACGTACAAAGCAGACACATCGATAGATCTGAAGAAGCATCACAAGCCATCTACCATGATTGACAAAATCGCCTACTGGACTGTCAAGTCCCTCCGTTGGCCGACCGATTTGTTCTTCCAGGTACCTTTTTCAGCTCCCATCTAGATTGATCTCTGAGAATTTTGGGTAGTTATCAACTTCAGTAATGATCATCAAGTTCAAGTCTTTGGTATAAAAAGATCCCTAGGACTCCAGGGTTAAGGGAGAATTAGATTTATGGTTAGCCTATCTAGGACCGTGAACATGAAATTGACGCTGATTTGATATGTATGTTACACAACAGAGGAGATATGGGTGCCGGGCAATGATGCTGGAAACGGTGGCGGCGGTGCCAGGGATGGTGGGAGGGATGCTGCTCCACTGCAAGTCACTGAGGAGGTTCGAGCACAGCGGCGGATGGATCCGAACCTTGCTCGAAGAGGCGGAGAACGAGCGGATGCATCTGATGACGTTCATGGAGGTGGCGCAGCCGAAATGGTACGAGAGAGCACTGGTGATCGGGGTGCAGGGCGTCTTCTTCAACGCCTACTTCTTGGGATACGTCATCTCCCCCAAGTTCGCGCACAGGATGGTGGGTTACCTGGAAGAGGAGGCCATTCACTCCTACACTGAGTTCCTCAAGGAGCTGGACAAGGGCAACATCGAGAACGTCCCTGCTCCGGCCATCGCCATTGACTACTGGCGGCTCCCGGCGGGCGCGAGGCTGAGAGATGTGGTGGAGGTGGTGAGGGCCGATGAGGCGCATCACAGGGATGTGAATCACCTTGCTTCGGATATACATTACCAGGGGCATGAGCTGAGGGAGACTCCGGCGCCGCTCGGGTATCACTGAGCTCCGGTCGGTTAATGGTGTGGAATCGGGATTTAGAGTTTGGAAGTTGTTAAGTGTAAAATGTGGTTTGTTAGACTAAAACAAATTAATCTGTTCTTAATCCTGCGTGTGAGCTTTACGTTTAAGGATGTTAGCATTGGCACATTTAGTTGATCTGGTGGATGCAGAGTGATTTGGCTATGCTTTGCTGGCATTGTAAATAAAAGTTTGTACGAGTAAAATAATGATTTGTTTAGTGTTAAGAATTTCCATTCAATGGGGAAAAAAATCAAAAATTAAAGAAGGCAGGCATTGAGCATATATTCTGGTTAGGGCCGTTGCTTAATGGGCCTGGCCTTGTTAGTCGATTGGGCTGTGCTGTTCTGTTAAATTCGAAAATGAAAAAATTATCCGACTTGCCGGATTCGAACCAGCGACCTAAGGATTAACTGGCAGAAATCCACTACAGTCCTCCGCTCTACCAACTGAGCTAAAGTCGGTTATGTGATTTTACGAATACAAATAGCTTAAATTCATTATTTGAGAACGTAATAACGACTACGCAATCTTCCTCGGAACCGATAAGTAAACTAATGGGTGAAACACAGGCAGCAGCGAAGAACTAATAGATTAAATTCAATTTCGTAGGGTACAAGCAACATGTAGCGGCCGGCAAAGCACAATCCGACATCATTCATTCTTCAGGATGATACAGATACGAAATATGGTGCCTTATTTTTGGAATTCGGCGAAACATTCCAAACTGGCCAGTGAAAGTACTTGGAGCTGATACTGCGAAACGAAGTCCCCTGACCAAGCAAAGCAACGAGAACCTAAGAAGAGGCCACTCTAGCTACCTCGTACTGATGAGAAACCGTCAGAGGGGATTGCTTCGAGACCGGCCTGTCTTCCGACCACAGCTCCAAGTTCACCGTTCCAGTGCCCCAATGGATATAACACTTGTATACCTCTTCCACCTTGAACCGATTAACCAGCCCCACGCCTAGGCATTTGTCCACCAGCATCCATTCTCCTGGAAGATAACAAACAAACCCACATAGTAAGTATTCATCCCAGGTTGTCTGCGGAACGTTAACAATCCAAAGGCTACGAAATTTCATCCCTAGGCTTGAAGGATGATTAGGCATGTCCGGTTGGTCAAGAGACAAGCATATGAGAACGATATGACACGAGACTACCATTTGGAAGCTGATTCCCTTGATAGGTCTGATCCCCAGCGTCCGGCCAAATTTCACGCTTTGTGCCGTCAATGGAAGTGAATGTGATGAAAGTTTCCGTGGGGTGCAAGAGAGTAAATGTGGGATGTACCCTCAAGCAAACCAGCCTGTAAAATATGAATCAAGAGTGAAAAGAGTGCCTCATGCGGATAATCCCGATGGTCCAAAGACGAGGACACAAATTAGCTTTCTTGAAGCATGGAATACATCTACCAATGTCACCAAGGATTGGAAGATGGAATCAACAAGGCTTGCAGAAGGAAAAATGTGGAATGAATACAACACCAAATTGTAGAAATTTAACGTCGCAGCAAAAACACAAAAATCCCCACACATGGATGGTCAGACTATTTTTCATATTTGGTACTCATGAATCAGACGATTTGCAGCAATGTGATCTTTGCCGAATGAGTGTTTCATTGAAGGTTAGATATGATAATTATTTCCAAATGCAGAGTCCTAAATAACAAGTTATCTGAAGCACTCAACATTTTATGGTTAAGATCAGTGATAAGCGAGAAGGCACAAAGGCTTGATGCCATGGAGGATGTTATCAGATAGTGATACAACCTGCGAAAACATCTCTATTTGTACTGGCCAAAGCAAATCATTAAAAGGTGTTAGCAAAGAAATAAAATAACATCGTACCTGGAAAATCCACCAGATCCAGCACCTACACTGCGAGCTATAATACCGGACTCAATTTGAAGAATCTGTGGCCTGTCCTTGAGTATTGATACATGCCTCTGAAGAATCACTCCTCCACCAATGTCACCTTCTAACATCAGAGATTCCTCTTCTCCTGCATGCACTAGATCACGCCTACAAGAAAGAATATTTGGATCTAAATAGCAGCAGGATATCCTTGCCAGTTCCACTTGTAGTCAGTTAAAAATACTTCTTTCCTGGACTAGAAGTACAGTTGTTTGATTGACACAGGTCTCCCCTCAACTCTCCAATATTAAGCTCAAAGAACTCATCTTGCCATAAAAAGGAAGACCAGTCTGATTGCCTTCATATTCAAATATAATCTCCAGGAAGTAATATAGTAGAAAGAGCTCCTGACCTCTAACTCGAAGCCATATGTGCCAGGCAATAAATACTGTTCCTACAATCACATTTAAGCTTAACCCATTCCATTTACCAGCATTCCTTTGCAAGACCAATAAGTTTCCGACTCCCTATGCTCAATGGAACTTGTTGGGTAAATTACTACATAGCAATGCAGAAATTCGAGCCAAACTACAAGGATCAAGTAAAATGCCGTCCTTCCAGAAGCCAAATGTAAAATTACATCCCAACTCCAGATGAATACACATGAAACTTCTAGCACATCCTTAAAGCATTCCAATCACGTTTAAAATCTAACATATCAGGTGCGAAATACAACTTATTTTTAGCACTTGGAAAAACTCTAGACTGTGTCCGTCTATTTCCTGGTCCACCCACAAAGTATGATAGGTTCCTTCAAACTTACTTAACAGCACAGCAATAACAAATATGCGTCATCGGCGCCATCAACCTAGACTCTCAGCTTTGGCTCCCTTTTTTCACTCAAGTGGAACAATATCAGAGATAAGTGGCGGAGGAGAAGTAGCGTGATACTCAAATGACACTTATCAACTTCCAAATTTTTCTATCAACCTAGATTAAGTAATTAGGGATTCAGTAATTTACTCAATAACACTGTATGCTTCAGAACATCCTGCAGAGCGGTACTCAGTTCCACTATACTCCTCATATCCATCCACATCAATCCTGCTATGCAGCCACTGTGTGCCTGCCAACAAAGCACAAGATAAGGAACATGCAACGAGTCGCTCAGAACAAATAACATAACCCGTGGAACCATTAAAAGATGGAACCTATGTCTAGTGGCATCCTCTTTGCCAACTTATACCCACATCCATGCCATTCGCTCAGAGTATCCTTTCAATCAAAGGAATAAGGTAATTACTTCAACAGTGACAAGATGATTGTTGCATTTTTTACCAATCCATCTTTCATCTATTATGAGTGAGATTGTATAATTCATTGAAGAAACTCTGTTCTCAGGGCTCAGGCCTACTTGCTTGAGCAACACAGAGGCTGGGATAGGTTGCCAGGACCTTTTCACTAAACGTTGATTCACGGCTTACAACTACAGAGATACCTAAGAGATCATGATGCATTATAGTGGAATTTGATTCAATCCTCGTATAAGGATTGTGAATCAGATGGCCTTTAAGTTTTAGGTACGACCCCAGAACTGGTACAAAATAAGCTACCAATATATTATTATCTAGCATGATCAAAGTTTTCCAGTCATTACCAGAAGGAAGGTGCTTCATAGAAATAATTCTACCGCCAATCCAGGGAACTATTTGAACAGACCAGTCTCCACTTTTCAGTTCCACAGGAGTCCTTGAAAGCTCAGCTCCCTTAGGCCCAGTATCCGCTTTCACGTCTGGAATAGGCTTAGAGCTTTCTGCATTTTGACAATTGTTGAAATGTATATAAACACACAAGAAATAACCACCAAAAAAAATGCAATACGTCCAACTGATCACATTTATCTGTAGGGGGCAGCATGGAGGAGAAAGGGCTTATAGTATCTAATAGTTAGCGTCCTTCAGCAGGCTGTTAGAGTCTTACAGACGCAGCAACAGGTTATACAATCCTTCACCCAGACAAGGGAAGAAAAAAGAAGATTAAAGAGCAAAGTTTGGTATTCCCAAATATTTTAATTTACTAATTCAAATAACTTTAGGCACCTATCTGGTAGGATGTTAAATAGCTACAGAGTAAATCTCCACCAAGTAATACAAGGAGAAAGTTTCATCAGGAAACGAAAGGGTGGCACCACTCTTTGTAGGACCATAACGTAGTTGACAGGGGAAATGAGTGTACAAAAAGACATGACAGTTCTATTTGCAATAAAGCAGACAAATACAGAAGAAGATGGAATAACAGAGAGATAGCAGGATGCCCAGAAGAGCAACTTTACCTAGACGTTTTTGGTATTGTTTCTCGCCAGTGGATACCAACTCAGACACATCACGTGCTGTTGGCATTGCGATTTGGATAGCATCCCCATCCATTCCCAGTGCAACAAGCTGCCAAAGTATCAAAGAGGCTCACAAACCAAGGATCATAGAGTGAAGCCTAGAAAAATTATCTTTTCTCTACAGAAAACATGTAAGGTATTATCTTTCATGAGAGCAATGAATACCTTTGCTCCCCCACCCAGCAATAGATGCACATGCAAACGACGACTGGGCCTTTTCCATAACCCTTCCGTTTTTGAAACCTTTATAGTAACGACTGAAGATTTGAGTTCTGCGACATAGTGTGTCAGCAGATACTCCCCCTTAGTGAAATCGTAACTATCACCATCATCTTCAAATAGTTGTCCTTGTGCGCCCCCTGCAAATGTCAAAGAGGGAATTTGCACATACTACTGGCAGCACAAAAGCATATAAAAACAATTGCTTACAAGAATTACCAAGTAAACAATGGCACACAGACAAACAACACTAAAGCAAAGAGGGGGAAATCTCCAGAAGAAGAAATATCAATCCAACTTTCCAGAAACTTACCATTTCAGAAGATTACAGGCACTGTGTTCTCTAGAATACAATGCTCTAAACCACAAAGAAAAGAGAAGGAAGAAACTTACCATTTTCATCCAAGGCTACCAGGATCGTCAGGTCGTCTGATACATTAGATTCACCAACATGTTGATAAGGAGGACCCAAAGGAACAATTGAACCACCTTGCAAGTATAAGGTTGGCAAATCCTGCGATGTAGAGGAACCCTATAAGAACCCATAATGTACATGCACCTCATTGATAGCTGCAGCAACCTCATATAATGTGTATACATGTATGTGTATACATGTATGTGCAGGCATGTATACGGATACACCATCTCTACATGCAGACAAAGTGATTTGTCATAGAATGCAAAACAGGCTGTTGAACGACCATACCAGATGTGCATCGTCAAAATCAAATCTCATCCAGATTCCATGTGGAAGAATATGCTTCACTTCATGTGTTGCCTGGTCAGAAACAGTACTGAATACAAGACAAACAAAAATTAAAACTGTGCCTGCTTAACAGTAGTTCAATATCAGCAATCAGAAAGCATATCCTGGATTGTGCCATGAAGCTGCCACTTTCTGGAGGAAATAATACAAAGGAGACTATCTATCTGTCTTGCACAACATTGAAAAGAACTACTGTAGAACCATCTCGGCACAGATATTTTATCCTACATAAGAACCCACCAGATAGTGAATCTGTTGAGGCGGAACCTGTAAATATAGTAATATACTCTTACAGTGACCTCAAAATATCACATGCACCTTTATCTGCATTAGACAGGAACAGGCAAGGAAGCTTGGAGACTCAAAAGTGCCTTGATTATGCTAACTTTTCAAACAGAGGACGCTTTTTTAATGAATAGACCTGATTAACATTTTCATTTGTAAAATAAGTACAACACAGTTGAGTAACCCATCGTTGACACTAAGATTTTCTTTACAATCAATCTAAACACCAAAACAAGATTCTAGCTGGTTGGCGTGGGAATTAACTTGGAATTGACAGTCATTTAGTGGAACTGGCACATCCAATGAAACCATCACTCGGATAACGGTGAATGGAATGGTTTCATTGATGAAATTGACACAATCAGAAGCAATGACGCCATAGCAGACAAGGAAGCTTAAACCCACAGAATCATGAGAGAATGCAACTTCACAACCATCCCATATCCATTTAGAATAGTGTGGTAGGAAAATGTTGGCAATGACTGTGGGAAGCCACTTATGAATACAGAAACAAGAACAGCCAATAGTATACAAACAGGACTGTGTTTCCCCCCTGTCATCCTACTGGTAGATCTTCCACTTATGTTTTGTTCACATCTATGAGCAAATTGAAATGCAGTCAGATACAAAAGCCAGAAACAAACGAAGAAGAATTTGTTGTTTGGAAGTGCATTGTTGGAATGAGCATGTTGTTAAATGCATCAAATTTAATGTCAATTTACTGTAACAATGGATATGTTTTTATTTGTTTTCTTGAAACAAAGATAGGAGTCTACAACTAAAATTGAACTGAAGGGTGGGTGAATCAACTATCAAGTCCACAGCACTAAAAAACTTTATTGATTTTTAGTATTACCCATTTCCCCCATAATTCAAAAAGTTGAATATCATTTGATCATTTCACACGCCTACCTATTTAGTCTTTTTTAGATCAACGAGTCAGAAAAATTAACTTACAACTCTGCAAGCAACCACAATTTTTCTCTACTGGCTAATTTATATAACTATCGTAAGAACTTCTAAATTCTCAGACTGATTCCTTAATCTAACTTCTCCTACAAAGTGCTACTGGTTGAAACAAACAGAGCCAATCTCTCTCTAGAATCCCCCATCCAAATAACATTTATTCACCCCTAGCCAGCAAAAAACGAACAGGCCAAGGGCAGGAGGAGAATAATGGGATCTAAGCTGGACTTTCTACTAAAGGATTCTTTCAGAACCTAGAAGGCGAGAAGAGAAACAGAACCTTGAGTAGACAAGAAGTGAACCCAACAAGAAAGAGTTCTCAAGATTCCGTAAGCTTGGATCTTTTGGGTCTACAAGCACAATATAATGACATCAATTAGTAACCGCAGAAGAGTGGAAAAGTTCGTTAAGTTCCTTAGAGCTGGAGATCGTCGCAGTTAAAAGACATACCAGCAAAAAAAGTAGGGGTGGCCACCGGTGTACCCATTGTGTGGGACATATAGAAGAGAGTATATATGTGTGGTAGAAGACGATAACGCCGTCTCAGCGCCAGACGGCAAACTTCTTCACACTGATGCCATTGGAAGTGCAGAACAGAATAATTAGCATGAAACCGGCAAAAATAAATATGCAGCAAGATATACCTATCGTACTTTCTACAAAGGCAATATCTAGTTCCCCATTTCTATATCAGTCTCTTTTACATTTCACTTAAAATACCTGCTGAACTTAGAATTGAGTACTGTCTGACGAAAGACAAAAGGGGTGGCCACCGGTGTACCCATTACATTTCTATATGAATTCACTAACATCAAATTTCCTAAGGAGATGAGCATCAGGTTACTTAAGTATGGAGCACAAACCTCTTCCCCGAAAGACCATGGTTCATGATCTGTCGTACCCTTTTCAGAATGACCACGGCAAAATGGAAACATAGCACCTATGCCCATCCACCTTCCAAAGAGCTTTGGTGTTGCATTCCCAGCAAACCCACCAAGGTCAGGTCCTGAAAGTGGCTGACCACTGAGACCCTATGCATTGAGTAAACAAAGTGAGTGCAGATTTATGGATTACCAAAAGCATATTTACTTCATAGCTCTTAGAAAAGAACATGACAAGGGAGGTCAAGGAAGAGAATTATAGTACTTTACTTCTGAACAACAAATAATATGTAAATAACTAAATATCCTATATCATAACATCAAGAATGACACGTGTTTAACTCCAACCTTTTATGAAGCAAACACCAGATCTTCAAAATTACTTACCAACTGAAGTACCATTGAGATAGACATTTGCAAATGCTCCCAGTTGGAAAGATTATCTCCCGTCCAAGTAGCAGCATATCTTTGACTACCAATAAATCCAGCTCTTGTAAGAACAAAAGGACGCTTGTTTTCGTTGGATGATTTCATCCCTTCAAATGTTGATCTTGCCATGAGCATGCCATACACCTAAACAATAAGAAATTATTTACTTGTCAGCAAGGAACTGAGCAGTATCTTTTAGACACGTTGGCAAGACACGTGCGGCTCGAAAAAGAGATCACACCTAAGCCAAACAAAATGCTTTATATCTATAGGTGAAAGAAGAATATGGACCAAGAACAATACATTGTGATAATGCAAGTGATTCTGGCGACCTCCAAGGTCATCATCTCCTCTATGGACGTTGCTCTCTGGCATTGTCTTAGTCACAGTCTGAGGCCGGAAAATAGTAAGAAAGTAGAACTCATGAATCCGCATAGTGAAAATGTAAGCACATAGAGATAAGTACAAAACTCACTTTGAAAACTGCAGGCTCGTTCATATCATTCCATATACCATCAACGCCATTGGAAATAAAATCCCTGACTAAACTAGCCCACCAGGACCGAACTTTGGACTGTGTGAAGTCTGGGAAAACACAAGGCCCAGGCCACACCTCCCCTGATAAAAAAAAAAAAAACAGGTAGAACCAAATATCAAAATAACTTCTGATAAAGAAAAAGGGTAATCACTATTTTAGATTGAAACATACCAATATATGGCTGTCCATGTGTATTTTGAACCCAACCGTCAATTTTGGAACCACTGTCATATATGAAATAGCCCTGTTCATGCTTAATACCCGGGTCAAGCATCCAAATTGCTTTGAAACCATTATCATGGAGATCTTTCACCAAAGAACTTGGAGCTGGAAAGCATTCCTGAAACCAACATAATAGTAACAACAGTCGCAAACAGTCGTCTGTGTATTAAAAAAATATGGAGCGACCTTTTTACAAACTTGAGAGCCTAGTCTTCAAGAGAACACTCTCGATGCCAAAATTTGTGCGAAAGATAGCTTTCATTGTAGCAAATGGGACTGGGAGATTGGAAGAAAACCGGAGATCAGGACGTTAAATCATAATACAAACCAGATCAAAGTGGAGGGAACATGGTGTAATATTCCAGCTTCTGACAAAATTTAGTAGGACAATTTATTCTATTCGGTTAGGTGATGTTTTCATTTCCAAGAAAATATTTAGAAGAAAGTAATCCTTCATAGAAATTTCTTGGTACAGGCCAAATGATACAAACATGAACCATACTTGCCACATCTTCATATACTTTACTAATTTTACACTTGCATCCCAAGCTGTCCAGAACAAGATGGAACCTTCCCGTAAATAATTAGCTTCACAGGAAAAGTGAAAAAACCTATACAAAATTCAAAACTGATATGGCAAACCGCTGTAGCGTTCAATAGTCACAGACTGGTGCCTAAGGGTTCATAAACCATACCAGAACGGAGCACTGCAGAACTTCTGTGCTCATCAAACTAAGCATTGTTGGAGAATGAAAACTGTTGATCTTAAGGAATATACTAAACAAATTGAGTAAATATAACTAACAACGAAAGTGGTATACCAGTTTGGCAGCCCCACCACCAAGGATCAGGGTTAAACTCCCCACTCCTTCAACTATCAGAAAAGGAAAATTGATGGCATTGAACTACAAAAGAACCTAGAAAATGAAGAAACTAATACGACAAGTAAAAATATGAAAATAGCTGTTTAACTCATATGTCCCTGTAATGCAATTTGATAGCTAACTTTTTTCAATCAACCAAACAGCTTGTCAAATATATGCCAGCATATAACACAGACACGAAATGAAAATCAAGTCTTCAATCGAAGTTCAATTTGTACTAGATGATTCGCAGCATACATGCCTTGTCAAATGTGAAACATCGGAAACCATCCATGTAGTCAATATCCATCCAAATGACATCACAAGGTATGCCCTTCTCCCGGAAAGTTTTGGCAACCTGCATGAGAATTGAGAACATCATCAATCACAGGGAATCAAGTTCCCAGCTTTTAACCCAGAATAACTGTGGTTAACCATGGGAATTATCAAGCAAAAAAACAAAATTTTGCACCAATATGCTGAACATGTTCCAGCGATGGAAATGAAAGCCAACTGAATAAGACAGAAAACCCTTCTCCACCAACAACACTTTTCACGTAAAGGCTCCCTCCAATACAAATTTTAAGATAAGGTAAGAAGCATGCTCAAAAGGCAAGTAAAAGTTCTTAGAAACCTTCACTACGAGAAACCCACCTCTCGAACTCTCAAATCTGAATCATAGCTCCAACGGCACTGATGATAGCCTAAAGACCACTTTGGAGGCATGAAGACAGTCCCTGTGCAGATCCATACAGCAGTTAGAGTTACTGTAGAACAATTTATCAAAGAAACCATAAAGGGGTTGCATGATTAAATGAACATCCACGTTCAATAACCTAGTTAATTAATTAACCTGAAAAACTTAATATCCTTTTAAACTGGTTATATACGCCCAAGAGTGGCCAATCAGTTCAGGAAGGTATTGCTTTAAGAAGCAAAGAGGAGATACAGAAAGCAGGTATGACATGACCCCTCAGAGGCCAAGTGAAGTGCTCAACACCTTTAAAGAATTTTGATGCAGTTAAAGGAAAATTAGACATATTTGCAGATTCAGAAAGGTGATAGATCCAGCAGGGAAAGTCACAATGAATATCAAACAAGTTAACAAATACAGTCACTCAGAAAATACAAAGAGCAGTTCCAGAGAATCTATCATTTACCCGCACCAAGGAATCATTTTGTCTGACCTCAATAACTGATCTGATATTCCTCTTTCCACCCATTAATTAAAACCAAGCAGCTATAATAATTTACATCCCAGGATCAAGTATGCACTATAGCTAAATGGCAAGGATGTAAGCCTTCAAGCAAAATATATTTTTTCAAGAGCATAAGGGGTATGGACTAGGTTCTGTAAATGGAAACAAAATCTTTGTCCTGCAAATGAATACAATAAACACTCATTTCCAGTTTCTTAGAGACAATGTCTGAATGACGAGTTGAAGCTCATTTTTCTTGCACAATTCCCTGAAGATTATGAAGTGCATTGCTCAAACCAATTTAAAAAAACTTCGCAATGTCCGGAATCCACGTTCAAATCTCATCATTCTAGTAGATTCAACAATGATGGTTGGATAGATAAATTTTTTAATTTTCAATTACGTAAATAATTTTCATTGCCAAAATCATTTATCTTATCACACAGCTCCTACTGTCCTCCGTAGAAGGCTCACATGTAGATTGCAGGAAAAGCACATATGAGAGTCGCTTAGAAGATTACCAATTGCATGGGACAAAGAACTCAAAACAGCTGCCGGTGAAGGAAATGGACCAAAAGATATGATGGGATAAAAGGAAGGAGCAACGAACTTAATTACTGACTCAGTGCTCAGATCAATCTGCATTTCAGCAGCAGTCGTTAGTCGTCAACTTGGAAAAGGGTCCAATCTATGCAAGAAATATCGGCATCCCATGTCACTCACCTCACAACGCTTGGTGGTGTCTGCAAGTACTCCAATTGCTTCTCCATTTGGCAGAACGGCCAACACCCAAGGATGTGATTGGTACAAAGATGTAGTTCCTGGACCATAACCCCATGCATCTGTGTTCCATGTGAAAACCTACATTTAGGCAAATAACAAAATTTTAAGATTTTGAATTCAACATCCACTTATGATTTCCATATTAAACAGCGAAACCACTTACTCTCTTCCCAGTCCTCTCAAGCTGTCCACTAACTTCTCCACTTCCATAAAAAGAGGTACCAGCAGGCAGCTATTTACAAGATGGAACAAAATTGGTCAGATTTACAAGCAACAAATCAAAGACTCCGCGAGTAGTAAACCGTACTCTACATGGGACGTGGAGAAATTCCAAGAACAAGGATGTCTTGGGGAAATACTCATCTTGTCAACTTTTAGTAGCAAGATGCAAGACAGATGGTTTTAAAGAGGTCAATCCATAAGTTCCAAAATAGTGTCGGCATCATCATAATATAGTGAGAAACGCGAAACCAAGAGCTTCAGAAAAGTCCACCTGAAGCTGGACAGTCTGGCTCTCCGAACCAGACTGATAAGTTGGGATGAACGTAGGAACTGCTTCAGCAGCATTAGTGATCGGCGTCTCCCTATCCTTCGCATTGACGAAGGAAACACTAGGAAAAGCAGCAGCCCGATCATCGGCAGAGCAATCGAATCGGAAAACGCCTTTCTCCAAGATTGGCTGAAAAATCATGTCGCCGGAACGGACATCGCGGCCAGCGGGTTGCGTCGCCTTTCCTTGAGAATCAGTCATCTTGCAAGAGCAGCTAGCTCGCTTGCGCCTCGAGCACCTGCATGCGATGAAATGCGAGTCAGGAAAGCGGGGGGAAAACAACAGCAAGACGGTGATCAGGGCGATTGGATGAAAACACGAAGCTCAGTGAATGAAACAGAACCTCGGCGACGATGTGGAAGCGGAAAGGGAAGGAAAAGGGAGCTGAAACTGGTGGCGATGACGATGATGAGGAGTTAGTGAGAGAAGTGGAAATGGTGCTACCAGTTCCACGCCATGGTAGTGGAGTGGAGAAGCTGTGGCTGTAGCGGTTGTCGACAGGTGAAACCGTACCATTTGAAGCTCGTTTTTTCTATTTGTTTATGCATCAATCATTCATCCAATCCAAACATTTCTGAACATAATTTTTTAAGGAGTTATATATGCGCACCTGGTCCTTGAACTTCTGTGGTATCCGTTATTCAGTCCCTAAACTTTTGCAAAGTAAATAACTAAGCATCCAATTGGTCAGAGAAGATGAAAACACTCACTGCCTCACCAAGTAATCTTCAATTATTCTTTTGGCTAAAAATAATCATAATAATTTGAACATTATTAATTAAAAAGTTCAGAATGGGATTCATGGCTCTTCATCCCCACTATCAATCAACACAACATTCTTTCTGGTCTTCAGCCGCTTGCTAGCCCTCTTATCACTACTGCCTTCTTCCTCCTTCGACGCCTCGATCTCAGGTAGTTCGTCCTCAGACCCGGCAAACTTCCCAATCTCTTCCAGAATCCTGTCGCCGTACTTTTCAGCTTTCAGCTTCCCAATTATCTTCTCCAACTGCCAAGAGAAAGAAGGATGGATCAGGAACCAAACTGCTGGTGTTCAAAGGATTCATGGAAATGAGCTCCATTTGACATGTCTACAGTTGCTGCTACTTACCTCTTCCATTGAGTTCGGCTTTTCGGTGCTAATCATGCTCATCTGCTGGCTAGACAACACGGAATGGGGGAATATCCCACCATGATTGGAAGATAGCTCTTTCCTCAGCTCATCAAGTTTTGATTCCAACCCAGATAGTCTGTGTTTCACTGTTTTCACGTCCCCTGCTGTCTTGCTCTTCTCTTTGTTACAAGTCTCAATCTTGACAGCCTTCTTCCCTGCATGTAAAAATCACAACTTTTTAGTGTGACACACTCTACTTTCCGCTTCATATGAGATCAATACAGGTATTTCAGCCAATTGAATTAAAGGTTCACTCGGGGATCCTTAAGTGACTACTGCACGTCCAACAATTGTTCGACTCTTTGCGATCACTTGTCACTGACCGTTCCAGTGTTCATAGCTTGATTTTGAAGATCCAAACAATCTAAGTTTGAGCAATCTTATTATTTTTCCTTTGTTACTTCTGCATTAATGGGGCAGAGGATGGAAATGCAATATTTGAAGCATATCACGACAAAAGGATTCATCAAATCAAATTCTAAGGAGTGCAGATAGAAGGCCACACTGAAATGTAACATATTTGTACAAATTAAGGTGCTTGTTAATACTAGACTATGCAAGCCAACCAGAGTATAAGTTGAAAAGGACGAGTTCTACCTTGGAGCACTTGATTTGCCAATGGTCCTACTGTCACATAAGCATTTGTGGCATATGCTGTGTGCTGAAACTCTTCTTTCTACATGAAAACACAGCACAGATTGGCAATCTTCTGAGAAGGGAATTATTTACATGATGATTCATCCAAAGAGGGGAAAATCAAGAATGAAAACCAAACCACACAACAGTAACTAAGGCGGAGGTGTCTATAAAAATTCAGTGTCGTTTAATTTGATTATTGGATATATCCTCAAATGAATTCATATAGTCAGGCTATCTTTTTAGGATGGTCTGATAATTGGGACACAAATGACCATAGATCAGCCAAAAACTCCTTAATATGAAAATGCATTGGCAAGATAAGAACAGGTCCATGATTCTGCAGAACCAAAAGGCCACTTGCCGTTCTCTCTGAGACTGAGAGGTGCATCAGTGAAATGTCAAACATTTATCATCAAAGCTTTTCAAATAGGTTTCACCAAAAAGAAAAACTTGTCAAATAGGGGATCCGCCACAATCCAATTACCTACTTTCGAAGAAGACAGAATAAACTTTAACCCAACTAGCTGATGCATCAATTTAGGGCTCCAGGTTAAATAAAAAAAGATAATAATGCCTAGAATACGTGTATTTTCTTTTCTAGTAAAAGCTTATCCACTGAACTGCCTATCTGCCTGAACATCTGAGTTGGATGTACTTTGAAGTAAGGAGCTTTGTCCAAGCAAAAAGAGCTGACTCAAAGAAATTACCAGAACTCGATCAAGTAAAAGTTGTACTACAAGCTGCTCCAGCTGCTCTTTCTTTAAGGTGGATCCTATGAGAAACAGAGGAACAGAAGAGTTTCAGCATACCAATTGGACCACAAGTAGCAGTAATCCATAACCGGGCAATTGTGAACAGAGTTATTAGCGCTTTTGCACATAGATAAAGACTAAAGCCACCTTCAATTATAAATTGGAAGTACCAATGTGAAATTAAACACAAAGAGCACACCAGAGATCGTACAGTTAGCAAAGTTCACTAGTATGCATACTGATCAGAGGTGAGCATCAGGAAATTAAGTATTACAAGGTTGCTCAAATGACATGGTTCAGAAAGTCAGTAGGCATGTAAAGAAATGAGAAGAAAAAAACAATAACCGAAGAGGCGATGACACTTCCTAACTCCTATCCAATTAACAAGTGCCAGAAAGAGGCTTGAAGGATAGAAAATGCCAAATCTGGACTTCAAATTCAGCTATTTGACACCTCAAGAATATAACAGATTAACACTGTAAATCACCCATAGAACAAACCTAGTTGCTTATGCTTGGATTTCATTTTGTCTACCAATTGCAGCATTGTTAACCTCTGATCATTCTCGAGCACATCTTTCAGCAACGAAACAATAGCTACAGCATAATCTGCAGAGCAAACCAGAACAGTTATGTTTAGCTCATAGCTATGCATTCTCAAATTTCAAAATGTGGCCTTCAATAGGATTTACCCAAATAAGGCTACTGTAGAGAAATCTAACAGAGATAATGAAGTAACAAGGTTAAATGATGCAGTCATCTCAGACACAATACTTTATTTGGAGGGAATTTCACCGACGATATTGATAACTACGATAAGATGAAAACATTTGTCAGACAGCTAACAACCACTTGGCTTAATGGTGATCATTAGCAAGATAACACTCACGATAAGTCACTTATTCAGGTTCCCTCTCCTTTCTTTTATTTATTCAACAAAATACAGCATAATGTTAAAAGAGAAAATAAAAGATAGCAACAAATTACTTGCACATAAACCATTCTAAATGACATTCAAGTAAATTTGCCTCATCCCTACTCCAACCTTATTGGGCACTCCTTATATAAAATAATGTCAAGATAATATTGGTAATATTTCATAAATGAAAATCGTATAGTAGAATGACAAATATGTGTGCATGCATCTCAGATCTGAACCAAACAAAACAAAAAGGTCACTCTGTATAAAGTTGTATGTTCTAATATTCTGTACATCTTGATTTGTTTTAAGAACTACAAGCTAGCACAGGCAAAATGTTCTATTTATTGAAGTTCTTGAAAAAGGAGTGCACATTTCTTTCGGTTCTCCTGTCCATCATTTTAATCATACCTGATATAAGGCACTGTAAAGGAGAAACGAGATCTGAACCAAACTCTTGATCGAAAGATGATAAGAGGGACATTCAATGAAATTTAACAGATTACTAAATAAAGGAACTTACTTGATACATCAAGTTCTATAATCTCATTTGAAAAGGCGCAATTATCACACATCCCTGCAATTGAGAAATATAAGCATATAGGTATATGTATGAAAGCTTCTTAATACATATGACGTCATGATGGTAGATAGCTGAGTTACCATTGCAGTCCTGCAGTGCCTCACTAAAATGTTTGAAGAAGGCAGCTCGACGGCACTGTCTTTTAGTCTACAATTTGAAGAAAAGAAGATCATGGTCAACATTCCATTCATCAATAAAAAGAATGTAAATGACAGCTAGCAATTTTGCAGGAATAGTGTAAAATACCTGGAGGGAATTACCTGGCAATACCGTACAATGTCGTAGAGATTCTGCAGTCCAGAATTCTCATAGAACACCATCGAACTCTGTTTGAAAAGGAAAATTTATTAAACCATAAGATTGTAGGGCAACAAGAAGTACCAACACGGAAGAAAGATGAATTACCTGCCTGGGAACGTCAGCAGGCCTGAAAAAGAGTACACACTCAGAAGGTAGACCATCTCGTCCAGCTCTACCACTCTCCTGAAGTGAGCAAAGCTATATAAAGAACAGAGCACAAGAAAAAGGCTAGTTCAGCAGGCACAAGAGAAAGACCTGATAATATGTTTCCATTGATTTGCTCAAGCTGTGATGGATGACAAATCTAACTACAAACAGCAACTCGGAATTAGCTAAGCAACCTTATATCTACATACACATGTAAGAGTTTTCAATAGAGTAGTGACTTGGCACAGAACAGGTTAACGGTCATTACCATCAGGTTTGTTGATTCCCATACCAAAAGCCACCTGCCACACAAACAATAGTTTAGGTGTGACACAGACAACGAATACAATGCAGATAGCAATAACCTCAAATTTCACCTACCGTACCAACAATGACCTGCAATTTATTCTTGCTCCATCTGTTGCATGAAAGCCACTACATCATTAACTCCATAGAGTAATTGTACTCAAGAAACACATGCAGAATTTTTCAGTCTCATTTCTAGTTGTTTTTCTTCGTATGTACCACTGAATTAGACAGAAAATTTTCCAACTACATTTTGATATATAAAACACCACAGCAGTAATAATGTTACCTAGTATGCACTTTCTCACGAGCACCGGGATCCATATCTGCATGGTAGTAGTCGGCCGAGATTCCTCTTGTACGTAATTCTGCAGAGACCTGTTAATCACATCACCACAACAATGAATAAATAATTATAAGAACCTTTAGTGGTGTTACTTTAATTGAACAAGTATCTAAGAGCCTGAACCCGTTCAGTTCATGCCAGTTACAATAACGGGTCAAATTCTAATTCTTGACTAACCAGCAGCTGACTTATTTGGTGAGGCAAGCAGAAACCATTATGGATTTATTATGTAGAATCATACAGTTTCCTACAGCAGCCCATTGCTACCTTCTATGAACTCAATCTCTCTGCTCTTTGATGACAATAAGGGAACCACAAACCTGCTCGCATTCCTTTCTCGAGAAGCAATAGACAATCCCGGACTCATGGTTTGAGTAAGACTCCAGAATGAATTCAGCAATTTCGTCAATAACCTCCTTTCCAACAGATGGCTTTTCTCTTACCTGTCAACAAGAAACTTTTACTTGAGCTTCAAATTCACATGTGTTAAAACTACATCACAAGAAACAATTACACAGAAAATAAGAAGGGGTGGAGGGGGAAATATCTGTCAGGAAAATGCACCTTATAAAAAAGATTTGGTCTGTTGACAGTGCTAACAAACTTGACACATTTTGGAATATGCAGCATCTCCATGAGATCATATTGGACTTTCCCAGTGGCTGTTGCCTGCAAAACGCAAATAAGTGATCACAAATCCTACATCATGGATTCGGAAAATTTCGTTTTCTTTTCCCATGTCAAACATTATACACTTACAGTCAACGCCACTATAGGAACACCTGGAAACTGAGTCTTGAGGATTCCAAGGCTCTTATAGTCTGGACGAAAGTCATGGCCCCACTGACTACAGCAATGGGCCTCCTGCAAATTTGCACTAGTAATCAGAACAAGTTAACCCCTAAATGTCTATCACTTTGTTAAATTGGTTCTACAAACAAGATTTCAGAACACTTTGTCATCAATTAATCCTTAGAGCTTTATTATTCCAAGCTTACCCCATTAATCATAAAGTAAAGAAAACTGCGGATACAAGTGCACTTCAAGATAATAAGCATATGGACTGTTGCACATCTTTTCAAGAGCTGCCATTAGTAGCCTCTCTTGAAACTAGAATTGTGAGCTAGGCCAATGTAGCCATTGCTTTTAAATGAAAATAAATAGCAAATGTGTAGTCAGGTGTTAAATCTACTCTGCTTGGTAAAAAGACTAGCAAAAAGAGTGGAAACCTACTTACATCAATTGCAATCAGAGAGAGACGGCCTTGATGATTGCACTTTTCAAGCTTTGACATAAACCTTTTGCTCTTCGATATTTTTTCAGGAGTAACATACAATACCTTGAGCTCTCCTTCACCTTTTTCGAGAGCTTTATATATGAACTTCTCTACTTCCTTGTTCGTAGTCGATGTCAACATGAATGCAGGAATCCCTAATGCAGTCAATCCCATAACCTGCATCACTGTTTATCATTACAAAAGCTACCTAAACAGAAAGTATGGAGTGATAAATACATATGCTCTGGAAACCCAATGGGAGGTGGATGAAAACATATAACCCACTCTAGGCTCAAACCACGGGCAGACTCTGAACTATCAGAGAAAGGAGAAACACCAAAGATCGGAAAGAATACCTGGTCTTGGATTAAAGAAAGCAAGGGACTGACAACGAGAGCAACCCCATCACGGAGAATAGCTGGAAGTTGATAACAAAGGCTTTTCCCACCACCAGCAGCCATGATCACTAAAACATCCTTTCCACTCATCACAGCATTTATAATCTAGTAAGAGATACAAAATAAATACAAGTGAATCCACATAGATTTGTCCCAAAATGAAGAAGAAACTACATCGGAATAAGAGAAATAATAGTATACTTTCCACTCATGAGTCATGACCATGGGTCAATCTAGCCCAAGTTAAATAGTCATAAACAACCCACAAAGAGCAATCAATATTACCATTACAAAGTTTCCAGCCATGACATTATCTAACCACAGTTTGGGGGTTTAGTATAAGAACGCGTCAAGACTCCCAAAAGAAAAGGGAGAAGTGATAAGAACACGTAGACATTTTTACTTTAACTTGATTTCTTCAACAAGGAATCATAGCAGAGTAGAACTATCAACGGCCACTCTGGAAAATGCAAGGGTTTCGATGACCAATTCACCATTTGGAACTGGATTGCCAAATGCCAGCTCGCGGAAACAGAAACAGAACTATCAACGAAGCTCGTAAGAGAACCCTACCTCGCGTTGATTCGCCCGGTACGAAGGTATCCCAAACACATTGAGCCTCACATCGTCAGCCTCGGAATCCCACTGAAAGGGACCCGACCAATTTTCCGAAGTCGTCGATGGGCAGCCTTGAACTGGGCTTCCGGAAGCTTTACATGCTTCCAGCAGAGCTCTGAGCTCCGACTGCCTCTCCTCCAACTTCTCTTGCCTGTCAAACAGTGTTTTTATCTGGTCTGCAAAACAGGTGACCGGAAGTGAGATGGCAAAGAGAAGACGCCCGAAAGTGGCAGATAATTTTATTGAAATTTCCAGAAGGACCTTGCACGTCTTGAATTTCAGCCTCAACGGAGAGAAGTTCTTCCATTACTAACTCTTCCGTCTCCATTGTTGTGCCTCTGCAGCGAGTGCGAGACAATGGAAGGAAATTTTGGTTCCCTCCAATGAACTGCAGATGACGGGTCGGGAGAAAGCAAGGAGAAAAGGAAGGAAAGTGCTTCGCTCTTGGGCCGATATGAAAAGGTCATATGAGCCCAGAGACGATAAAGCTAATTTGGGCCGTTTGCATTAGGTTATATTAAGGTTAGGCTAGGTTTTATTTTGTTTTTAATTTTGTATATAAAAAGCTAAGTATTATTTTGTTTTACATTGGCTAGTTAAGTGATTTCCTTGTAAGTAAACCATTTTTCATTTTTTCAAAGATTAATTTGTCCCAAAAACTTACGGCTCGATTGGTTGTGGGAATTTGAAAACTTCATAATTAATGCAATTTTCTTATTATTGTTATTTACATTATCAAGGAAACACATATATCATTATTTACAATGCGAACATACGAAATTTTCTTATTTTACAAACGAAGAAATTGACATGTAAAAATTGGTCAAAAAAAACTATGTTTGAATTGAGCTATGGGTTGTGGGAATTGTTGGTATAAAATTTTATGCGTTTACCAATTTATCATTTTCCAAATATGAAGACATGGCTTCAAATCCCACATTCTAAGTCCAAAAAATCAATACCACGCTAAATTGCTCCAATCCACCAACACTCAAATACTAAACATCAACCAAATCATCTTATGGTGATTCACTGTGATGGGGCGTTTCTAAACGACTCCCAACCGACGGCATATGGTGTGGTTTTTGTTAACCACCATGGACAAGTATATGATGGACGAGCTGACACTTTTCTTTGTTCTAACCTTATGGAAATTAAAACGAAAGCTCTACTTGAAGGTCTCAAATTAGTATAAGAATATGATTTCGAGTGCATCGTCCAGTATAGACATAGGTAGCAAGCCATTTTAGAATTTCTTTTAATTGCCTCTCATGAGAAAAATATCCCACAATAAAGGAATGGTACAGTATGAAATAACATAAAAATAGACTCAACTCATAAACATAAAAAATATAGACTGCCAAGTCCTGGTTCAAGCCCTGTCTCATGACCCCACCCAATGACCTTGGAGATGTGATGCACATATCGGATCGATGGTTACAATTCTTCGAACGAACAAAAGAATAAAGAATAAAGTTGTGGCAAGAAAGTTCAACTCTCGAGCTGATTGGGTCGCTCGTTCGATGGGGTGTTCAACGCTTCCAAACAACTTGATTAAAATTCTTGATCTAATTTATTATATACTCTGAATTATGTTTGTAACATTCGTTTCTCTTCTTTCGATGGTGGAATAAAAGTGAACTTTACTCATACAAAAAAAAAACAAGGCCTAATACACTTGTATAGCCAAAACTTTGACGGTTTTGCCAAATATAGCCACATTTGGATAAATACAAAAAATAGTCACTTCCGTCCAATTGTTTGACGGTGTTAGTTAACGTGTTGACTAGACTAACGAAAAAGCTGACATGACAATCTTTTAATCATTAAAAATATGAGCTGGAATAATCAAAAAAAATAAAAATAAAAGAATTTTTTTTTTATTTTCTCTCTCTCCCTCTCCGTTCTTCTCCCACCCAACCTTCCCAATCTCTCTCCTTTTCCCCCATTCTTCCCCAGAATCACTCCCCCTATTCCTCCTCCCCAATTTCCCTCCCACCCAACCTTCCAAATCTCTCTCCTTCTTCCCCATTCTTCTCCATAATCACTCCCCCCTGTTCCTCCTCCCCAATTTCCAAACCCACAGCCACCACCAACCTTCACACTTACCACCTCTCTTCCATCCATCTCAACTACCACACCGAATTCAACCCTAACCACGATCTATTTCCAATCTGCAACAGCCACCACCAACCCCCAGATCTAACTCACTGTCGCTCCTGCTGCAACGGCTTCAGAGCTCTAAATCGCCGCAATCCCGCCGGCAAAACTTCGGTTCATGAACACGGGTTGAGTTAGTTTAGCGATTGATTGAGCTCGAAGCTACGAGATTTTTGTGGTCCTTACCAATAGAACGAGGGCGGATGATCTGGAGGCTCCGTGCCCGGCAAATAGAGGAAACGAATGGAGGAAACGATGTGAAGTCGACGTCGCTCTTGATCGGCGTCTTTGTCGGTTGTCATTTCAGTGGTCTCCCCGAGATTTGGGGGGAGGGGGGACTTGGCTTGCTACTGGTCGAGGGAGGAGCGATATCGAGGGAAGCGAGATCAGAGATGGGACTAGGAGGTGATGGCGATTGGTTTTGATCGTCCGTGGAGGAAGGAAAGACGGTTGCGGGCTGAGGCAGAGAGAAGAGAGGGTCAGAGGGATGTGAGTTAAATTTTTTATTGTTTTATTGTTTGTTTGTTTTTTAAATATTTTTAGATAAAAAAGACTATTTGGATTTTTATTTATTTATTTATCCACCCATAATTGTTAAATGATAAATCAAAATGAGGTGGCAATGATATTGATGACTTGTCGCTGACGTGGGTGATGAGTTGGCAGCCACATCATCATTCCGTTAATTAGACTAACAGTGTCATTGACGCCGTCAAACTATGTAACGGAAATGGCTATATTTGTCATCGAACTTTTAAAATTCTGGCTATTTCTGATATTTCTCCAAAAGTGGCTATATTTGTCACAAACGTCGAAGTTTTGACTATACAAGTGAATTTGACCAAAAAACAAATCAAAATAGTATTCATTGTATGTTTGAAACGAGAAAGTCGTCTAATAGTTTGTTGAAACAAACAAAAATCGAATCTCATTGTCCCCCCTCGTCCAGTATTCATTTTCCTCGTTCACGTTCTCTCCTCCAGCCCCCTCTTCGATTCCTTTTCTATCATTAGTCACCCATCATTTTTACTATCCAAATAACTAAACATCGAAAATGGATTGAAACAACTTGCTTTCTCTTCTATGTTCCACCGATTTCAAACTCCTAATAGTTTAAATCATCTTAAAACTAGAGGACGAAAGAGGTTCCTCGTGTGTTAGCAAATCTGTTTTTTTGAGGGCTCTGCTCTGCTTTCATCCCTGAAGACGACCTTGAAAGGAACCAACCAAGATTGGCTCTTTCCTGCTCGCTCCCATCACAACATCCGCCCCACATCGCTCATTTGGCTCCTTATCCAACTCACCAAATTTGGAATAAACAATGTTAGGCTCAACCTCTCCCATCTCTACCTGTTCTGTCTAATTCAGCAGAAACAGGGTGAGTGGAGGACGATGACCCACGGCCACGGGGCAACGAAATGGCGGACTAAAGTGGATGAGCAATTTAACCTTTCCCCCCTCTCTTGAGGAAGGAAATATCGACTGTGAGTCTGTGATTGTGACTCCAGTTCCTTTCATTCTTCTTTGTGTAACTTTGCATCTGTATATGTGATTTTCTTTTCTCTCCTACATCTATGCTGTAATGCTGCTTTCTGACAAAAAAAAAAAAAAGAGAAAAGAATCACGAGCCGACGACAGTTAGGGCATGTACTCTCCGACCCTGTTCAGCCTGGGCTTTTCTGACGGTGACGGCGGCGGAGCCAAGCGCGGCGGCGTTGGAAACCAGCGTCAGAACCCCTGAGCCGGCGTAGATGCCGTCTTTCACTGCGTAGCATTTTCCGTCGAGCCATCCTTTCTCAAATGGCTGCGTTGCGCTCATGCTCGTCGCTCCCCCTAATAGCACCACCGCTAGCCCAAAACTCGCCCTGCGTCCACCATCCAACAAACAAAAGAAACAGAAAAAAAAAAAAAAAAACAGAGACACCTTAATTAGAAGGAAATTAATAATCAAGTACGTTACCTACTTTTTGCCACAAATTAAATCATGGGAATCGAAAAGCCCCTGACACAAAGGCAAGAATCTGAATCATGGGTCGCCTCAATTGCCAGACAAAGATCATTAATGGCGACTGACGACTGACCCAGATTGAGTAAACTCAAAGGAGAGTGAGAAAGAAGAAAACAGAGCATCATGTATGCGCATACGATAAAGAAAAGGTGAAACCCAACTGAATTGTTCTAAAGAGTAATAGACGAATTGTGGGGGGTTTGGATGAGAATTACCAGGAGAAGAGGAGGAGGAGAAGGGCGGGGACGGAGGGCTTCTTCGAGGCAGAGGAAGAAGAAACAGAAGTGGAAGGAGGCAGAGGAGGGGAAGTGGGCTTCTTTCTGGAAGAAGAGCAGAGAGAGGGGAAGAAGTTGCTGCAAATCAACAAGTTGGTCAATGTGTGGGCGACAACTAAGGAAACGATTGCCGCGATCCCGAATCCGAACGCGTGGCTCTCGGGCAGGTAGCAGAGCTCATTCTGCAATTTCACATCCTTCCTCTGCCCAGAACCCAAAAAAAGGAAAACAAAGAAAATCACAGCCATGAATTAACACGCATATTGCAGTGACTGTAAGATTCAGGAATTCGAGGTGGGATGAATGAGATGAGGATCGAGTATAAACAGATGTTTGGTACCTTGACTTTCTTGATCTCGGCAATGACGCAGGAGACGAAGGAGAGAATGGCGAGGGAGATGACAATGGCGAAGATGGAGAGCGACCCAGCCCTCTGCTTCTCCATGGGAAGGGGAAATGTGAGGACCGAGGAAGAGTAATTAGGGGATAGGAATTAAACAATGAAATGAAAATGATGAAGGGAAAGGAAAGGAAGCGTGGAGTTTACTCAAAGAATGTGTGGTCTTCTTCTCCTTCTTCCCCTGCACTACAAAATTGAAAACTCTCTTTTCTTCAATCTCCTCTTTCCCACAAATCCCAGTGTTCTAATTCCCCACACCACTCATGTTGTCCAGTTGTGGCGGAGAATCGTATGCGAAGAAGATGCATTGGATTGGACTCTTTTAATCTTTCATTCTTTTGTTTGAATCGTTAATAATAAGATATTGATATCAAAATGATCCTCTAAATAATTAATTAATTATCATATTTCTTATCGACACACTTTTCGTCGTTAGAGTAATGCATTGCGAGGCCATATCCAATGTGTAAAGTCAAACCCAAATCCAAATCGAAACATACCCGCTCTGAGCAGGAAACATTGGGCGTAGACATTCGGGAAGCAGCCGGCTGCCACTTCAGTAGCCCAATAAATAAACAAAACGGGCAACATATGTTATATGGGCTACCGGTACATCTCCCCAGGGCCAAACCGATTTCACACCGAATTATATTTCGATACATGATTGACTTTTATATACGAAAAGAAAAGCAAACTTGTTTTTTCATTGAAAAAATAACTTCCCATTTTATTTCTAAAATTACAATACAACTATCAACATTGTAATTTCAAATCCACACATTTAAACAATAAAATAATTTGACAATCAAGAGATCACTTATTCTTTGAGTGTTCCTACAACATAAGAGTTCCGCGGTCTGTTTTTAAATTAGCAACATTGACAGGGGGATTGTGAAGCTTCTTTACAGTTGGCTCTCCGAACATTCGCTTACAGTTAACCCTGATGCGCGACGAGGATGATTGATCTGGATGGTGGTGGTTAGCGAGATGTGGCGAGAATGTTGTCGAATTCTTTCTGAAGATCAATTCCTAAGGAATGTGCAAGAGCTTCTCATGGTGTTGAGTTGTAGTTTTACTAGTGTAGCTTCTATCATTTATAGTAGTGTTATAGATGATTTGATTGTTTGAATGGTTTTTCTGTAATTGTGACGAGAATGTTGTCGAATTCTTTCTAAAGATCAATTCCTAAGGAATGTGCAAGAGCTTCTCATGGTGTTGAGTTGTAGTTTTACTAGTGTAGCTTTTTTCATTTATAGTAGTGTTATAGATGATTTGATTGTTTGAATGGTTTTTCTGTAATTGTTTATAGAGTGATTGTGTAATACAACGTTTGGTATGTGTGATTGTGTATGTCGCATAAACTAAAAGCTGAGACAAAACAATCTCAACTCAACTATTTCAACAATCACAACTAAAAGTTGAGATATAACAATCACTCAAAATGAGTGATAGTTTCTGTCACATCACAGAAACAATCCATGTATTGTTTCTGCTAAAAAAATAAAAAAACGATGCATTGTAAACAATACATGCATAATGACAATATCAACAAAACAATCGCAACTTCCAAACGACCCCTTAATGTGGTTGACAAATTTTAAATGAAAATTTTAACTGAAAATATTACTTTCCCAAAATATATGAGTTTGATATAAAATATTGTAGAGTTTCATATTATATATCACATAAAAATTGATAATAAAGAAGCCAATTATATCTATAACCTATAATTTATTTATCCCAAGTATGTAGATTACAGAAATGATGGCATCCAAAACCGCCCATTAAAAACAAATCCAATTTATGATTATGAGCTGGAAATTCAGTAAACAGTATTCAACAAAATTTCTTCCGCTTGAGGCGCTCAAGAACCGACTGAGCCGTGCAATAAGCGATCGCCTGAACGGTGACCATGGGATTCACCCCAAGCGCCGTCGGGAACACGCTGGAATCCGCCACGTAAAGCCCTTCCACCTCCCACGTTTCCCCCGTCTCCTTCACCGCCGACGCCGCCGGATCCGCCCCCATCCGGCAGCTCCCCATCTGGTGCGCCGAGCACAGCTGCGTCGCCAGTCCTCTCACCGGCCGCCGGCTCTCCTCCTTCACAAACCTCTCGAACTCATCGCGGCTCGCTTTCTTCGCGTTTATGCTCTTACCGCCCAAATTATGCGTCCCGATCTCTTCCGCTCCGGCCGCCGCCAGAATCCTCAGCATCTTCTCCACCCCCTTCTGCAGATTCCTCTCGTCGGAATCTCCCACCCTGTAGCTGATTCTGCTGTGAGAATCTCCGACGGTTCCGGATCCCTTATCCCTCGCCAAGGTAAATACGTGGGCCGTTCGCGAAAACCTTGTCATCCTCAGTTTCATGTCCGATCCGGAGACCCACGGCATTAGACCCGCGAACATTCCTGGATGTAGAGAAGGTGTTTGAATAATTGCCCCATAGGATCCGTCCGTTGATTCGTCGGCAGTAACCCTTGACATTGCTGTCATTATCCCTCCTTCGTAGCTCTTCTGCTTTGATTCTTCTTCTTCTTCCGGGAAGTATCCCCACGCCATTGTGACTGGGTGGAGGTGGAGATTCTTCCCGATGTGGGGATTCTTCAGGCCGCTTCTCCGCAGCAATGGCGGAGTGCTGAGAGCTCCGCAAGCGACTATTGTAACTTTGGATTCAACCCTGCAGGTAATTTTCGTCCTCGATCCTCCACCGTATGATTCGAATTCGAATACGACCCCAGTTGCCTTTTCTCGATTTGTTGATGATTTCCCTTTCTTCCTTTCGTGCAGGACTTGGACTGCATTGCAGCCTGGGAGAATCACGCCATTCCCTGAATCCACCAAGTCTACTAGCCATGTCTCCGAAGTTCCCTTCTTCTTCCCATTCTTGCACCCAAAGTTGCACCAGCCGCAGTGGTGATTTGGGTCGGAATTCCTGGGAATGTCGTTCACCGGATACCCCAATTTCTGGCACCCTTTTCTCAGCACAGCACTGTTGAGTCCTTCCCCTCCATGGATTTGGGACTGAACCCCCATCCTCTCGCAAACAACCTGGATTGCTTCTCTGTACATCTTGCTCTCGAACAGCTCCAATTGATGATCATCGCTCCACTCTTTGGTCACGTTCTGTGGGGTTTCAAGCGAGGCAGACCAGTTGATTGTGGAGCCACCACCCACTGTGGAGCCCGCGAGGACCACGAAGCTCGTGTCGTCGGTGGCCATGAGACCTCCCGAGAGGTACATTTGGTCCATGGAAGGGCCTTCCAGGAGTGAGAGGTTGCTTCTGGCTAAGTAGCTTCCTTTCTCCAGGACAAGCACTTTGTACCCGGCTTTTGCTAGTACACCAGCAATCACACCACCTCCCGAGCCAGAGCCAACTACTACGGCATCACATTTGATGTTGAATGTTCCCGTAGCACGACAGATGGTGGCTGGAAATCCTGATCTGTGTAGGCAGTCTGCAACTATGTTCTTTGGAAGGTTCATGTGAATGAGACCTCTGCAGAGTGGTCCATAGATGTCTTCTTTAGTGGTGGAATGATGATGATCATCAGCAGCAGCTGGGTCTGGTCCAGGATAGCCAATTGCTTTCCATGCTGGGTTCTCATTCTGCTCATCTACCTGGTCCGTGTATTACAGAGATGAAATCCATGAATTGGTAGATAATTATTAGTTCAATGAAATTGAGGAAACAGCAATTGAGACTAACTAATGAAGCTCGTATACCTGGGAGAAGAAAACGAGTAGGATGATGAGTTTCAAAGTCTTGAAGAGCATCCTGAGGAGGAAGAAGTAGCTTTGAGACCAGTTGAGGAGGATCTGTTCCCTTCCCTGCAGAGGGATTTGAGGGAAACTGAGGAAGAATGGGAATCGACCACAGATGCTCTTCCTCCCGCAGAAGAGGAAGGTCCCAATCCATGTTGAAAGCAGCCAGAAGGCAAGTCTTACCAGCCAGACCTTTGGGTGCTCCAATCTCTCACTGATTATCCTTCCTATCTGCAAACAGAATTCTTAGTCAGCTGATCATCGTAAGTTCACTGTCTCTAAGCTACTGTCCTAAGGTCTTGAACTCATTAGAAGTATCACGTTCGAGTTCTCTTTTAACTGAACGAACTCCAACTACAGGTAAAAAATACAGGTAAAACAGGGAATGGGTTAGGGTGATTACTTGTTTTTTAGTAATCACGGTGACAACCTCTTTATATACCATTTGATTAATTATTTTTCCTTATTTTTTAATCTTACGGTCAAGATTCTTTTAGGTTAATTTTGGAAATTAAAAAGTGACCACACCTGATTATTCTATATAATCTACCTAAACCCTAGTTCTATCCTCCCTCCAGCCAAACCCGTCGCAGCCGCCTCCACGTACCACTCCCGTCGCACCGCCGACAGCAGCCCCGACCACCCTAGGCCACCGCCGGCAGCAGCCCCCCTCGGTACTCTCTCTCTCTCTCTCCGCCAAAGTGATCTCACTGCCAAAGTGCCTCTTTCTCAAAGTATCCTTTTTGGATTCATTATTAGGCAGCAGCCCAAATCTTCGTGTCGTCGGCACTGTCCGCCTCCGACGTCCCGTTCATCGTGGCCCACAAGAATGCAACGCTCAACAGGCTCAGATCAGGCGCCGAGCATGTCTCCGTCTCCATCGACATCTACAATCAAGGATCCTCGTGAGTTTTCACTTCCCTTTTATTGATTCAATGTGCAGTGGTATAGATTGTTTATATTGGTAGTTTTCGTGTAATGGTATAGATTTATTTCTGCAATGGTATTGATTGTTTATATTGATAGTTTTCGTGTAATGGTATAGATTTATTTCTACAATGGTATTGATTGTTTATGGTATAGATTGTTTATATTGGTAGTTTTCGTGTAATGGTATATATTTATTTCTGCAATGGTAGTTTTCGTGTAATGGTATAGATTTATTTCTGTAATGGTATTGATGTTTTTCAAAGTGGTAGTGTTTGTCTAATGGATTGGTACTCTTTTTTTTTTTTGCAGAAAGATTGAGAAAAATATGGAAAGGAAATCTGGCTGGAGATTACGGAAGTGAGAGAAAGAGAGAATTTTAATTAATAGATTTTTGTAACTGCCTAAAATATAATTTATTACAAAATTAATTAATATAATTTATTTTTTCATACCCAATTTACCCTTAGTAATCACTGTAACCTGTCCTGGTAAAAGGGGGGGGGGGGGGGGGGGGAAACAAATATATTGGAGAAATATGTGAAAATGTGATGGGGTGGGGTGGGTACCTCAATACACATGTCCCGTCCCACTCTACTACGGGATGGGGTGGGTTGACCCACTCTTACATGTTATTTGACAAAAATACACGTAAATTTTACTTTTTACGATAAAACAGAGAGGAAAATATTGTATGAATGAAAAATTGTGATAATAGAATGTATAAATGAGTTTAACAAGTTGAAATATAGACTCTAATTAGTTGAAGAAAAGTCAAAATAGGACAAATATGTATGAATATTGTAATAAATTGATATAGAATGGACCAAGAACAGGGCGGAGTAGGACGGATTGGAAGTAGATATTCATGTCCCGCCCTATGCTACTGCGGATTGAGTAATACCCTTCCATCACGAGTTAGGTCGGGTAATATCCGCGAGGCGGGTTCCAATTGCCATGTGAAAAATGACCCTCTATTAGATCATATGGGCCCTGGGGCCCAGATACTTTATTATGGACTTTTCTTGTTGTTGTCTTACAATTCTTAACCTGCAAGGGAGATCCATAATTTTTGTTTACGAGGAGTCCCTCCCAAAACTGAAAGGGCCCAACATAGAGAGAGACAGATCCATTTTTAGGTCGACTTAAAAGGGCATCCGATAGAGCCACGAAATTAGGGGGTGAGCATTCGGTCGGTTCGGTTTCGACCGAACCGAAATTATGAATATCGGGTTCCCGAATTCTCTCCAATCTCAAACCGAATTATAATTCGGTTCGGTCGTTTTAAACCAAATTATGATTCGGTTCGGTTTTTCACCCAAAATCGAATTTGTGTAGCTACTTGTATTTTCTCACTTTTAAATTATTTTTCACCCCTAATATAAACAATAAATATCAATTATATGCATCATCAATGATAAAATCAAACTTTTCAACACATAAGTCATAAAACATTTCAAATATTTAAGTCTAAAAACAACTACAAACATAAAAATCCACCATTTGGAGCTGGCAATTATAGTATTTCGGTTGGAAATTCAGTAATTCGGTTTGGTTGAAAGAACCTTGGTTTCCGAACTATCCATATTTTCCTTCTGAATTCCGAACCGAATAGCATTAATTCGGTTTCGGTTCGGTTCGACTTGGTTTTACCGAACTGTTTGCCCACCGCTACACGACACCATATGCAGTACGGACTGGAAAAGAAACCGCAAAGGAGACGTTCCCTTTAGGGATAATAATTTCTATTTGATTTGATTTATCTCACCTGTTTGTTCTGTTTTGGGCGGGTCTGATCTGACCTGACACTCCCTAACTTTTCCCATTATCGATCCATTTTTGTCTAAATTACATGTAATCTTAGTCAAATTACTTAGGTTTTTCCTCTTATTACATCATATTGTAGTTATAATAAAGTTGTAACTAGGTAAAAACCTCAATTTTCTTAATAATTTAACTACATTTTATCATATTATGGTTTTTTTTCTTGGTCTTTTAATGAAAATAACAAATATTTTTAATTTTTGTCGCATAAATAACATACCCATTGGGTCAACCTGCCCCGACCCGCACCCTATTATAAATTATCCGCCCTGTAACCGACCTGCCATAAGGCAGGCATGGGTATCGAGATACCCTCCCCAGACCTGCCTCATTACCATTCCTACCTTTCCATTCCATGGCAACTGTCAGAAAACGACATCATTTCATCAAATAAGGTAAAAAAAACTCAATGCATGCAGATTCGGTTGTCTACCTAACTACAAGTATTTGTCACTCCACTTATTTTATCCCACCAAATATGCATTGAAAAGCGATTTTAAATAAAAGCGTTTAGACGATTTAATAGCGGAAAAACATGAGATTTAAAACGTAATTTTGACTACATTAGTAAGAGAAAAACATGATTTTACGTAGAAATATTTTGATAAGCTAAAGGCGTAAAATCTTCGAAGGATCAAAATAAATCAGATACTATATCTCTCTATAATTGGGGTTTAAATAAATAAAATACATGGAAAACGAAAGGAGCGTGAACGAATAACTACTGACTAATCCGGTGCATGAGCGCGTGGGGGTTGGTTGGTCTAAAATACTAATAAATAAATATTATACTAATCAATTAAGTTAACTACCCGTTGAGGAGTTCCGGCCATGGAAGCCGACGTTTGGTAGAACGCGGCGACGGAGGGATCGACGGTCTTCGCCGCCGTCATCGTGATGGAGGGCAAGAAGGTGTCGCAGAGAGCCGTGAGGGCTTCCATCTCCCTGGCTGACAATTGGGAGCTGTGATCGTTGTCGCCGGCAGGCCTCTGCCGGCTGCAGTACTCGGCGGCCGTCTCCAACGCGAAGCTCCCCAACTCGATCACCACCGTCCCCTTATCGTCGCCGTCATAACCACCATCATGCCGCCGCCGTGGCCCTTCTACCCGCGCCATCATCATGACGAAACGACGGGAACAGGTACAAATTTTTTTTTTTTTTGAAAGAACGGATACAATTAATAGTGTTCAACGAAGTTAATTAATTTCGGGCGAGCTATATATGGAGAGGGATCTAGCTCGATCGGCAGCTAGCGAATGGTGGCGGTTATGGAAAATCGGGTTTGTGCATGTAGTACTAGACTACTAGTAGTAGTGGTATATATATAGGTAATAACTAGTGTACGTGAGTACGTCAGGCGTATACTATACAACAGGTGATCTAACCGTTAGATGTATTTAGATGAGCTCTGGCCGATTTCAACGGTCAATTTTTGTTATTCATTAATCGGGTTGGGGTTTAGAAAATCGGTGTATGGGGTTTATCCATTAGAGGTTAGGTATAGTATCATACCCCAAATTCGATTTAATTCATTATCTAGATAGAGATATCCCACTAGTAATACCTGGCGTATCTTATACGCTTGACGTACACCAGTCCGACCCATATATATATATAAAAGATGAAACACCACGTGGAAGGCTGAAACCAAATATCGCAAAAGACTTGGTGATTTGAACTTAACCGTCAAGATTCATGAAATCCAGCTTAAATAACACTAGTTGTTATAAATAATATAGCCTTAAAAGAGCACCAATCACCTTGTAAATCATCAATGCAATATAAGATATTTTTTTAGTGGAAAACAAATGCCCCCAATTGCTTAGTGTATAGTAATTATGATCTAAATAGTTTACACCAACATACTAATTAAAGTAACGAGATTGTGGATCAGTTAGTAAATACTCCGTTTAATGCATATATTTATAGACGTTCCATTCTTCCATTAAAAGGGACTCTTCGTTTTGTATATCTCAGGGCAGTCCATGCTGAATCAAACGAGACGAGAAGTTCATGAAGAGTTACGTGCTCGATCGAGTGAAATCGGCTAGGCAGTAATACTATTCAGTATGATTTTATAACCCTTGATTTTGACATATATATTGACAACGCGCGAGGCCATCACTTGGTCACTTCATTAAAAACTCCACGTAGTTCTTAGCATGACAAGCCTTAACCCTCTCTGTCCATGAAGAAAGGGAAAATAGACCATAAGAAGCTAGAATTATGAATGAATGAATGGTCAATTTATGTATTGAATGGATATAAATTATAAACTCACCGTCGAAGTAGTTCACATATTTATTGTTCCATTGTACAAATCGCTCTCGTACTTTCTTTGACTTGTATCGCTATATATGTGTGCTCGTACAAAAAAAAAGATCCACGAGGACACGATCCAGCTTAATTATAGACAACGACCCCAGCAGGAATCATTAATAATCAAGGGAAGTGTAAGATGTGTTCCAATTTCGTCCACCCACACACTGCCACTAGGTAGCTGGTGGTCAATTTTTCACGTTGCTGTATATGCAACGTTGGCTTTGGCTATATTCAAACGGGTTGGTTATCGTAGTAATCATTTTAACCGGTAGTATTATGATGATTTGATTTGGTTGATTTGGATAAATGGTTTGGTTTGGTTAAACGTTCTAGCTGGTTTGCTTAGGTTTCGCCTATCCGAGCATTTAACCGATTAGAAAATTAATTAGCCACATATCTGATGAGCATTTCTACTACTGCTCTAAAGCATTGGTGATTTAAAGTACAACTTGAATTTGTACCGTAACGTTAAAGGTACAAATTGAAGTTGTGCCATAACATAATACAACTTTAGTTTGTACATAAAGAGATTTATACAAAAAATATATATATGTAAAAATTCAGGTTGTACCATAACATTAAATGTAGTACTTCAGGTTGTACCATAAAGAGCAAAAACTAAAGCACCAATGCTTTAAATCATGGTAAAATTCTCAATCTCTAATGTGTTATATAACACATACATAATTACTTTGCATAACTACTTAAGGGTGAAGTGTTCCTCCCATTATCCACAAAAGATATAATTATTCTTATACTAAATTTGTGGGACAGGTTACGGTGATTACTATAAAATAATTTTATAGTAATCACCGTGGTTACTAAGGGCAAATTGGATATAACAAAAATTATTAATTACTTTTTTTAACAAAATACATTTTAGGAAGTTACACAAATATATTAATTACAATTATCTATCTTTCTCTCACTTCCACAATCTCCAGCCAGATCTCTCTTCCTTTTTTTCAATCTTTTCCTTGTTTTCGTTTAACAGAACTAATACCGCTGCAACAATAACACAATACCAATCCATTAAAAGAACACTACCAATGCATAAAACACCAATACCATTCAAGAAATAAAAACACTACAATTTCACAAAACACCAATACCATTGCAGATTTATCAATATCAATAAGTGCAAATCAATATCATTACATGATAATCAATACCAATGCAAAACAAAAAAAACCAATGTGAAAAACACTACCACTACAGGGGAAAAAAACTACCATTCACTAAAAAGCAATACACTTACATGATAATCAATACCAATGCGAAAAAACACTATTACGAAAAAATCACTACCAATGTGGAAAAAACAATACCAATGCGAAAAAACACTACCACTACGAAAATATCACTACCAATGCGAAAAAAACACTACCACTACGAAAAAATCACTACCAATGCGGGGAAAAATCAGATCTAGGGTTTTTATTCATCTCACCTTTTCCACAGCCGTATCCCAAAGGAGAGAGAGAGAGAGAGAGAGAGAGGTGGGCAGGGAAGGAAGGAGGGGAGTGGGCGGTGTGGTGGCTGGTGGGCAGGGGAGGGGGAGGGTGGTTGGGTAGAGAGAGAGAGAGAGAGAGAGAGAGAGGAGAGTCGGCGGTTGTGGGGAGGAGGGAGGGAGGGCAGGTGGGGGGAGCGGAGGGGAGTGGAGGAGGTGAGCGAAGGTGGTGGGCGGAGGAGAAAGAGAGGGGGGCGGGTAGCCGGCAGTTGGCTGTCGTCGTCTAGGGTTCGGCTGGAGGGGATGGTAGATTAGGGTTTGGGTAGAATATATAGAATAATCAGGTGTGAACTCTTTTTTTGTTTCCAAAATTGGTCTGAAACAAAATTAACCGTGAGATTAAAAAAAGAGGAAAACAAGAAAAATGGACGGCAGATAGTGATGTAGCCACGGTGGTTACTAAAATTTTAGTTACCACCCTAACACATTCCCTAAATTTGCGCTTATAATAAAGTACGTGCAACAATATATGAGCTCGTAATTTAGATAAAGATCATATACTATGTTGGATGAAAATTAAAAAATGAAGAGATTTTTTAGCTTCTGATAACTGCTAAGAGTCCAAAATAATTCACACGGACACAACCCAACCCAATTCATTACCCCAACAACATTTGTATATATTTTTGCTAGATGGATACTTTTAAATACGGTAAGATAGTTATATTAGTATTTAGTTAGATGTGTTTATGTTAAAAGTTAACTATAAATTGATTTTTATATTTTATTCACCATCAGATGCGGGTTACTCGAATCGTGTAAGTAGGTACCGAGGACCAGACTTTCAACCCTAGATCCGGTTAGATCCAATTCAAATACAGATTCGATCCGTTGCACACCCCCTATTGCAAATAACACAAACGTTACAATAGTTGGTAGAGGATGGGCAAATCATTAAGCAAAGATGCATAGAACTTAGAATATCAAATGTCATTTCAAAATGGAAAAAATTAAATATCCTCCATGAAAATTTCTCTCCTCAGTCACTTACGTGGGCTCGTGTAGGAGTGACAACACCATGGTCAGTGGGCCTTCCCGAGTTACTGGATCGCGGATGAGTCAACCCGGGCCTCATCCATAGCCCATAACCGAAACTTGTGGCTCTCCCGTTGTCAGTCGATGATCTTTTCCCGCTCTCCCGCCGCCGCCGCCGTCTCCGCTCCGCTGCTTTCCAATTTCACTGCTGCGTCGTCTCCATCGATGCTGCCAGTTCTTTCTAGTTTCCATCCACCATGAACCAATCCCCATCTCTATTCCGCCCGTTGAGCTCCTTCTCCGTCTCTACAGTTCCCTCTGTCCCAACACGCAGAGTCTCCAATGTGTCGGGGTTTCGCTCTGATCGCCGCCATTACAGTTGCCGCTCTCCGCTCCGCACCGCCAGATGCGTCAACGCTGACGTCCCTGTGGCTGCAGAAGCCATGACGGCAGCGCCTTCTTCCCCGACCGGGGAAAATCGCGTGATCGCGTCCAAGACGAAGAAGGGAAAGGGGGAGCTGGAGATCTTGGAGGAAAATATTGAGAAGGTATACTTGTTTTGTATATCTATTAAGTAGATTCAACCCTCTGGGTTCTGTTTCCTTTTCTCCTTTCTAATTTTGGATTGAATGTTGGCGCAGGTCGTGTATCGTTGCCGGTTTCTGGCGATTCTTGCTGTCTTCGGTTCCTTGATTGGATCATTCTTATGCTTCATCAAGGTAAATCAGTATCTCAGATCCTGGTTTAAGAGCTCTTTTGAGTTTTGATATCTGTTGTAACTTTGGTCAAGTTGTGAAATTCTGCTGATATCTCGAGAGCAAGAATGAATGGTGATTGTGGGTTTGTTTTCAATTCATTAATATGGTCTGCAATCCTGCATATTCAATTGAAACCCTCGAGTTTTGGTACAATCCTATTGGTAACCTGAAACTAGTATGACTCTGCAGTTAACTTAACAGTTAACAAGACGGGTTGGTTCAAATATGCAGGGTTGCGTATATGTTGGAACTTCGTTTATGCAGTATTTCGCCACTCGTGGAAAAGTGATCATATATCTGGTAGAGGCCATAGGTGAGTTCTCTTGCTATAGCTGAATTTGTTTACTTTTTCTGAGGGCCTCTTGCACAGAGAAATTACCTCTGAGAATCTGGTTGCGCTGTCATATTCAGTAGGACTATCAACCTCTGTGATTGTGATTGTACTTTCATACAGCATCTTCTGCTCTGTTCTGTTTTTTCATGCTAGAGGTGGTTTCAGTTTCCATTCCATTTCTACAACTAATGTGTGATTAAGGATTACTAGTACCAACTATCCTTAATGGTTTTGTTTTCGTGGTTTCTGGCAAATGTGAAAGTTGGTTGTGTTTATAAAGATGAAGGTGTTTCCACCAAAATTTGTTGCTTATGGGTCTAAGGTGGAAGATAGAGTAAAAAGTTTGGAACTTGAAGACCAAGCAGTCATGAATTGGAAACTATGTGTGTCCGATAAAAATTATCTTTCAAGGTTTTTATGATCATTTTCATTCCTATTCTGCTACATTCGTCTATTGATTATACCTGTCCTATCTGTCTATCTACTGGTCACGTAACTTTCCATTGGCGAGATGTGTCCTTTAAGCTTTTCCGAGATATGTAGAAAACAATCAACTGCTATGTACCTAAAGAACAAATTCTCATACACAGTCATTGATTTTGTTATTGTATTGGTGATGTCTTACTGTTTAGTTGGTGGAAGGATTGATTATTGAATTATGAGGTTCTGCTTATGCTGGCGAGATTTTGTGCTTCCTTACTTCTGTGGCTGGTGCCGTGCTCCAGAAGACCAGAACTAAATTTGGCCTCCTTTCCTATCTCTTTGCAACCTTGCCCTTTCTGCATGTTATCCAAGATAATGAATGTGAAAGATCAACTGGACCAAGTTCCAACTGCTTCATTCATAGCGTGGCTGATTTACACAGGGTGCTGGAGGAAAGGAGTTATCTCATTCAACAGGCTTTGTTACTGGATATATATTTACATTTTCGTTTCTCTTGTCCATCTATCCTTCTTCACCTTTCCCAAACTAGCGCTTTTAAGTTTTCCTATCGCTAATTTTTAATTTATGCCTGAGTTACCAGTAATGGCATGGCCATTTTCTGAATACCAGTTATAGACTCCCTAAATAAAAAAGAATCTTGTGTTTTATCTGGTTGTGCCACTTTGTTTTTGCCATTTGCTTGTCTTGACTCTTGGTAATCTTGTTGATGAGAAGGGAGATTGCAGCTAAGCAGTAGTAACATAACAACTTTCTTTAGCATCCAGATTGGATCTTAGTCATTTGGCTTTCATCCTACCACAAGTTGCTTTCTGTGTCCTCTCCAAGTGAACTTGTTATCAGTTTGTGTGCTTATAATCAACTCTTTGACTTCATCTGATGGTATCCAGATGTCTATCTATTGGGGACGGTAATGCTAGTTTTTGGGATGGGTCTTTATGAGCTCTTTGTTAGCAACCTCAGCCCTTCAAAGACGTCACCAGGAGAAACAATGGCAGATCGATCTAATCTGTTTGGCATGTTCACCTTGAAGGTAATCAATCTAGATCGTCAAATGTTTGTCAGAACCGGGAACCTATATAGATGACGATTGGAATGCTGCATAATCTGAACGCCATCACTTCTCTTTTCCTTGCAGGAGCGGCCTAAATGGTTAGAGGTGAAGACTGTGAACGAGCTGAAAACCAAGCTCGGCCACGTGATAGTGATGCTCCTTCTGATTGGTTTTTTCGAGAAGAGTAAGACGGCAGCTATACACTCCCCTCTAGATCTGCTATGCTTTGCAGCTTCTGTGCTTTTATGTTCTGGTAGCCTTTTCTTGTTATCCAAGCTTAGCGACTCGAAATCAGGTCATTTCCTTGCCTAATGAACCCATAACAGAGGGCTTAAAAGGGATGTAAGTCATGGATGTATATATGTAGATTTCAGGAATGTATTATGGACATGGATTACAAATGTAATGCTCTCCTATCTTCTCTATCTATACAGTCCTAGCTTATCCACTATTCGGAACTCAACCATTTCTTAATTTTGGTGGAAGAATGATTTTCTGCATCTATATGTGATAGGAAAGGGGTTAGAGTCGAATAGAACTGAAACCTGTGCAGGGAACAGCAACAAAACCTGTGCAGGGAAATTAACCGTTAGTCCATCTCTGTTTCTCTGTTCTTCCACTAAATTTCACACCAAACAAAAACCCATTTCGTAAAGATTGCATCTTGGAAATTAATTTACGTTGTCAGGTCTCCAAGGAAATGAAGGGTCCGATCTTCATATACTACCAGCTCGAAAATTTCTACCAGAACCACCGCCGGTATGTGAAAAGTCGCAGCGACAAGCAGTTGAAGTACAAAGCAGATGCTGATGACACCGGCAGTTGCTCCCCTGAGGCCAACACCGACAAGGGCCCGATCGTGCCCTGTGGCCTCGTCGCTTGGAGCCTGTTCAACGACACATACAAGTTTGTGATGCAGAACAAGGCGGTGGATGTGAGCAAGAAGAACATCGCCTGGGAGAGTGACAGAAACCATAAGTTCGGGTCCGATGTGTACCCTCAGAATTTCCAGAGTGGCGGTCTAATTGGCGGTGCGAATTTAGAAACAAGCAAACCTGTAAGTAAGCCCTCTCTGTTCATCACTATTCAGGATGTAACATCGTAATCCTTATCGCATAAGGATTCCAATTCACTAAATCCCAAATCCAATTTATTTGTCATTTCTGCTTTCATAAAAGATAGGTCAGAACGGTGAAAAAAGAGTATGTTTGCACGAGCCGTGTTAACCAAACTAAAAAAATCATAAAAGTCGATAATTACACTTTTCGCCATGATAAAATTACATATAAAAAGACAAATATGAGTCATACAGATGTACTCCTGTAATATGCTATATTTCAGGTATTTGCAGTGAGACATATTTATCTAGATCAGAATTTAAACTGAGTTTGAGGTATGATACTATACCACTAACATCTAATGGATAAAGCCACGTCTCTATTCTCCAAATCCAAATCCGAAGATCTAATTAATAAAAATAACAATTGGCGATTATCATTCGTTAAAGTAAAATGAAAAGATCACTTGAATAGTTGAAGTATAGTATACTCCAAGAAGTATACCAGTGGTTACCAAACATATATATTCTGCACATTAAAGCATGATAAGTATGGCAAATGCTTCTATGCTTAGATAATATTGAGAATATATACATACAATCTTCCTCTCTTTGGTAAACAATGATCCTTCTCCATTGGCTCGATACAGAAACAGAAACATTTCTCAAAGAAAACCAGTGAACCTAATTGCATTGTGAGGGTACAAAATATTTTTCAATGGCTAAAGAATCAAATAATGCGCCTTGTTGTAAAGTGCAATAAAACTAAAGAACAAGAAGATACATGTTTATGATATTTAGTGGGCCTTGATTAACCCTAATATTTTTATGTTTCCTTCCATCATATGAGTTTATGAAGTGAGATGACAAAGGACTCTTATTCATTTATCTTTTAGAAAATACGGAGTAAAAGTAAGCGGACGAGAATAAAAAAAAATCTTTAATTATGTTCATGGTTGAATGACATAGAGTATATGAGATTGACGATGATCCGTAATTAAGCACTACCGATCGTATTCATAAGAAGTTGGGAGGAAGTAAAGAATCTAGATAAAAAAAATATAATATAAATTGATCTTACACATTAGAGGATCGAGGTAATGTTACTCTGTCATAGATAAATATGTCACCACAATTACGCTGAAAAAGGGGAAAACCAGAAACTCCACCCCTTCTCGAATCAGAATTAACTCACTAGTCTAAGATGTCCATCAAATGAAAAAAAGAAAGTTAGTAGAATCACAAGTCACATGGAAGCAACAAGAATTTCCATGATGGTTTTGGCAACTTGGCCTAAAATAATGTGATGTATTGGCTACTAGCTAGTAAGCGAAGGCTATGCCTATGATTTCCTTAAAGAAGAGAAAAGTTGTCAAGGAAAGTTGTGAGTGAGAGATTAGAGAACATAAAAAAGTGTATAATGGTCGAGAGAATTACATGAAATTGACTTCCCAATTTGCATTGATTGGTCGAGAGATTCAATTATGCAAATGATTTCATTTAGACATTTACTAATTTACCCTCTCAAATGAAAATCTATTTATATGGACTTAAAGTTTGTATAACAGACATCATGTGCTTATCAATGAGAGTGATATTCGGAGTTCGAACACAAGATGATCTAGGGGTGGCTGGTGGTTCGGTTCGTTTATAACCGATAACTGAATCCTCGGTTATCGGTTAACCGGATCTCCCCTCTATCGACAACCGACTGAAGCTACAATCTCAGTTAATCGACCATCGACCGGTCGGTTATCGGTTAGTGGATCGCTTAATCGCTAAAACTGAAAATCCGACAGAGTCTCCAATATGTCGGAGGCGATGGCACGACAGAAGGGCGAGGTCGCAGGGAGGAGGGCTAGGGATGACAATCGGTCGCGGTGAGTAGTAAGAGAGAGGAGGATAGGGAGGCCAACATCTACGCAGCGGCGTCGACGTCTGGAGGTGCGGCCGGGACGAGCCGAAGCTCTGATGATTCTTCGAGATCGGGTGACGGTAGATGACTGGTGCGGCAGAGGCGAGTGGGAGAGATGCAGGGAGAAGGCGGAGAGGCGAGAGGGTTCCATTGAGAAGAGAGAATGAGATGGATTAGGCTTAGGACTGCGGCTGTTCGCAAAAGGGGTGAAGGCGTTTTGGGGTTAACTCCATCGGTTAGTTCGGTTAACCGACAGTTATCACCCTCGGTTAATCGGTTATCACCCTCGGTTGTAATCCCTCTACCGACAACCGAATCGCCACCCCTGTCAAGATCTCTCTCTTTCAAATCAAAACTTTAATATCATATCAATAACCAATTGATCTCAACAACTCGAATTACTGAAAGATGTTCGGTTACATATCTTATACCGTTTACTAACCTAGCTAACAATATACATGTGTCGTCGTTGATGACTCATATCTCAGTCAAAGAAATGAGCGGTCCTAGAGAAGTAGGAGATCTCTAAGCAGAGTCCCATTGGTGCTGTCTTGTCGAGATCGATCTCTGTCTCGCGGCTCCTTTTGCAAAAGGATCGGATTAAAAAAAACTACCAATCAGAGCAGCTTGCATTATATATTAGCTGTGAGGGCTGAGGTAGGGCGTGAGTGGGGGAGATTTTTGTGCTTTTGGTGCTGCTGCTGCTACTGCTTTGCTTTATAGTTTCGATTTGGAAAAAAATGTCGACAATTGTTAAACATGCCATTTCAGGAAGTTATTCTCTTTCACTTACCCTTTCTGCATGCATCTCAAAACCCCTACGATAAACTAAACATTAATACGATGTGCCGCCAAAATTCCACGTGTGGGTCCATTCAACACCCCTCTCACGACCACTAGCTTATAACTTGATTTGTTTTATAAACCCACCCCTAAATATACATATAATAATCGAATTTCTTCCAACAACTTAAGTGTTGGTATAATCTGAATCGAGTTATCTGTCGTCGATTCTGGAAATCACGTACGGGGTCGTCTCACGCAATCCCTCTGGTAATTAGTATCTCATCAAGTATAATGAAACCGGCCCTCTCCTGCGTGCCCGTAGACTAAGTAACACACATGGTGTTAGCTAGTGAACCACGTAAACGTACGTAAGTGCATTGTCGATTATCCCGATCAGTTCTAACATCGGGGTATAAGGACGTTACCAACTGATTTTTTCGAACATGGTATATCAGAGCGCCTTTTGCCCTTTTGTAGTACTGTTAGAATCTCGCGCGGCAACTGCCCATATCTTGGTAATTAACACATGGTATTCATACCTGTTGCAGACTTCAAACTCGTATAAGTTGTTTTTTCTTTTTCTTCGTTTGAGAGAGATGATATTAGATTACATAATTGAATCTTTTCCAACGACTCGAGTTCAGTTACCGTGGTATACCACGAGTTATTTCTTGCCCGTTTTGTATATATAGTTAGATGCATCTCACCATATGAACAAACCTCAACCAGTTCACTACTCTGCTAGCTATTTACCTACACACATCTCTCTACTCTCTCAAAATCCTATGATGATGGGGATCGATCATCACCTTCACCAAGCCAATAGCTCGTTTCTAAGGTCGCCATATTGCTTGGCCACCACGCTTCTCCTCGTCCTTCTCCTTACGATCTCAACAAGTACGGCGGCAAGGCCGCCGCTACACCACAATAAACAGCACCAACGCCCACCGCCTCTCCCGCCGGCGGATCAGGGCTTGAGTACCGATCGCTGGAAGCTGGCCCGCAGGCCGCCGCCGCCCGCCGCCGTTGGTCTGGCTTACCGTTACAGTGCAACGGATGGAGATGCTTTCAGGCCCACGAACCGCGGCCATAGCCCTGGAGTGGGCCATGACAGCCCGCCTACTGCTCCATGACCCGACCCGGCCCGGCTCGGCTGCATGCCCTAGAGTGAAGACTACGATTCGAGTTATCTTTCTTTGTTTTGACCCCTTCTTTTGTTCTTTTTTTCCCCCACCATTTTTTGCGAAGCCTACGAGATTTTTTTTTTTTTTTTTGCAGGGGGTTGTTTTCTTATATGTAACATAACGAAATGATCTTTTTTTTCTTCTTCCTTCTTCTTCTCCAAGTTCTGCTTTAATTTGTTCTTTGAGTTGGTATTATTATCAGCATGACAATAATCTCACTTCTCTTCCCATTTCTGTGTTTTAATGGCGTTTACTTGTTTCATTACTGGTTTAACTTATGGTAGAGCTATATATAAAATCTGAATCGGGAACTGATTTAATTTGAATGATAAAAATTGAAGAGAGAGTTAAAAACTTACGTGCTATTTTATTTCATAAATTGATTTTTACATATAATTATATATATATATATATATATATATTTTATACCTTCTAGTTTCAATTTAGGCTTGTCACTAGGCTTAGTGTTTCCTTTCATGTGCCTAAAAAAAAAAAGAAGTTTAAAACACAAATTTTGACAAAAAAATCAACAATACAACTAGAACCAAACGGTTTATAATTAAAAAGAAACAACCATTTAACTAATCTTTCTGCACACTAGTAGGAAGATGAATTTTAAAAATGATAATTTATGGTATAAAGTTAACATGTATAACTTTAATATTGTGGTACAAATTTAATTTGTACCTGTATATTTTTCGTACAGATTACTGTATGGTACAAGCCGAACTTGTTACATTTAACATTATAATACAATCGTACAAATTTCTTTATATAATACAAACTGAACTTCCACTTTTTTATTTTATAATACAAGTTTAGTTTGTACTTATACATTTTCGTACAAATTTCATTATGATACCAACTGAACTTGTACTTTTAACGTTTTCGTACAAATCGATCATTTTATACCTCAAAAGCACCAAAACTTTGAGGCCAGTAGTTGATTACCCTAGAAAGAATAATATCAACAATAAGAGAGTGACACCAAACTGGTGTTCCAATGGGTTTCTTCAAGTATATTGAGTACTTGAGAAGCACTTTTAACCTGGAAGTAGCCATGATCAGTGGCGGACTCAGATTCTTGGAAATGTCTATTACTTATAGCTATCGAACATGTGTTCGGATGTTTTGGATTCAAATTTTATGTATCAGCGTAACCTAAATTTCTCATAAAAATTCCACAGGTGCGCAATACCCGAATAATCCACCCTTGGCAATGATCATTTCCCAACACGGCTATAACTTCTAGTACATTATTATCATAAATTGTGCCCACCAGTACTGAATTGATCGATAATTTAGGATTTATTTTTTTGGGTAGAAAACCTACTGATTATATTTATTTAGTAGTAAACAAGTCAGAAATCCTAGAAAGTGGTATAAGATCCAGCATAACCTTCTCCCAACAAATCGAGTTATTGAGACTTGGGAGCAACTGGTTCTTTACATGGTATCAGAGCCTAGAACCGAAAGGTCATGTGTTCGAATCCCCACGACCCCCAATATTAACCGTTGTCTTTCAAGCACAAGGTATGGTGGGCCTGTGCAAACTTCAAGCCAATTGGTTGGCTTTCGTTTGAGGGGGCGTGTTAGAGAGTGGTATAAGATCCAACATAACCTTCTCCCAACAACTCGAGTTATTGGGAGCAACTGGTTCTTGAGACTCATGACGATTAACATTAATATTGGTACTGTAGGATAGTATGAACAGATGAGCTATATGTTATTGCTTAGGCACGATTCAAAGATAATTAGGTAAAGATATTTTTAATTGTGGTTTCCAGGGTTTCTTTTGCACAGTGCCTTTTTCCAGTTCTCCTCCATTTTGTTTGTGTTTCTTTTCTTACCATTAATGGTTTTCCACTTCTCCATCTCCCCATTTGTTTGTTTGTCAGCACACTTTTCCTTCTCGCATGTTATTTGTTTGAATAATTTAATGTCGCAGGTGGCGGACAGATTCATTCAGTTCTGTCTTTGCTATATATTGTTAATTATATATTAGAGGTTGTAATTAGTTTGAGGAATGGTATTCTTTCTGGCTGCGATCTTTTTCTGATCTGGTAGATTATTATTCCAGCCTGCTGTTAATTAACAACACTAATTAATTAAGGTTCTGTTCTCTGTCAGGAGAATATATATATATATATAAACATAATACAACATGTTAGATGGATCAAGGGCTTGACTGCGAAGCTTTTTACCATTATAAGCACTGTCTTCGAGCAGACAGTTCTCAACTTGGTGCATGCACTACTGCACGCCACATCGTCAAAAGCTGTAGAGCATTTTGCCTTAGCTTTTCTGCAGATCCCAGTGCATGTTTTAATTTGTTCTTCGAGAAAGCATAAAACTTGGCTGTTAACTCGGACTTTAACTTCGGTTGGTTAGAACTGTAAGCAAGGGAAGTGGTTAACAATCTTACCGTGCAGCTATTGCGAGCACCGATTGTTTTATGATATGGTATCAGAGCTGGTTTAATTTGTTTTTTGAGGTCACGTGTTCTTCAAGTACTCACAACTCAACTCGAGTTGTTTGAACAAGTTGGTTTTTATGATCCCTGGACGCCTGAAATCCTTAATGTTAGAGAATGGTATAAGATCCAGCATAACCTTCTCCCAACAACTCGAGTTATTGGCACCAACTGGTTTGTGACATGGTATCAGAGCTAGTTTGGCCAAGTGACCGTGTGTTCGAATCTCCACGACCCCCCAATATTAACAGTTGATTAAAAAAAGCACAAGGTATGATGGCCCGACATGAAAACTTGAAGCCCGTGTGTTGGTTTTCGTTTGAGGGGGCGTATTAGAGAGTGGTATAAGAACTCAAGTTATTGGGACCCAACTGGTTTGTGACACTCATAAGAGAAGTAGTCGAATAGGTTGAACCGTAAGAAAAATCCGAGTTTGATATAATTTTGAATGGAGATTGATTAGCGAAAATATACCATTTTTGAACCCTAGTCCACTCCAACACCCACAAGTACGAAAGTACCATCGATCAGCAATAAAAGAATCATCTCCAGAATTTGCTGCGTCGTGCTGCAACTTGTAAAGAGATAAAACAGTACTTTAATTTCAGTAGCTTAATTAATCAGCATCTTTTTTCTATAACTACTCGACTTTTTGAAGATGAGAACATGCAGTGACAGTGCAGTAAACGACGAGAACATAATAATATATGTACTACTCCCCACTTCCTATGTAGCTCCTAGCTAGCATTATTAGCACTGCATGTCTTTTGTTAATGGCAGCTTGCCTGGTCATAGGAATCTAAGTGCACCAATCCCATGCCACCAATTTTGATACCTTTGTTCAGTTTTTTCCAATACAATATGCTACTAATTATTAAGCTCTATAATTTGTGTTCTTGACTACATGAGAAAGTGATGACTAAGAGTGAAATGAAACCCGTGATCACTAAAAATAAGAAGAAAGTCAAGTGGTTTGATTTCGTTAAGAGTTTGGAGAAGGGTTTTACAATTAACACTCTAATAATTAGTGGTGGGTGTCAAGAACCAGTTGATCCCAATAACTCGAGTTGTTGGGAGAGGTTCAATCATGGATCACAAGGACTTGAAGTTTGCACAGGTCTGAAGACAAGAATACCATGTGCTTCATAAATGGGGGTCACCGGGAATCGAACACAAGACCTCTCAGTCACAGAAGGCTCTGATACCATGTCAAAAACCAGTTGATCCCAATAACTCGAGTTGTTGGAAGAGGTTCAATCATGGATCATATACCACAACACTAACAGTGGGTACTTGTCAATGTTGAACTTTGTATTTGTAATCTATATATGTACTGCTCTCCACTCCACAACATTGTAAATTTGTTCTCCCATTTTCGTGAACGTAGCTAGCACACAAGATGTTAATAAGCTATATAAATAAGCGACACGCTTATTTTCCTTGATTCATGATCACCAATATGTTATGAGTTATGACAAATTGAAATGATCAAGTCAGCTCATATATAATGATGGACCGGCAGGAAATTAGATGGAGGGTACATTTGATACCTTTTAATACTAAAAAAATCATAAAAAGCACAGAAAATTTAGGTAATAGAGGGCATAAAATCCAAATATCCAATAACCCTTCTTTTTGCTCTTTTGGGCCGTTGGCAACAATCGCTCACTCGATGGGCCCTGCCGTTGCTGCAGAGTATGAACTATATTCGTATTGGATAAAAGTCCAGCCCGTTACGGTTCTAAAAAAGGAAAACTGAGTTCCTGGGCCTTTTTGGGCTGGCATTGTTGGGCCGCCATCATCATCATTCTTGCTTGAGTCGTCGAAATTGGGCTTCTCGCGTGCTGAAGAAGACAGGAACAAGAGCCCAACAAAGGACTAGTAGTAGTCCAATCTCTACTGGATTATCAATTTATCAGGATATAAGAGTCAAAGTCAACCTCTGTTCCAGAATCATCGTCCCCAACCCTAGATTCCCAAACTTTCCAAGCGTAGTATATAGTGAAATTTCAGAGCTCGAGAATTTACTTCATCAAAATTCGAATTACAGAATGATAAAGGAGAGGAAAGGGTTACAACAAAATCACCCTTTTCTGATGTTGTTACTACTGATTCTTCACATTCAATTGGGTAAAAAAAAGAAAAATTAGGGTTTTTACAGCGAAATCAGCGTGCCCCATTCCGATTTGGGGTCGGAGGTTGCAGAATTGCTTCGCTCAGGAGGAGGGGTTCCAGTAACCATCGACGAACCACGGGAAGAACTAGCCCCGATACTGCTGGAACAGCGATTCTCCGCTTCGGAATTCGCCGGCCGCGGCGGCAAACCCACCAAATCGATCAAATTCAGTGTAGGTAGGTCGCAATTCCGCCGCCTTCTTTTCTTCCGGCTCTCCCCATCGCCTTCCAGAACCCCAATTCTCCTCCTCACCTTCTCCAGCTTCTCTTCCACCAGTCTAAGCCCACCCAGCAATTCCTCCTCCGACAGCCCATCCAGCTTCGGTTCCCCAACAGTCTCCGCCGCTCCCTGGATTTCGCCTCGGCTGCTGCCGCCGCCGTCGGAGGAAGAAGCAGAGGAGCCGCCGCCGGCGGCGGACGGTTTCTCTTTCGATTTGACCTCTCTGTATCTGAGAACGATGTCCTTGACCCTGTTTGGGTCTTCCGGCCAGGTGTCCACCCTGCCGTTGGGATCGAAGCAGACGTAGGCGACGTCGATGCCGCAGAGGGTGGAGAGCTCCTCTGCTTTCTTCTTTAGGGTTCTTCTCCTTTTCTTGAGAGACGGCGCGCGGGACATCTTTGTTTCCAGAAAATCAGTCTCGCTACGCTATTCGCTAGTCTATTGGTGTCATCGGATGGTGTTCTCTTTGGGTGAGAAGTGTGTAACCTTTATAAAGGGAAAAGAGGTTTTCCGAAGTCTGCTAGGAAAAGGCTTTCCTTTTCCATTACGGAAGTGGAAACCCAGAATCAAACGGTAATAAGACTCAAATCCTTCTTGCAGTCGGTTAACATTAAAAAAAAAAAAAACTATTATTTACTTCCGCGTTTCTTTATTATAACTATTCTTGTTCTTAGCTTACCAACATACAAATGTGCTGCAGATTCATCGTTCTCCTGATATCATCATCAAGTTCTCCACAGCAAACGAAAACACATTCCCAGCTACTTACTACCAGAGAGAGTGCTCAGCAACAGAGACTTAAAACTTTCAAACCTCTTCGCTCTAGGTCTCATGATCAGGACTGATAATCATGTTCCATGTTTGATGATTGGTGAGGAGATGGAGGACTTCCCTCATTGTGGGTCTGGCAGAGCTCCTCGTATCGACGCACATCATGGCAATCTTGAGCATGTGAGTCGCGCTAGCTAACTGAGGCTGCTCAACAAGCCTTGGATCCAGAATCTCCAGCACGACCGATTCAGCAACATCAGCGTTCGTCTTCCCAACGAACTTGGACGCCAATTCCCTGACCCACATCACTATGTTCACGCCTTCGTCGAACCCTCCAACCGCTTTTCTCCCGGATATCAGCTCCAGCATCACCACACCGTAGCTGTAAACATCAATCTTCTCGTCCACCTTGAGCGTGTAAGCGTACTCAGGCGCCAGGTAACCGAAGGTGCCAGCGACGACCGACATGTGGTACGACGATTCAGGAGGAAGAGGTCGACGGTGATGCCAGAGCTTGGAGAGTCCGAAGTCCGCTATGTGAGCTTCTAAACCGGAATCGAGCAGGATGTTGTGGGGCTTGATATCTCTGTGGATTATAGGAGGAGAGCAATCGTGATGAAGATAAGACAACCCCATGGCTGCTTCCACCGCAATCTTGTACCGCATCTCCCAACTCAAGCTCCCGCCATTGGGTCCGTGCAACACCTCTGCCAGGCTCCCATTAGACATGTACTCGTACAGAAGCAGCGTTGTGGAACGGTCTGAATTTGAAACGCAGCCCAAGAGTTTGACGATGTGCTTGTGACGGATTTGCCCCAGAGTTCTGACCTCTGCTGCAAAACTGTTGTCCCTTTGGCTGCTTCGCTTAATTGGTTGTTTAATGGCCACCTTAACATCTCCTGGGATTGAGCCGAGGTAGACGACACCCGCACCGCCCTTTCCAATTATGTTCTCTTCTGTCAGACAATCCAGGATGTCCTCCTGTTTGAGATCCTCCGGTAGTTTCTGGAAATTTATGAGAGTCCATGGCTTAATTGATTCATCGACAGCCCTTTGGTTCCGCATCTTCATAACCAAGATCACTAAAGTTGACCAGATCAGTAACCATAAGCCTATGCCTCCGATGATTACTATCGTCGAGTAACCCTTGGATGAGCAGTCAGCTTTTGAGGAGGCGAGCAACTTGGGGTTGCCAGAAAATGATGAATGGAAAAATGGTGATCGCTTCGGGACTCTACCTGACAATTTATTGTGAGAAAGATCCAGAGTTCTGAGGGTTCGGGTACCATTCACCAAGCTGCATGGTATGTGTCCGCACAATTGGTTTCGACTGAGATCAAGAACAGTAAGATAATAAAACTTGGCAAGGCATGACGGAATGTTGCCTGTAATCTTATTGGAGCTAATATTGACCGTGGAGATGAATCGGAGATTGCAAAACTCATCAGGGATTTGATGGGAAAACTCGTTCCCGTCGAGGAATAGGGACTCTAATTTGGTCAGATTCCCAATAGCCGGAGGAATTCTGCCAGTAATCCGATTGTTGGAAAGAACAAGGCGGGAGAGTTCACCTGTCCACATGAAGGATGGAAGTTGGCCGGAGAAGAGGTTGTTGTCCAGCTTAATTAAGTTCACTGATGGCAGCTGAAAGATGCCAGCAGGAATGGTTCCATTGAGGAGATTATTGGAGATTCTGATGGTGGTCAATGACTTGCAGTGGCCAAGTTCCTGTGGGAGCTGTCCTGTGAGATAATTGTTGTCGAGAATCAAAGTATCCAGGACCCCTCCCTTGCATAAATCTCGAGGGATGAATCCGGTGAGAAGATTAGACGATATGTCGATCGATCTGAGCTTCCCATTCCGACCAAGATTCTCCGGCAGCTCGGACGAGAGGTTGTTGCCCCGTAACAACAGGACCTCGAGGTTGGGCAATTCGACGAATCCTCCGGGAATTTCTCCGGAGATTCCATTTCCATCAAGCTCGAAATGCTTGAGGCTTTCGAGGGCAGAGTATGACTCTGGAATCTTACCAGAGAATCGGTTCCCCTGCAGGTAGAGACGCGTTAGGTTCTTCATAGCCGAAATCTCCACTGGCAACGGACCCGTGAATCTGTTGATAGAAATGTCAAGGACCCGGAGCTGGGTCATTCCACGTGTGATCTCTGCCGGGAAACTTCCGTCCAGGCGATTCCGGGAGAGGTCCAAGTACTCAAGGGAAGTGAGGTTTGGCAGCTCAACGGGGAGCGGTGCGGTGACTCGACCATTGTTAATGCTCAGCCGTATCAGGTGGGTTAGAAGCCCAATCTCGCCGGGAATTGGACCGCCAAAAAACCGATCCGAGATTTCTAGTGCCACCACTCGTGAGGCGGAGTTGCAGGTGACACCGTAGAAGGAGCAATGGACCTCTGATGCGGTGGCGTTATATTTTTTGGGATCCCATTCCATAAATCCGCTGTAGCGGCGCGGGGGCAGCCGGGACAGCACAGTGGATTTGAGCTTCAGTAAGGCTTGGAGATCGCTGCTGTTGCCGTAGCTAGTAGGGTTACAGGCGGACAAGCATAAAATCATGATCACCAGACGCAGAAAGCTGCTGGAATTCCTCATTTCCTGCTGCCTTTTCTGTAAGTGGGTTGGTGGGCGACTTCGGTGAAGACGCACCAACAGTCCTGTGGCAGCGTGTTAAATGATGAAGCCATGAACCAGACTTAGCCACAGAGGGGCTGATGAATAGACGATTGTAGATCATCTTCTTCCAATGGCTGGCCCCAAAAATACGTAGATGTGGACTTTGAAGTTTGAACTGTTTCTCTTATTTTCTTTGTTGCTGTTATTGATAGACACTTTTACACAATTTGACCCAAAACATGAATCAAACGCAGCTTCCCTGGAAAACGCGTGGTGTTGACTCCAAAGTCAAGCAGAGCTTCACATCGACGAGCCTAAACCGAAGCAGTTTGCCCACAATTTGGTCCATGCGCGTGGCCCACGATTGGCAGTGAAAATTGCAAAGCAAGATCCTCCCAACAGCTCTATGGATCAGTGTTAGATTAGACCTTAGGTAACCAGGGCTAGGAGCGAGAGCGCGAGAGTGTCAATTTGATAAGAATTCAATATTAAGAGCTCGAACAGAGCGTTAATATTATATTATTTTAATTAATATTTGATTCCTTTTCCTGAAAAATAGTATATACAACATGAGTAATATTATCACAATCAACTGGTAAAAATTAAAATTTATGTGATTAGTGTATATTCACGTAGAATTTTTTTTGATTTTATTATTATTTATCCCCATCCCATGAACCAATGTAATTATATTTACCGTAGAAGTAACACATATAACGACTATTATATTATTAATATTGTAATCATTATGCAAATAAAGTACCACTTGGCACTGACCACCTACAAATCGATCAAATTAGACTAAAAAAATAAAACAAATTAATCAAAAGATTATCATTTGCATAAAAAAAGAAATAATATCGTTTCTCAATAAGAAAATGCATCTCTCGCTTCTTTTTTTATTGAAGTCTCGTACCATCCACATCCATGAAATATCATTTATATTTCATATGTGGTCCCTACTAGCACATCATTAACTTTTTCTATTTCATTACATATCACTTTCATTTACTCTATATCAATGAAATCCACTATCTATTTCATATGGTGGACCCAACTTATTTTTTAATACAACTATACATTTTATCTAACCTATATTATTTTACCAATTTAAGTGGTATCAAATAATTACATAACACAATCACAATTGCAAATGACAAATTACATAACACAATCACAATTTCAAATAAACACACATGCATAACGCAATTACTATTTCATATAAACACATGTAATAATAATACATAGAAACGATAATAGATTAATCATCGTACTTCTCATCTTTTGATCGTCTCCAAATCGATACTATGTGTATGTGTATTTGATTTCGTATTGCGCTTTCGTAATTCAAAAAATTAATTAATAAAAATTTAATAAATTTATCTAGTATAATAGAAAAATTTGTTCTTAAATTATAATTAACAACCCACTCACTATGTCATCTGCTATTTCATTTAATGACATCTTCCACTTTGTGAAATAGGCTCTACATCCATGAAATGGGAAAAGCAAGCTACCACGCCAAAATGAAATAGGGAAGTGGAAGCCGTTGCAGATGGTCTCACTCTGTCCGCATCTTCTGTTTTCGGTAGAAGAAGGCCTCTGCCCCTGTTCTCACTTTCTTCTATCCCGATTCCCTTTCCTCCGCCGGCACCGTCAACCCTCTCCATAATCAACCATCGGCACCTCAGATTTCTCTTCAATTTCTATTGACCAGACCTCCTTGACAAACCTCCCAATTGGCTGCCTCTGTTCCTCCGCCACGACTGCGTGCAAGGAAAGCATAACATAACATCTTTGATCTATCGTAAGAAACAGAGTTCTCAATTATTACTCTGGGAAACATAGGGATAGACACAACCAGAGTTTGGATTCCCGACCAGCATCGATAGTTGTCTTCTTCTCCTTCCAATGTCATCAGAAAATGAAAGCGGCCGGAAATCGTGCTCTTAAATATGAAATTTGCGCGCCCATAATAATAAAATCCTGAATTTGGAACGATTTGCAAAAAATTCGCGTTTTAGCGAATCGGCGCTGGAGCGGCGGGGTGATGGACACGAATTAGGTAACCTAAGTTAGACCATCTCCATTGCTGAAGTTTAGCGATTGCTAAGATGAGGTGGAGGGTGAGATGGCAAATGTGTGGCAATTTCTAAGGATGGAGTGCCTCTTTCCAAACCGACAAGATTGCTAAATTGGCAAGTCTTTTAGCAATGTCACATGTACATATGGGACCCACTTAATTTTTATTTTATTTCTTTTTCATCTTTTCCTATAAAAATGGTATATTTTTTCATTATATTTTTAGTTGTTTAATTAGATAGAAAAATATGCATATAAAAAATAATAATATAATTAAAAAGTAATAAGGAAATATATTTTTAATTATAAATTATGTATGACATTTGTTTTTTTTTTAATGTTGATCTTTTATATAAAAAAATGTTCAAACAAAATCCATCGGGACGGACAAACCAAGAAAGGAAGACAAAAAAAAATGGCTTCACAAGAAAAAGAAGATGCATTTTACTTTCAATTAATTATTAATTATATAAATATTAATTATTTATTTTAGAATAAAATTTACTAAACCTTAATTTTTTCATAAACATAATATTGGCAAATAATTTATACATGATCTATTATTAACTATGCAAAAATATTAGTAATAAAATAATAAATGATAAGTGGTTGTGGGGGTCATTTTAGAAATTGCTAAACCATTTATGGGATGGAGATGGTCTTAGTAAGTAGTGAGTTAATGATTTAACCATTCTTCTTAATTTTGACCTGACTCATTTGGCCCATTTTGGGCTGTGACGGATATGTATATTCTCATTGACATGATTTGCCCTGTCTTATTTCATTATCGTTCCGTTCTTGCTAAATTATATGTAATTTTACATAAATTATTTAGCATTTTATTTTTATCATCTAATGTTTTAGCTATAATAAAATTGTAAATATGTGGGAATCTAAATTTTCTCCAATAATTTAACTATATTTATCGTATTATAGTTTGTTTATTGGTTTTTAATAAAAATGAATATTACTAATGTTTTCACATTAAATTACATAATCATATGAGTCGACCTACCCCGAACCGCGCCACATAATAAATTACCCGAACTGAATTTAACCTGCCACAAGACGAATATATGTATTGAAATACCCGACTTGAATTTATACTCGAACGTGGTTCGGCCTCTCAGAGAGACTTTACTCCATGGTGGTTAACTTTTCTATTTTTCTTATTTTCATCACTCAACTATAAACCCTAATGCCGGGTTATATAGTCGGCCATGCACACGCCCTAACCACAATGCACGTGCACCAAATATCAATCCAGTCCTCACGTCACAATAGTACATATGTACAAGTTCGTCCTCTGCATAACTATATATACAACGTAACGTACACTTCAATAATTGCATAGCTCATTGAGGATTTCGCCGGACAGCTGGTTCCCGTCGAGGAGCAGAGACTCCAATTTCGTCAAATCCCCAATCGCCGGAGGTATTCCGCCGGAGAATTTGTTCCCCTGCAGATTGAGATGCCTTAGGTTCTTCATTGCCGCAATCCCAACTAGTGATAACTGGCCCGTGAATTTTCGTTGCCGGATATGTCCAGGATCTGGAGCTGGATCATTCCACGTGCGATCTCTGCCGGGAAACTTCCGTTCAGGGCATTGCGGGAGAGGTTCAAGAGCTCAAGCGAAGTGAGGTTTGAAAAGGAGTGAAGATGAGCAGGAATCAACTCCTCCACTAGTTGCATTGCCTGGAGATGGACGAAGAACAGGTTCAGCTTTGAACTTGAAACAGAGGCGCCCAAATGAAGAAGAAGACCGAGACGGCGTCGTTCCAGCATCAGAGAAGCAACGGATACAAAACTCACTGTTTTGTGGTGATGAAACGTAGCTTTAGTGTTTACTGTTTTATAGGACACTTGTACAGCTTCTATTGGTTAGTTAGTTTTTTTCTCTTTTAACGGCTAGTGAAACTGTAAGTAATCCCCTGTATATTTGCTGCTGTCAAATGGAAATAGCTCACAACGAGCATCTTCCCCAATTCTGCTCCTATCGCTTTCTCTGTCTAGTAGAAAGTTTCTCAAGGTTTGCCATCTCAGCGGGGAGTGGTGCGGTGACCCCAGCATAAACAATGGTTAGGTTAACCAGGTGGGTTAGAAGCCCAATGTCGCCCGGGATCGGACCGTAGAGATACCGAGCCCGAGATATCGAGTGCCACCACCCGTGAGTCCGAGTTGCAGGTGACACCGGGGAAGGAGCAATGCACGTTGGAGGGACTGAACATGTGGTTAGAGTGTTAAATGAAGAAGCCATGAACATTGAACCAGACTTAGCCACCACAGAGGGACTGATGAATAGACGTTTGTAGATCATCTTCTTCCAATGGCTGGCCCCAAAAATACGTAGATGTGGACTTTGGACGGTTTCTCTTATTTTCTCTGTTTGCTGTTATTATTATTGGTCTAGACGACACGTTTCGGCCCAAAACATGAATGAAACGCAGCTTCCCTGGAAACCGCGTGGCGTTGACTCCAAAGTCAAGCAAGGAAGAAGCTTCACATTTGAGGGGCCCAATCCGAAGCATTTTTGCCCACAATTTGGTCCATACGTCCGGCCCACGATTGAGAGTGGAAATTGCAAAGCAAGATCCTCCCAATAGTGCTATGGATCTCATCATTATGGTTGTTAGTAAGTAGTGACTTCGATGCATTGTCCATGAAATCGTGCAGTATCAGGAGTTCAAGTATAAGATATCAAATATTGTAGGCCAAATTGATAGGTGATATTTAACTGTACTAATAATTGAACTACGGTTAAATTATGGGTTCGTCATAAAATACCCTTTCAATTATCTAATATGACGTGAAAACCTAGATTAATAATTGGAAGCTGAATGAAATTATTGGCACGAAAATGCCTGAATTCAATATTACAAATTACGATGGGATGAAATTCATTTATAAACTTGTTAACTAAATTAAGTTTATTTGGGTTGAAACATCGAGCGAAAAATCAATTCAAACAACCACGAAAATATCTTTTGTGTTAATTTGCTAATCTTGTGTATAATTGTTAGATAATTAATTTGAGATTCGAAACACTAGTAATCGACACTTGAGTTGTCAACTGAAAAAAAAAAACCTAGGGGAATACGACTCTAGTCAGTTTCTATTCACCCAAGTTAGTTTCATTTGTTAGACTCAACTATGAGGTATTTGGGAATGACCACTTTGCTCCGAAAAGTTTTAGGTTGTTAGTTTTGATATTGCCTTTGTTGTTCACGGACCAGAGTGCATTCATTTCATAGAGTCAATTTCCCTGTGTTATTTACCCAGGCGGGCTTCCTGTCTAGTTTCGTTTGGGTTACATTTTTTGGGCTTATTTACTTTCACGGCCCATTCCACCTTGTATATACTAAACCCAACCCAAAGAGAAACAAGTCCGCCCAAGCCCAATTACATCTCCTCCTCATACATGCCGGCGGAGAAATTCTTCTTCCCCGTCGGCCCACCCTTGGCGTAACGTGCACTCTGCAGCTTCCTGCCGCTGATCGCCCAGTCACACCTAGCTCTCTTCAGCTTGGTCGGAACCCCCCATTTCCTGCAAAAGGTAAAATGGCTTTCAGTACTAAACCAATGGCACAGAAACAAAACAAAAAAAACAAAAAAAAACTGAGTCTGTTTACCTTCCGGTTGGTTCCTTAGCAGCAACTCTGCGTCCGCCGGCTAAGGCAAGAAAATAGATTATATCAGATTTCTAAGTGGCATTCAACCCAATTTTCAGCCTATGAACAGTCAGCAAAGCGTGATCGAATCCAAGAGAAGCCACCATTCCAGTAGATCGAGCATTAACTACTTCTATTTTCTCCCAATTGAACACCAAGGACATGATCAATTCTAAGAGCAAACCAACTCCGACTGGCATTGAAAATCTATTTCCTCACAACCAACACAATCGGGAGAAGCTTACCTAGCATCGGCAGTATCAGTGGCAGTGGCTGCGGCCCCATCTGTTGCAGCCACAGTGGCACCTGCAGCATCTGTGGCGGTGGCTGCGCCCCCTTCCGTTGCAGCCACAGTTGTTTCAGCCACAGTTGTTGCAGCCACAGTGGATGCGGCAGTGGCTGCCACTGCCCCATCTGTGGCAGTGGCTGCCCCATCTGTGGCAGTGGCTGGTGCAGTGGCAGCTCCTCCTCTATCTCCACTACGCCTACTTCCAGATCATTTTCCGCCATCTGAAAAGGAAAAGAGGAGAATACAACTCCGGTCGATGAGCGAGAAACGACAAAAAAGAAAGATAACTGTATGAATACACTCCGGTCCGTGAACAAAGATGGAAGAATTGACTCCGGCCGGTGAGCTCCAGAACAGAATGGACTCCGGCCGGTGATTTTCAAGAAAATGAAGATATCAGAATATACTCCGGACGGTGAATTAAACTCCGATCGCTGGATTTACCGAAAGGAACGAAGCGGCGAACGCCTGAAAGAGCAAGAAACCTAAACAGGACTGATCCGCTTCTAAACGCCTAAAATGATTGTAGAAATAGAATTTCGAATTCTGTCAATGAGATTCAGATAGATCTCGAGGATGAACGAACGGAACCGCGTTCAGATTAGTGAAATGAAACCAAGAAATCGCACAAGAATCAAGAAATAAAGCACAGAATTAGTCTCCGGTCAGTGTATTTAACAGAAAGGAACGAAGCAGCCAACGGCAACACGCTTCGCCTGAAAGAGCAAGAATCCGCTTCTAAACACTGAGAAATAGAAAATCGAATTCTTCGATGAGACTCCGATAGATCCCGAGGATGAACGACGGAACCGCATTCAGAATAGAGAAACGCAACTAAGGAAATCGCACAAGAAAGCTAACTAAAACTCTCTACCGGCGGCGAGCCTAACATCCGAGTTCAGAGAGAAAGAGAATCTGCGATTCATTCACCTAGATTCAGATTGATCTAGAGAAATTGAGAAAATAAAGCTACGCAATCATACAATTCCACGAAGAACTAACGCTTTACTGGAAGGCTAGAGTAGCTACTGGAAAACTTAACTTGAAACAGAGAGGGAGAGGGAGAGAGAGAGAGAGATTGCCTTCTTCAGCTTGATGTGAAGCTACCGCCGCGGTTTGGCTCCCGAGAAAATTTGGAAAGTGTTTGCGAAAATTTGATGCGAGTAGCGAATTTGAATTGAGCGGATGATTCGGTTTTGAAAGCGCGGGATGAATATATAGCAGTCTTGCAGAGGGCTTTTCTAAAATAAAATGAAAAATATAAAAAAATGCAGCAGAAGTATTGGGCTTCGTACTCTCCGTTTCGGCAAACAGGGTGGTTAATGGATGCCTTTGTCGAATCGGTTTATGTTGTCGGTTTAACCAGTGATGTGGTTCGATCGGATTCGGTGGTACAATTGATTTACGTTAGTTCATTGGTTAAACAAAATAATTACAAATATTAAACACAATTAAAAGCATATGAATTTAAACATGTATAAAACATATTTCAATACAATCTGCATCAATATTTGAATAAAGTACAATATTTCAAACAAAATGATAAATATCGATATTTAAGTACAACATTTGACGTCAAAACTATACGTTTATACATGAATCCAACAAATAACATCAAAGCTTAATTTTATAATTCATGGAATACATCACAAATTAAAATTTTTTGTTATTTAAATTCACCAAACGATGTCATTTTGTTTAGAGACCAAAACAAATAGGTCTTTGCTATGGTGACTTGCAAGTCGTCATGACTTGCACAAATAGGTCGGTTGAATCTACTGTTTCTGTTCTTTTGCGTTCAACAAAGCAGGTCGACCTTGCACATGAAATGGTCGCCCTCTTTGGCAAGCAAACAATAAAAAATGTCGACCTCGATCTTAAAGCGATTGACCTTGTACATTAAATGGTCTACCTCATTCTTAAAAGGGTCGACCTCTATTGCATTACCTTATCAACATCGAACTCGTAATTATCTAGGGGTGGACAATACCGCATAGATCAAAGCCCAGCAACATGAGCACACTACAGGTGAGTGTAACAGAGATGCGAGATAAATTCTAATCTTTCTGTGGAAGAAACATGCATCCCCCACATCTTATTACCATAATGCTAGCAACACCAATGAGGAAAATGCGGATGAGTGAGAGGAGAGAGGTCTAGGAACTCCATGATTTAAATTGTGTCTTTTGTTGTGAAATTTGTTAAGTCTTAAAGATGATTTGGTTTAAAGCAACTATGATCGTGGATTGATATTAAGTCGTTGTGGTTTTCGATTTTAGGTATGTGTGGACTATTGTGAGGTGTGTTTTATAATTGTAAAGCTGTTAAGAAGTTATGGTTTCTTTCTATTATAATTGTTGATTGAATTTCTTGGTTTCTATCGTAATTTCTTAGACCAAACTAAGTACAAACATCGATAGACATAAGCACAAAACTCAAAGGTCGCAGCCTTATTTTACTGTAAGCGGTCGACCACAAAATCAACATTTTCTCTACATTTCACTTCAAGAGGAGGGTTTGATGTGTTATCGGCTCTTCTTCAATCTGGTCAACCTCTTGCTGGAAATGGTCCGCCCAATTGCAGATATGGTAATAACCATTTTGGTAATGACTAAATTGAAAGGTCGACCACTTTCCTATTGTGGTTGACAACTTTTTTATTACTGCTTCAAATCGGTCGAGCAATTTTTTGTTGTGGTCGACCATTTTGGTAATGACTACCTTAAAATTTCGCCCATTATATGTTTATGGTCGACCGTAGTTTCTATCATAATGACCATGATGGTGTAACCGGTCGACCGAATGAGCATATAGGTCGACTGAATTGTGCAAGTCACGATGCCTTGCATATCACCATAGGTGTACCCAAACAAATATCATGTCGATCATACCGATGGTGTTCATGTCAGGTTCAACCGACTGACATGCAACGATGCTCTTTAAAACATGTGTTATTATTAGGGTGTTCAAACTGTGTGGTTGTGGAGGTAATCATTTTAACTGATAGTATTTTGATTTTTGATAAGATGGTTTGAATAATAGGTTTTGTTTGGTTTAGTTAAGTTTTCCAGCTCGTCTGGTTTTAGTTCGATTCAGACACTTCTAACTAATCATTATTGTTTCTATCCTATATTTATTCTTGTAAATGGTAGACAACAACATATCGTCACCTAATTTAAATAAATCTCATACATTGTGTTGGATGAAAAGATGAAAGGGAAGAGTTAGTGTTGACCTTTCATTCCGTTAGTGTTGATTGTTAGTGGTAAATAATCAAGAAATATATTGTTGATGTGTCAATCGACTTGGTTTTAAAAGTGATGATGCGACAGTGAGGTTGAATTATATTCACATACAAATAGAAGAAATTTTTTTTAGGTTATATTGGCTAATACAGTTAAAAATTAACCAAACCTATTAAACTTTAGTTTGGTAATTTGGTTGTTATATTAGTTTGGTATGTTTGATTATGATATTGTATTCCATGATTAATAGAGTTTGTCTTAATTAATTTGGTAATTACCATGATAATCATTTGAATAACTGTGCTAATTTATTTCTTTCAACTATTATGATTTTTTTTTATGAATGGATGCGACACATCTCAGCTTTCATTCACAACAAAACGAGGCTCAGAAAGGTCTTGACAGTCATACAAGATAAAGTGATGCAAAGCAGGATCAGACACTGGAATATTGTGAAGACCCAAGGGGAGGGAATGCCCTCGACTAGCCAGATAATCTGCACATTTGTTTCCTTCCCTGTAAATGTGATAGCACGAGACCTCCCAGTCTCGTGCACAAAGCTCCTGAAAACGGTCAATGAGGCAGCATGTTGGTGATCCATGCTCGGGCTGTGTAACAGCTGTACTGCGCACTGTGAGTCGAGCTCCACACGAACCCGGCTGTGCCCTTGTTCCCAGGCCAACTAAAGACCTTCTACAACGCCTCTCAATTATGCTCGGGTGATAGAACAAATCCCCAGGTTACAAGCGAATGCTGGAAGGCAGCATCCAATGTGATCTCTAATCAGGCCACCTGTTGCAACGTGACCCAAATTTTGTTGACGGTGATGGAGGTTGATAGTGGAGCTCTTGACGGCTAGGGTTTTTTGTTAGAGATATGTGAGAGGGGAGGAGGAGGGCGACGCAGGAAATTGAGGGGAAGGTCTGAATTTTGTTGTTATTAACAAAATGTATTTATATGAGTAAATGCGACATTTGGTCACCGAGATTACTAAATTGTGTCATGTTTAGTCACTATAAAAATTTAATTTCAATTTTGGTTACTCGAATTACTGAAACAAGTCACATTCCGAAATTGCCCTTGGTTTAATCTTAACTATTGATTTAAAAAAAAAAAAAAAGAGATTGGAGAGAGAACATATCCGATTACTACAAAGTTGGTTGTAAATCTCACAACCCCTAAGGGGATCATCCTAAGGGAGTTGTGATCGTATCTCATTCCCAATTTTTGCCACTCTAACCCCACACTTTGAATTGCATGTATCATGTATATACTCTATCCTATCACAGTCCCTGCCACACTATTTTTCACGCTTTAGCCAGATTGCCAAGAAACAAAGGAGAAGAATAAAGAGCGGCCACAAATCTTAGTCTCAGATTTCTATTGCCTGACTCTTTATGGCTCTGCCAAGGCCACCCAGAAATATCCCGTCTTTTACAAGCACCACTCCTTGACGACACACCTTCATTCCCACCTGAACTTCTCCATTCCCTTGAAATAGTAGCAAGTCATGATGCCACCTTAGCAGGAACTTCTTTTGATTGACATGAATGATGGGAGCTGAGAGGTGAAGAAGAGGCAACTTTTCCCTGAAATTCATTATTGTCTCGTATCTCTCTGAACTGGTTCGAGAAAAATGACAGACAAAACCCAAGCAAGTTTCAAAACACTTGAATCCTCAAATTCAGGAATTCAACATGCAGCTGAAACAGAAGAGCTCACATGGCAAAACGAATGGGATTTGACAAAATAAGATCTGAAGCAATATGACTCTAGGAAATTTTAACTTTAGAAACAGACAAAGAACAACCACAAAGGCCTAACAACATTTGGTTTGCAACAGATGGTAGGAAAGAACATGCAGGGGCAAGGGCAAATCAATCATGAGAACTAAAGGAGCATAAGATCCTAACCAAAACAGTCAATTATAGGCAGAAATTCAGGAAAAGCAGTAAGCTAGTCAGCCTCTCAGTCTAAAACATTGCATTAGTTTCTTATATTACTGAGTTCCAGAGTCCTCTGTGCTGTCACAGAACACGAACCAGAAAACTGCTCCAGGGACAAGACAATTGTTCATTTACTTTAAGCAGTTCAATCTAACCAGAATCCACCACATGACTATTTTTTGTAAAGACTGATCTCAACTACAAGTCACTCTTTTCATGAACACAAAAAAAAAACCATGAGAAGCAAAAATATACTTATCGAATGAGTCACTAGGTGGTTGATTGATAGTTCAAAGCTCACCAGCTAACATTCAGAATTAAGTTTTTCGAATAAGAGAGGTGTTAGGAGATATGAGAATGTTCTATTAATCCCGTTAACCAGAGTTTCTTCATTCTGCAACTTTAGATTTACCGTAAGCTCGTATCATTCTAATCGCCATATTGGGAGACAATATTGTCATACACAAACACTAAGGTTATGCCTTTAATGTCAAAAGAAAAAGTGGCTAGGAAGTCGAATCATTGTGCGATTGATGGCACAACAACAAGAGTTCCATTGGAACGTTCAAAGATCGAGTGTATTACCTTGTTTGAGAAGACAACGTGGTAGTATATGTATCTGTGAGCAGGATAGACCCAAGAACTGCAGATGAAATGGGTGCGGCCATGGCCAGGGACTGAGGGACATCGTCCGAAGTTAACGTCTTGAGGTAGAATTGACTATGATGATGGCTTCATCAAGAAGGCTGTTTTCCCAATCCTGCCCCTCCATCCACTCTTTGAAGAAAATTTCCAGAACACCACTCTTAGCTTTTTTTAACTTGATAAGCAAACTCGAATGACTCGACGAAAGAACATTCTATTGGGACGGGAAAGAAGGGAGAAGAAGAAACCAATTCATTGCCTTTTTCTTTTCATTTAAAGAAACTTCCACCAATGGACAATGGGGCATTTTACTGATTGCAAGGGAGAGAAAGGGCTCACCTGGGGCTGGATGAACAGAGCTCATGAGGTGGCTGGAGACTCCTTTGCCGAGAAGCTTGTGAATTCGATCGAGGAACGAAGCTTTGATGCAGTGCAACTCCAGAAAATTCTTCTTCATCAACACAAGCGTCCCCATGATCATACTGTTGCTGCTACTCCAGCTGCCATTCCCGGTGATGGTGATATCTCTGGGCTGCAGACAGCAACTTTCCACGACTTCCTGTAACATTTACCCCTGCTCGATCGGAGCTGTCGGTTTGGAAGGGAGGAAGGAAAACAGAGGGAAGGAAGGAAGATTCGAAGAGTGAGTGTGGAAGTGGGACTTGTGGGAAGGGTACAAAAGAGAATGAAGTGGAGGTTTTTGTTATGTATTTTACAGAGGGCAAACCAGCTGGATTATTGTTACCTGTTTATGTCAAGAAATAAAATGTTCCAATTAAAAATTAAATCAGAGTGAACTTTGTGCTGATTAGTTTCTTGACTACCTGAAAAGAGTTGCAGCGAACCAGAAAGGAGCAGAAGCATCAAACAGTAATAACAGAAGTTCAAAACACATGCTCCTTGATCAACGGAGGAGGTGCCTTCTTAGCAAACTCAATGTCGTAATTACCTGAGGACAATTGGCAGGAAAAATATTAAAGATTCTATGCTTCACTCCACTATGAACTGAAATAGATTTCAACAGAGATAGACCTTTGACAAGCAGTTCAAAAGATGCGTTCATCAGCAGAGAGGTAGTGCTTTGCCTTGCTGCAGTGGCCAATATGATGATGGAGTTGGAAAAAGGACACAAGCCCGATCACCATTATCTGAAGCGATAAAGTTGTACTTTGAGCTTCCAAATTTCACAACTCGAGCTTGCATTAGAAGAATGACTATAGGAATTTTCCCAAGGCGGCGACTGCTAATTTCTATCAAGGCCATTCTGCAGCAGTGTGACACACTTATGGAATCATCTACAATAAAGAGTTACCAATCAGTTTCAAGAATTTCATTTTGCAATCATGCCAAAGAAGCTGCACTTAACCTAGGTACGATATCATCCTGAAAATGTATGGTTTTTAAAAGAAACTAGACTCAAAGGAAACCGGAGACAGCATTTACTATTCACATAAACTTGGGACATTGATCTGAAACAAAAAGGACAAAGTAGAAGATTACTTTTGAGTTTTGACTAAGATGGGCATAATATCACTCCAATAACAGTGGACATAGTATTTCCTATCAGTGTTTCCCATGAACAACAGGCTACTGAAGAACGAAATTAGCTTTTTCATAACAAGATAGCAAACAAATAACTAACAAATAGCTCCACAAACGCTGGAAGAGAGGAAATCATCCTTCAGAGCCGTCAAGATGCTCGACAAGGGAATCCAAAGAACCAAACCAAAGTAACAAGAAGACCCGTATAAGAGCAATCAACCCACAAAAGGAATACAAGACCTCCAAGAACCCAAGAAATGATAACTCCCCTACTTCCGCTGAAGGAGTAAGATAAAGGGCACTGCAGTGAAACAAATAGAAAACACAATTCAAGCCTTCCCACAAAACAATATTGACACCGAATGAGTACAGGATGATGGGAATTGGCGGACAGTAAAACCAGGCCAGACATGTAAGGCTGGAGAGTTGTGCAACGATCCTCAGCAAGGTAAAACCCAAAACACAAAGCAACAAGGACTAAGATATCAACCAAAGAAACAAAGATATAACCTAAGCAACAAAACAAGAAAGGCAACGATATCAACCAATCCCAACTCAAAGGGCCATGAAAGCGTGAGAAGGATTCCTCCCCACTATTCATAACACCAAATATATATATACAATTAATAATTTAAGCATGGACTCCTGAGTTAGAGATGCCAGAGGCAGAGTGTTTACGTAAGCACCAGAAAGATACACAATTAACAATTCGAGTTGGACTCCTAAGTTAGGAATATGAGAGGCAAAGCGGTTTTAATCAACCAAACCCACAACTGCCACACAAGAAAATAAATCACCTAGGCAAACCCCAAATGCGTCAAGAAATAGGAAAGGAAAGTATGAGAAATTAGAAAGGGAAAGGAAACCAAAGTATTAGCATGAGAACTAATCAACCACAAGCTCAATAAACTGATGTGGGAGCAAAGATCTGTAAGGAATTGACTTGATGAGAAATGAAAACAGCCCTATTTCCACTCAAGAAAATAGTTCAGCTAGGCATACCCCAACTGCATCAAGAGATAGGAAACCAAAGCTAAAGAAATTAAAGAGGGAAGGGAAGCCAGAGGACGCCACAGGCTCAATAAACTGTAGTGGGAATCATGAAAAATATTTAAAATAGCTCTATTGATTGTTCCAAATCATGGCGAAAGCCAAAAAGCAAAAGAGTACTAGAAATATCACATTTAAATTAGAAACGATCGCTCTAGATTACAGGTTATGGATGAATTTCAATCGCTTTCCTCCACAAGAACTACAGATCGAAACCGTTACCACCATTGAAGCTCATCTTTCGTGTGAGTTTTGAAGCTTGGTTCAATCCATGCACAATTGATAAATTCTTTGGTGTTGCAACAATCATCACTGTTGTATCCGCTCCAAAAAGTATGAAACTTTCTTGTTGCCAGAGAATAAAACACGCCGTCCTTCTCCTTAAACCTGTCCAGAAACACCTTGTTCCCCAAGCAGGAAATCTTCTCTCCACTATTTGTTGCTGATAATGCAGAAGCAGCGCTCACAAACAGCATATTGTCTTCGAGGTCATCCAGTTCTTTCCAAGTAATGGCTTCTTGATCGAGTGCATATACCTCCAGAACCTTTCCCATGTGGCCTATCAACACCGACAAAAGCTTCCCATTGCACTCCAACAGATAGCTTCTTTGTACTGACGTACAAGATCTATGAGGAAGCTCTATCGTCTTGGTGGTTCTTTGTTCAAAGTCATGAATGCAAAGATCTGCGTTCTTTCCCATAAAACATAGCAATCCTTTGTGGTAAATTGGATTACTGAAAGGGCTCATGAAATCACTGGTGTAGCTCGTTACCTGATAATCAGTCCAGTGATGTCCTCGATAAATAAAGGATATCACCATTTGCTGCCACCAAGCAGAGTAGCAAATAACCAGGCAGTTAAAGGATGTCGGCGGAGACGAGAATGTGATCCCTTCAAAGTCATATGGCAGCATAGGAAGGTTGATCCTGTCTTTGGTAAAAGGATTGAAAAAGAACAGTTGATCAACCCCAAGTCCTTGTGACATAAGCAACCATCCGTGTTTGGAGCAGCGAATGACTGCGTCTCTCAGACTCCAAGCGTCGAAAGACAAGATACTTGTTACACTGGTAATTGGGTTGAATAAGCTGACTACCTCCCCATTCACTCCTCTGTGTAAGAGAATCGGGAAAGAATGATTCCTCGATCGTTTGACGATGTAGAGACGACCCTGGAAAATGTCGAATTCCACGTTTTGCAAGCGAGACGGAAAAAACAACGATCGGCACCAAATAAGCGAGACTGTACATCGAAAAGAAGCTCACTTGGAATGTCGTACGACCAATGTCGTCCATCATGATCAGTAGTGCTGCTACTGTTGTTGTTGCCCGTCGTCGACGAGAGAATAATCTGCGGCTCGTTGCCAATCTCATCGGGCGAGATTTCGAATTCTCGTTGAGGATCATCCGTTGAAGACGAGCAACCAAGGGGCATAATCCAATGCGGTTCAGAATAATCAGGTCTGTTAGCTTTAGAACATACTAAAGAGACGCTTATACTTCTGTCTCCAACGTCATACGCGTAAAGATACCCGGCACTCGTAGTCGTAAAGTACACCGTGTTCCCACGAACAAGTCCTCCTCCCACATCGAATTCCTGTCTTCTTGGGATTTGATAAGAGACGGCATTATTGCTATTGGAGCCTAAGAAGATAGCAGTGTCTTCGGGCAATGTCTCCAAGCGTTCCCATTTTCGTTCCTGGAAATTGGCCTTATACAAGTTCAGTTGCTTTACACCAATCTTAAAGCCCTCGACGCTACGAACCTTAAAGCTGGAGTCAGTGTCTCTATTGTCACCGTAGTATAGCTTGACAGTCATTAGTTCAGTAGGTGAGCCCTGAACCATGAAGGAAGAGCTCATCATAGTGCTACTAACGAAGTGATCCCCTGGCTCCCTCAACTTCATATCAAGTAACTCCACTGAGGCATCATTGTTAGTAGTACCAAGCTCGTCAATTGCCAACTGAACCTTGAAGAGGCCTTGACAGCACTCGGAAACAACATAAAACTCGCCATTGAAGCTGACGATGTTTTGGAAATGGAAGGAATGGGTATCCTCTTCGTACCAACACTGACCTTGTTGCGGCTTCACTAGCTGTGTGGTCCAATCTTTATCCCCTGGCCTACAGAAGTGAAAAGAACTCTGCTTTCTTCGCCCACAATATTCGATACACATAACCACACAATTATCAGTAGTAGGAGGAGAGGAAAGTGCGCAGTGGTCGATACTCTTCGCAGTAAATGGGAACCTGGGTAAGCGAAGCTCCTCCATGGTGACAGGGTTGAACAATGAACAATCGCTATGCTCGATATCGAGAAGCACTAACCAGCCTTGGCAATGTGCCCAGATGGTTCGATTTCGCATCTTGCGGATGTTTCTCACCTGGCAACTTCGTTCCGACGAGCTGTAGAAAGTTTGCGACTTGTTGTGCTTCCCATGGGAGTAAACCAGCCATGGCTCCGACCGTAGAATCGGTGGCTCCCGCCGATTATTCTTCCGACGACGATCCATAATGTTCTGCTGCTGCTGCGAGATGTTGCTAAAATACAGAGTACCCAAAGCTTATTTATGTTAAGCATTCGTATGAAAAGCTTGCTTTGGGTATTTTCGAGTTCGGAAAGGATTTGGGTGTTGCTCTTTCCCACTCGTATAAGGAAATCGAAGAACGAACGCGCGCTATCGTAATCCTGGTTCTAGAAGATGATGTGGGCGTGGAGCGGCGATGTGTACAAAATTGAATCGACATTTTGAATGGGAGATTGAGAAAAGGAGAAGGGGCGGTGCCGGCGCTAGGCTAGGTTAAGGATCGGAGCAGTAGAAACTCGAGAGTTGAGTATTTTCTGCGATCGAATATTATACACATGATGATTGATTATTGGACACGGAGGTGGCCCATAATAAAGCCCAATACGGACTGAAATTACATTGCCGAGCTTCAGCCCAAGTCAACCGAAGGTGGACAGTCCATGCCACAAGGTAGCGTTCTTTCTTTCTTTTATTGTACACTAGTTTGTGACCGGTTCGGCGGTTCGTTAGTCTTATGTAAAAGTATGCGTATGTTCCTCCCTTCTCGACTCCTAAGTTTTTCTCAAATGGAGTTTTCTCACCCCAAGTTCTTACTATTTCTCATCATCTTCCAATTTATTCAAGCCATCGATCGTCAAAGCCTTGTAGGAATGAAGACATTAATCCCTTTCCCGGTGACTCATAGCAGCAACAAATTTCTCATACCAACACATTGAACCTGTAAGGCTGGATCAGTTTGTCTACAGGATCAGCTTAGGGTTGGTTCAATTTAAGACGCTATGACCCATAACAACTACAAATTCCTCATACCAATACATTGTACCTGTTTGTAAAGTTTTAAGAGTTTAGTACTAAATTGTAAAAATTGGATACCAATACATAATTTATCATAAAAATGTGGACTTATTTGTAAAAAATAAATTTTAGGTACTAAATTATAAGGGGGGAAATTTGGACCGATCCACTGACTCGATCCTTCCCGACCCGTAAAGGGTCATAAAGAGTGAAAAAGAAAACAGGGGTGGGGGCAGATCAGCTATTTAACTTGATTGGTAACCATATCTGTGTAGAGTAGAGGAGGCTGCAAAGAAGGTAGGAGGATCTTCATTATCTGTAAAATGTTAGTTTGTAGTGTGAATTGCCTTTGATTAGATATGGATACTTCGATATTTTGTTAGGAGTACAAACCACGTCGAAAGAGATTGTTGTCCAGATAGTTCTGTGCTTTATTTCCCTCTGGTTTTGGATGTAGGGATACTAATTATTAATCTTTCTCTTCTCATTTTTCAACCTTGTTATCGACTTTACGTGGTCCACTATCGACTAGTATCGTAAATATTAATTTGAATTAAAAACTATGATTTCTATTGTGAGACGATTTGAATGATTTATTAGATATTTTGGTGATGATATGAAGTTGAAATTGTTTATGGTCAATGATAACTTCATTATTGGATTAGTGTAATATACAAGTCTTGTATGTTATATTTCATGAACGGTTATATCAACGATTAATCACTGAACCTGAACCACTAACTTTTTCAGTTCAGCCTCCGGTCCGGTTCTGAAAACAGAGATTAAAACACACAATCAAAATCATTATTAGAATTACTAGAAAAAAAAGTGTTAAATCACTACTAATTTATCATTTAGACTAAAATCAATACTGACATGAAAAGAAAAACACTACAACATATTTTTTTTATCAGCATTGGAATTCTCTGCGAGATAGATATTATAAATATTTTGTTATTAAACTTAATTTTATTAAATACCAAACATGCTCTTTGTTACTATTTACCGTTAGATTTAACTTAAATATAATGAACGGTGATGAGAATGGTTATTATGGTGCTAACCTATATAGAGTTACCACTCTAACCGTCTAACTCCTCTCGATTAAAGACCGGACCATATTATATTCGATTCGTTATAATCCGGTCCAAGTATCAGTTTGATGCAGTGACCGTTCCACACCCTAATTAACCGTTTCATAAAATTGTGTTATGCTGGCCAAACAGTAATAAGATTTTGTTGTTAAAAGTTTTGAAATTAGGGAGCGTGTAAACTGTAAAGATGGGGCGCTTTGCCGGTGGCGCTCCGGCGCTCCCTGAAAAGCCCAACTTTTGCTGTTTTTATTGATTGGTTGGGCAGTTGGTTTAGTTGTAGGCTTGTAGCAAATGGGGCAGTCAAATCAGGGCGCCACTCCACGGGCCCCGGCCTGCCTGCCTCCCCTTCTATTTGATAACAACTGTAATTTACCTTATCTTTGACCCTAAATTATGCCAAAACAAAAATTAATTAATTACCTTTCCATTTACCTTTCGGCAAGAATCTCACTTTGAATTGATCCTTGAATTATTTTTTAAAAAAAAAAATTTAATTGAATTGGCACGTAAATGTTACATCATCGGTACTTAAAATTTTGGTTTCAATCGACGTTTGATAGATGAACCTTATAGGTAAGATTCATTGATACGACAATAGCTATTGTTTGAGCCCGGGCGACTGGGAGTCGCTCGGATCCAAGGGGTTTGGGGCGTCAGACATGACCATGAGGGAGTAAGCGCCCCACCTCAGTAGGAGTGAGAAAAGAGAAGAAGTATATAGAGAGAGAAAGTAGAGAGAAATTAGAGTAAATAGTAGATGGATTGTCATTTATGAGGAGAGAACTCCTATTTATACACATCTGAGGGTTAGGTAGTGGTCTGGGCGCCTGCCAAGCCATAAATGCTGTGGTTGGGCGCCTCAGACCTTCTGACATTGTACATTGTACTTTTTGGCAGAGGGTGTCCCCCTGCACCTTGTCTTTGCTGATGTCAAGTGTCTGGCCTTGTCTCTTGGCCCTGTCTTTATGCTCTTCTGTCTTCTTTTCTTCCTTATGTCATTAGCTAGGGTTTTACTTCCTTAGTTACTAGGATACCCTATCAGCTATAATTACCAGTTGACACATTATATTATATATGAAATCTCTTAGATAGAAGCGATGCAAATTTGTTTAACAGTGTTGGTGACAAGTTGCAGACGACTTCTTAAATCACTGCTCCGTTTGAATTATCGACCATTCATCCACATATAATGGTAAATATTCTTGAATTACGGTATTATGTCTGCTAACTTTGTCCTCTCGAATCAGGAAGGTTACTTTCAATATCTCTCGCCCTCGCATTTTACTAACTCGTGCCTTGTAACCAAACTTTTCTGTTTTAGTTCAATATCTAATAATAGGAGGACGAGTCAGTCAAAATCGAAAGTTCGGAGACCTTTTTGTTAGTCGATGCAAAGTGAGAGGGCCTAACTAAATTGATACATAACCATGACCAGATTCGATTTCTTGCCGAACTAATTACGTCGAGGAAGGGAAAATTTCAAGAAGAAAGGCAAACAAAACTTGTTGGCTCAGTCACCGTAAAAAAAAAAAAAAAAAAAAAAAAAAAAAAAAAAAAACTTAGTGTGGCTCAGTCAGTCAAATCAGTCTGACAGAGTGATCAGGGAGAGTTGTGCATTTTCTCTTCTCTTCTTCCAGTCAATTATAAAACAAAAAATGGCAGCGTCGCCTCCCTAAATCCTCTTCTTTGTTCTTTAGCAACTCCCCCTTCCTTCTTTCTCCATTGGAGTTCCCGCTTCTTCCACAAAACCTTCTCCGTTTCCCACGGGATTTGGGATTTCTACAACATTCACCCGCACTCTGTGAAACCTCTCTCTCTCGCGCTTACTCGTCCATTAGCCTTTCCCGCAACCGCGAGCCCACGGGGGTCGGAATCTGCTTCCTCCGGCTTCTTCTTCTCTGAATTCCTGTGCACTTGCTACTTCTACTAACGGCTGATCTGCTCACTTCGCCGGCCAGCTCCCGCAGTTCCCGCGCTCGCAGGTATCGGTCATTCTCTTTTTCTCTCGCTTATGATTTCTCAGTTTCGTCTTTCCGTTGTGGTTGAGCTGGTGTACAAAAGCCTAATTGTGCGATCGACCGTCGCCGGCAATTCCTTGCCTCGATTCCGATCGGAAAACTTTACTGTTGCTATGCGATTCTTCTCGTTTTGTGTTCCTTTTTTTTGAACTGATTAATCAATTAAACAATTCCTTCCTTCTCTTCCAGCTTTTACTGAACTTTTGGCTGATTGTGTGGGCTTTTTCTTTTCGTGGACATTCGTGTGGGTGGTCGGAGCGTAGACTTTTGCGCTCCGTTTAACGGTGGAAAGATCACCGTTCGTCCACACACAGCCAGTCGGAATTGGTAAATGGAGGAAGGAGGAGGAAGAATCCCAAAACCTCCACCCACTAATTTAATGCGTAGACGGATTGGGTTTTCCACTCTCCCCAAACCCCATTACCCGGTTTTCTTGTCCCTCTCTCCCCTCTCTCCCTCTCTCTTAACTTTTTCTTAAACCAATGATAATCCCAAATCCAAACAATTATTATATAGAAAGAGAGAGCAGAAGCTTCCATTTCTTCACTACTCATCGTCATCTCTACCCCAAGCCCTGATTGCCTGTTAAATTACACACGGCTGGGTTGGACCATAATAATATCTTGGTTGATTTTGAGCAGGGAAGAGGGATGTTGATGAGGAGCAGATTGGCTTGCTGCACTCGGGACAGACGGATCAGTATCGACTTCGATGAACATGACAGTAGTAAGTACTCCACCCTCTAATCTATCGGTACTCTGCTATTGAATTCTTCTTCGCTTTTAGAAATTTGGGTTGTTAGTAGATTGATATTGCTATTCCAAATCTGTCTGCCGTGTTTGATGCGGATTCGCTCTCGTGATCCTTCCAAAGATAGGAGTCCCAGGAGCTCAGCATTTTGTTTGCTTTTGGGCTATAGTCAGCAGCAAAATGCCATACCTAACACATGCATACCTAGAAAACGTAATGTTTAGCTTATTTTGTGAGGTTTGCTGCTAAAGTAACATGGTTTAGGTTGGTCTGACAATGTCCCTAAAAGGGGCAGGATTAGCTTAGCCTCTATAATAAATGCTGTATAATACGTGTCTTGAACCGGATTTTGGCCATTATTTTTGATAAAATGAGTAGTGGTTATGCAATTGCAGTTGTAGTGGGTTCATAGAGAACACCTGATTTGAAGGTCTAAAGAATTTGGGATGTCTGCAAAACCTGATCACTGACCACCACCAGGTGTTAATGTTGATTGTTGTGGGTGATGGTTGTGGGTCTTTTCTGTCTCGTGCTGCTTTTATTCCGGTGGGTTTTCTGCCTGTTCCTTAGTATTGAATACTCTGGATATGGGAGGGAGGAGTGAGTTGGTTTGAATGGAGGGCACTGGGAACTGCGGTGCCTATTTACACTGGGTCCCGTCCTTATGCAGTAACGAGCTGGAAAACATTACAGTAGTGTTTTCAGTGAATGCCCCATTGTCAAGGTCATGGATCCTATGCTTCCCGACGTATTTAATATTTGGTGCAGAAGGGGGAGGGTAAGGAGTGTATTTATTGTGTCTTAAATTTGGGAGTGGAAGGGCTGCCCTTTGCCTCTGCAATGGCCAGGCCCAGAAATCCCTCTTCTCTTATATATTGGCTAAGAACTTTGACCACTCTTTGCTATTCTAATCAATAATCATCATGTTGTTTTCTACCCTTTTTGATGCATGGCTCCCTTTTTATTTCCCCCCCTTTCTAGAAAAAAACTGAGTAATTTAATGAATTGGAGTTGTTTTTCTGTTACTTATCGTCTGCAAAATATTTGATTGTCATTCTTTCATGTTTGATTCTTCTTGCTTTTTACTTTTGCTGGTAGGTCTCCTTTCTTCCAAAAGGAACCTGGCCTACAACTAGTGTGCTTAGAAGTTCTAATCAAATGTGGTTTATAGGTTTTTTTTTTTAATTAGTGTGCTTAGAAGTTTTTTTTTAATAGTGGAGGACCTGCCCGTTATGTGGTGCTTCAGTCTGAGAGATGTCAAATTATCAAGGCTAGATCTGAGTCTGTACTGATGTTTGAACTAGATTAGCACTATCAGCAAACAGATTTCGTTTTAGAAGTCTTCAAATTATTCAGATCCACCAATTTAGGATCATCTATGAATTACTTTTTAAAATACTCATCAAATTCTCGTTCGAAAGAGCACTCTAATTTTTTTTTTAAATGCTCATGAACTTGATATAATATTTCATTGAACTTCAGCTGCTGACATTTGTAACTTAAATCATAACTGGTCCTTTTGAGACCAGCACAGACACATGGGATCTGTACTTAAGAATTTTCATGTACTATATATCATTTAAACTTTGTGGGAATGCGCAAGTTTGGTGGTTCCCCAACTAAAATTCAAATTTTGTGGGCACAAAATAAAAAGAAGCGGTGCTTGTAGTTAGTTGCAGTAGTAGTGGCATTGATGTTAGGGACAAAGGGATGGCGAGAGCCGCGAGACTCCCACTAATATGCATGTAGTTCCAAATTCTTTATTCCTTGAGATGTGATTCAAACCTTTTTTTTTTTTTTTTGGTTGGTCTGGGACCATAATTTGCGGTCCAGGGCTAAATTTTATATCATTGGAGGTCAGGTCATTGGTGCCCTTCGAAATAGGACAAGTAGAGAAAACGAATGAAGTAACAGGACAGGGACACAAGAGTTAGTATCACTGTGGCCCGCCGATGGCAGATGTCATGGTCTCTGTGAATTGTGATTATAGGGGTGTCGGTTCGGGTCGGGTTCGGTTACCCGAACCAAAACCCGAAAAATCCGAAAACACGAAACCGAAAATCACTAAAACCGAACCCTTACCCGATAAGGACTTGCGGGTTCCGGTTACTCGAAACACGAAAATTCCTTATTGGGTTCGGGTTCGGTTAAAGCAAAACCGAAACCAGAAAACCCGAACGCCTAAGAATACGTGTTGAGTTCTATTCATTGGAGGTTTTTAGCCGGAACCCGAAAAACCGATAAGCAAAACCGAACCCGAAACCGAAAAACCCGAAACTCGAAACAAACCCGAACCCAAAAAACCGAAAATGTATATAATCGGTTCGGTTTTGGGTAAACCCAAAAAATCGAACCCGAATGGACACCCCTAATTGTGAATAGTCTCCCTCAAATTTGATTTATTTAAAACTTTTATATGGATCCCATCCACCATCATGGGCTGGGAGTGGTACGCTGGGTATCTCCGTCAAATTTCATGCTTTGAAGTCACTTGGGAGTTGGGATACCCCATTCACTTTCTCCCTTGTTTTTGAAAGTAACGTAACAAGTTTTGGGGTTACTTGTGCGAACTGTGATATTGTTGTTTTTTGCTTCAACTGCATGCATACCAGAAGTTTGTTTGTATCCTGGGGAATCTTCCATCTTTGCCTGCTTGCACAGTGAAAAACTAAGACTAGTTAAGTGGTCTACACTGATATTGATGACTCAACTACACATATCTTGGGAAGGGAGTCTTACTGATTTGATCGAATCAGTTTCTACAACAGGAAGAAAGAAAAAAAACTAGACACGTGTGCGGCATGTGGTGGCTAGCCCATTCCATCCCCCCATTCCACAAGCCAATTGTTTGATCTGTTATGGAGGATCTGTGTCATGTTCAAGTCACATGCCATCCTTTTTTTGCTGTCCAGTCCACCTCTTAGTTTGGTGATCCGCTGGCTCATTGTCCTAGTTCTTCATCCCAAAGCTTCTGTGAAATTTCTGTCTTGCTGTAGACCTACAGATTGGCTTACCAGTTATGCGTAGTTTGCTTTTTGAATGTGGAAAGCTGACAGGACGAAGTTTTGGTGTGGCCTGGTACATTGGCAGTGACCTCCCTGTCCTTTCCTACACCCACAAGTCATGGACATGAACCATGCAGGATTCATGCTGCAATCCTAATCTCAGAATTTCATTTTCCTAAAACCATGACAAAATTATCACCTAGGGTTAAAATTTGATGGGTTTTAGTGTTTAACTAACCCCAACCCGGTAAACGTGCATGAATTTTCATGGTTTGTTGTGCTTCATTCTTGATGAATGGAATTCGGACTTGTTAATACCTTTGTGACTCTTTCCATCTTAATATGGAGCATAGAGCTGTTTGAATTTGTGAGTGCTGATATGTAACTCAAATTGAAACTGCATGAACCCATCTAATAAAGGTCATTCCTTTATCATGGACCTCACCTAAGTGCTCGTTCTTATATTGCTTTTCATTGACATCAGGGATAATGACATATGATGGCCTGGAGAGCTGCATTCAAAACAATCAATCCTATGAAAATGAAAGCAGGACAAGTAGAGGTGATGGCTTTGTAAGCGACTCATTTGATGATGGTGCATCCAGCTGCTCATCGAGCAAAGATGTTTTTGGGTCGTTCTCTTCCAAATGGTTGAGTGTGAAAAGGGATGATCAGAGTTCGGATGACTGGGACCTCCCAGAAAGCCCCCAGCACTTTTATGCCAAAGAGAAACCAGCTTATGGGATTGGCCTCTCAGATGTGGAGACAATGAAGGAGAAGTTTGCCAAGCTGTTGTTGGGTGAAGATATCACCGGCGGTACTAAAGGCATCACTGCTGCCTTAGCATTATCCAACGCAATAACAAGCCTGGCAGGTTCATGAATCTATTGTCGTTTCTTTTCAAACTAAAACAACAATATTTGTCACGGTGTTTCACTAGGGCTAGCCATAAACAGAATTCTATCTGCCTATGCATCTACAGCTGTCCGACACAATCAGTTTTCTTCGAACAAAATTTAACCTACCTTTCTATGCTAGCTTGCTTTATTCTCTAGATGTTCAGTTAAGCTTTCCTGACTTTACTTGAGTTGCTTCACTCTCATTTGTATTTGCCATTCTCCATCAGCTCTAAATGCTCCAAATGAATTTTTTCCCTTTAGCATCTGTTTTCGGGGAGCTATGGAAATTGGAGCCATTGCCTGAAGAAAGAAAGAATAAATGGAGAAGGGAAATGGATTGGTTGCTTTCTCCCACAAACTACATGGTTGAGTTGGTTCCTGCTAAGCAAAATGGTGCAAACGGCCATACCATGGAGGTAATCTTCTCTTTTTCCCTAAGTTTTTACTTGGGGGGGAAAAGGGCTCTTCACCTTTGGTGGGATGTGGAACTGATCTTGGAATTCTAAAAGCAGATAATGACTCCCAAAGCTCGTGCAGACATCCACATGAATCTTCCTGCACTGACGAAGTTGGACTCTATGCTAATTGTAGGTGATCTCTGGAAAGTTGCGATTCTCAGTATTGATATGTTACTTATAGAGTGTCAATTCACCTATTTTGTCTAACGTAACAGGAAACACTAGATTCAATGGTGAAAAATGAGTTCTGGTACTCAGAATTGGGCAGCAGAGCAGAAGGAAGAAACAAGAGTACAAGACAGAGCAAAAGGTGGTGGCTTCCATTACCCCAAGTTCCCACAGCTGGACTTTCTGATACAGAAAGGAAGAAGCTGATGTACAAATCTAGAGTTGTCTATCAAGTCTTCAAGGCTGCCAAAGCCATCAACCAGAGCATTTTGCTTGAAATGCCTGTCCCATCAATGATTAAAGATGCACTTCCCAAGGTACAAAAAATAGAAGAAGACAACTACCATCCTAAGTTGCTTGGATTTTTCCCCCTGACGAAGCAATTCACATCAGCTTTACTTTGCTTCCTTTACAGTCTGGACGGGCGAATCTCGGGGAGGAACTATACAAGTTACTGACAACAGAATCAGCGACAGCAGAGGAAATGCTCAACTCTCTTGATCTAAAATCTGAACACAGTGTTCTTGAAGCGGTGAACAAGTTGGAAGCTGCCATACTGGGATGGAGAGAGAGAATCAAAGCAGCACAAGTCGCCAAGAAATCCCCCATTAGAACATCCTGGTCTTCCTTTGGCAAAGACCCTATATCTGAGCTTGATAAAGTGGAGATCCTTGTAGACAGAGCGGAATCCATCGTCCTCCAACTCAAGGCCAGACATCCGAATCTTCCTCAAACGTTTCTTGATGCTACCAAAATCAACTATGGCAAGGTATGCATTGATGGAGCTAGAGGTTTATTGTTACTTTTCGTTTAGCTATATCTTGATGGTATGAAACTATGAATGAAGGCCTGATATTCTTCGCTTTGAATCTGCGACCTTATCAGGACGTTGGACACGCGATCCTCGAAGCATACTCCCGGGTTCTGGGGAACCTGGCGTGCAGCATTCTGACAAGAATAGGGGACATTTTGCAAGAAGACGCGGCCAGCAATCCCAATTCTGCAGCAACTACTCCTAGCTGGGATCATGTTGGTGGAGGGTTTGATATGACAGGCGGTGTTCATGGGTCGAAGCTGCGGTATTCAGATGCCAGCAATTCGGTTTCGGATTGGGAGTTTTGCCTCAGCGAGCCGAAGTCGAGCTCGTCTGCAAGTGAGACCCCCAGCCGGAGTAGAGTATGGTGCATCGGCAGAGAGGCTTGTCTCAGCACCACGTCTCCCACAAACTCGCCATGACTGCAGAAAAAAATGTCAGTTTCTGAGACTTCGTTGATTATTATGGAAGCCTGCTAGCGGCTGATTTCCCCTCCCGGAATCAGTCTTTTGTAAATAATGTATTGCTGTTGGCTGTGCATTGTTCCGTGTAATTTCTTAATGTCATGAAACCTTGGGGTAAGAAGGGAAATTTTATTAAGGCCAACACTATCTTGCAAGACTACCATCCAGCAACCCGTTCACGCCGTGAACGGACACAAACAAGTCGTACTATCGAAAGAATCATTTCATTTACAAAACCGACGCAATGATATAAACCGATTTGACAACTTTGCCAACGATTCACCCAATACACCAGAGCTGCCTCCGCCCCTGCCTTTTTCTTACACTAAACATCTGTATTCCGTTATGCAGTTTTGGCTATATAAACGTAAACGAGAAAACTGGGAGTGTGAGCTCCACTCCGCCAAAAGTTCTTATGTGGTCAAGCATCGTAACAGCAGGATGAAAAGAAGAGTGGAAGTATAGGTGTTAGCTTGGAAAACTCACCATGTAAAAGAGAAAATGGGAGCAAGGGCACACAGAAAATGCCTTGAATCCTTTCCACACTTGGCCACTGCATCAAAATTCTGTTTTACTGTTCCCAAACGGACAACCATATTCATACTGTATCCACAGGTTGCTCCTCCGAGTTGTTCTCCACCTTCGGTTGCTCCTCCAAGCTCTCCGTCTCTTGCTCCTGGCTTTCTGACTCATCAGCTGATTTCGGATTGCTGAATTTCAGGCGAATAGGTCGACCCATGAGCTCCTGTATATGATGAAATTGTGCAAGCAAATTTGTGTCAGTAACCAAACAGATTCTGCTCATTCACACACGCTCAAACACATAAATCAGCTACATGCATCAGAGACTTCAAGAAAACACATCCAGCATGAAACCTTAGTTCGAATCGCTTCTGTTAAACGACTTCTTAAGATCCATATCGAGAACTTGAGAGGTATTCATTTTAAGTAGACAGTTGAAAGAGGCAATGGTTTTTGGGTTTTACCTTGCCATCCATAGCTGCGAGTGCAGCCTCTGCCTCTTCCCTCGAAGCAAACGAGACGAACCCATATCCAGCTGACTTCCCTCCAGGATTACTTTGAAAAACAACTCGACTTGAAACCGGATTGAACTCAGCAGAGAAAAGCTCTCTGAGATGGCTGCCTCTGACTTTCCAGGCCAGGTTTGACGCGTAAAGCTTGTGAGATGTCTCTTTACTAGTAAGGGTCTCCGTTGGAGAAAGCTTCCTCTTAAGTCCATTAGCAAACTCCACTGTAACAATTCTCCCAGACACATCCTGCCATTTTCAGAAGTTGTCCAGTATGTTAAAAATCACAACTTCAAGATCCCTGGGTCCTGCTTTACACCTAAACACAAACCTAAACTCCCCTAAAAAACTTAAGCCAATGCAAGATTGAAACCAGCCATTTCCCAAAAAAACCTTCAAAGTCAAGTACCTGAGAGTGGAATTTATCTACAACAGCCTGAGCTTCCTCTCCAGAAGCCATTGTTACAAAAGCATAACCCTTGCTCTTTCCATTGGCTCGCTTTATAATCTGAAAGTCACAAAAACGAATTTTCCGGCAGCAAACCCACATCATTAAAGCACACCGCAGAACCAGTAAATCCCCACAAAAATAGCACCAAAAAAATGTTATGGAGAACAGAAAGGAGAAGTTCAATTTCCGAATTCAGGAACCTCAACATCCGCGACAGTGCCGCACTGGCCGAAGAGCTCTTTAATGTCCACAACGGTTAGAGACCATGGCAAATTGAGCACGAAGAGCTTCCTCTTCTGGTTCACCGCCTGGGTTTGCTCTGATTCGGTTTCAGTCTCGGTCTCCACTGCCGCTTCTTGCACTAAACAGAGAGGTCTCCGGCGCCGGTCTCTCGATGTTGGGAGATTGACTGCTGTGATTGGAATTATTGGGCCGCTCCGGCGAAGGGAAAGGGAACTGGTGGTGGAGTGTTTAATTGACGGAGGGGAAAGAAGCGGTCTGGGAGTGGATTGAATGTTTGAAGGGCGAGAAGAGGAAGGAAGAGGTAAAGGGTCGTGAACTGAGAAGAGAGGCAGCGTTGTAATTGTCTTCAGAGCTGCCGCCATTGTTTGTGATAGAATGATAGAGTGGATGTTACCGTAAAGCAGCGAAATCCATAAGGACGCGCTAGTAGTAGTGATGGCAATGTTGCGGGGCGGGCAACTTAATTCCCATGGTCCGTCCTACACTACTATAGGTCGGGCGGGTAAAACTCGTGCCGGTACGGGGCGGGGTGAGTCGACCCACTCTTATACGTTGTTCAAAAAAAATACAAGTAAATTTTACTTTTTATAATAAAAATAGGAAAAAACGCTTTAAGAATGAAAAATATTGATAATAGAATGGATAATTGAGGCTAACAAGTTGAAAGACCGATTCTAACTAGTTGAAGAATAGTCAAAATAAGATAAATATGTATAGATATTGTAAAAAATTGAGATAAATTGAGATAAAATGGGTTAACTATGTAAAAATTAACCCAATCTAACACATTATCCTCCCTACTCGCAGTTTATTTTATGAACACCACCTCTAAATAAAAGTAACTCCAATACTTCATTAATTAATAAGTGGCAGGAATGGCTGCCAATGTCACATTTACATACATAATTATCCATGCTGAGCATCAATCTCCCGAAGAAAGCTACTAAAAATTGTTTAATTAAACCACTAAAAATTGCGACACATATACATCCTTAATTAATTACTTCAATTCGTTAACATTCTTCAACCGTGGACTGAGACCACCGACGACGCTACTACTCCCGGCGCCGCGCCCGCTGAAAAGTACTGCTGAATCAGGGCTTCGAAATCCGACGTCGTAGAGGCGGCCAGCTCTTCTTCGTCGCCGTCGTCCCCACCGGAGCAGCCTTCTTCTTCTTCTTCTAATTCCGCCAAGCACTCTTCAATCTCCGCATCGAACGAAGCTTCTTCTAGTTCTCCTTCGTCGCCACCGTTGTCGCCGCCGCAGTCTTCTCTTACTTCCGACAAGAACCCTTCAAGCTCTGCCACGTACGAGGATACTGCTTCTTCGCCGCCGTTAACGTTTCCAACGACGCAGTCTTCTTCTACTTCCGACAAGCTCCGTTCAAGCTCTGCTACGTACGAGGCTACTGCTCCTTCGTCGTGGTTTCCGCCGCCGCATCCTTCTTTTACCTCCGACGAGCAACTTTCAGTCTCCGCTTGAAACGACGTCGTATCGGCCTTCTGACGCTTGTTGTCGATTGTTGACGATTCCGCCTCTACGACGTCGTTGTAATCATCATCCTCGAGATCGATAAAAATCACTTTGGGTCCCTTGTTGTTGTTCTTCCTCTTCCTGGAACTAGAATCCGGCTTCTTCCTAATCCGGCAGACCGCGAGCCTTGTCGCTGCAGCAGAGTCCAGCCCAAGAAAGGGAATGGGCCGGTCCAGAAGGCAGTACTCGTGCATGATCCACGAAGTCGACGTCGTCGGCCCAGGCCCATTCTTCTCCTGCCCGCCTTTGCTCTTCTTGGGCCTGTAGCTAAACCTCTTCACGGTCCACGAAACCAGCCCGTCGGGTGTCTGCCCCTCCTTGCCGGAATCCTCCCCGTGCCAACTCCCGCCGTTGGATCCGACGCTGCGGTCGATCCTCAACCCGGTGGCGGTTCTCTTCTTCAACGGCGTGACGAAGTAGAGATCGTTGTCGGCGGCATCTTCGTCTTCTTCTTCTTCGCAGCCGCGGCCTCGGAACTTGTGCCAGATCTCCCATGGCTCGAGGTCGCCGTAGAGGTCGCAGTCGTTGACGTAGTCGCCGGAGGGGGGCGGGACTCCGATCAGCTTGCTGAGAAGGTAATTCACGACGAGCTCCTCGTCGGTGGGGAAGAATCGGAACCCTACGTCGCGGCGAGGACGGCGATCGGATTTGCTCATTCTCTTGCCGGCGATTTCGATCTTGATCTCTCGCGCGAAGGAAATCGCGGGAAAAGAAAACAGAGAGCGAGCTAGTGAGAGTGAGTGAGTGAGTGAGTGATGTCAGATGTGTGTTGAGTGAGTGATAACGGGAAAGCAAAAGCAAAAGCAATTTGGAAAGGCCGTGGGTGTTTATTTATAGATTTACTCTTAACTTTCCGGTTTTCATTAGGAACTTCATTTTTACTTTTCCTAATCATAATTGGAAACAAATTAATTATATTTGGTTAATTAAAATGTTATTTCACTTATTTGTATTATGATCGCCGGGAAAATATGTTATTAATTGTATTATTTACACTATTTCACTTGCATGGCATTCTACTATTAGTTGCATATTTTCAAATACATTATTTTCTATATGCAATTTCATCCACCTAGGTTTTGTTGGTCAATCTAGTTGTTCTTAGTGGTGTGCTAACCTTCAATACTACAACCAAACTCATGAGAATCGCATGCCAATAAATGAAAGATATCTTAGTGCCAAGTATCGGACCAAAAGTGTATTCAATCTGGTTTGCTCCGGTCCAAATGTCAATTTTGTTAATTTTTCTTTAGTAATTATAAAATTTACCGGACCAAAAACCGAACTGCATTATATTCAATTTGGTACGGTCCAGTACAAAGTCTATTTGGTCCAATATATAGTCCAATAGAGACCAAACTATTGCACCCCCACACTAATTACTTTGATCATGTTTGTCGAAGATCTATGTTTTGTTTTGATTTTAGCATAAATTGGGTTAATTGCATGGTTGGTCACTGAGATTACAAAAATCGTTCAAGTTTGGTCACTCGAAATATTTAAATCCATTGATGGTACTTCAGTTTACTGAAACTGTTCACGTTTGGTCACTCTCCATCCAACTCCGTTAACTTTTGCTTACGTGATGGTCAACTCTAAAAATTGACCGCTAAATGTGTGACGTAGCAATTTAAAAATAATAATAATTAAAATTGCACTCTCATTTCCACCTCATTATCACTTTTATTTAAAATAAATAAAAACCCCTAATTTATTCTAAGAGCATCCACATTGGTATTGCATTCTCAATTGCAAAATGACATGGCATAGGTGTTTGCAATTGCAAAACCAATTGCATTGATCTGGCTAGCAATTGCATATTTGCAAGCTTGCAACAAATGCAATTCCATATGCAAGTAAAAAAAACCTAAAAAATGGGGATTTTTTTATATTATATTATATTATTTTCTCTTTTACTTTATTTTCTATAATTTAAACATAATATTTAATTATATTTGCAATTACAAGTTAATTGCATTGATGTAGGTGAATGAAATAAATGTGATGTGGATTGCAAAAAATTTGAGTTGGCAATAAAAAATACAAATGCAATATCTTTTGCAATTGCATTGATGGAGATGCCCAATACCAATACTCCGCAGGCAGCATACCCCGTCGTCGCCGCTTCCATTATTGCCGGCGATACGACTCTCCGTCGATGAACTGCTCCTCTCGAAAGACAGAGGAGCGGCAGGGAGGTAGCCAAGTGCAATAGAGTGGAAGGGATCATGGCGCCGTTGTGGTGAATCCCGTAAATGAGATTAATCATGCATTAAATTCGTCGCTTCGAATGGTCCTGGCGGAGAGAGTGGAGGTCACCGCCGGGTTACCGTGATTTGTATGGCTGTAGAGGGTGTACCACCGGGGAATCCGTCGTGTCTCCGTTGCTGCATGCAACTTCATGTTCGGCATCACGAGGAGTGAGATGTGTTTTGGGAATTTTGGTAGACGCCGGAGGAAAGGACCGAGAAGGGGAAAGAGGGGTTGAAATTCCTCGCCGCTTCTAGAAGAATCGGCAAGAAAAAGAGGATGAGACCGCTGTTGTTGTCGGCGATACGACTCTCTGTCGATGAACTGCGACAGCGGGGTATTGGTGTTAGGGATTATAAGAAATTAGGAATTTTTTTATTTATTTTAAATAAAAATGATAATGAGGTGGAAATGAGAGTGCAATTTTAAAATTTTTAACTTTACTATTTTTAAATTGCCACATCACAATTTTAAAGGGAACTTTTAGAGTTGACCGCCACGTATGCAAAAATTAACTGAATTGTACGGAGAGTGACCAAACTTGAACGGTTTTAGTAAACTAAAGTACCACCAATGGATTTAAATATTTCAAGTGACCAAATTTGAACGTTTTTTATAATCTCATCTCAGTCAATTAACCCAGCATTAATTACATAATTTTTGTAAGTTGGGTTTTGTCAATTTAACGCTAATTACCTAATTTCTTAGAACCATATCAAGAGTCTCGTGGACGAAACACCAACGCTAACATCATGCACATTTAGAACGGTACACTATTATTATATTTAATACAAATACATCATTACTACAATCCTTGCAAACCAGATATGTTCACCTTTTTTTATTTTTTTATATTTTTGAGTGATATCAATGGAAAATAATAGTTAAGCTTATAATTCTACCCAGGACCCCTAAAAGACTCTAAAGAAACCACCCAAAAAAATCAAAAGATTCTAGCTCTACACGAGACAAAAGCAGTGCTTTACGCGCCACTCTATGGGCAGCACTGAAGGCGGATCTAGGTACCGCCCTAAACTCTATACAAACAGACAAAGAGCTAAGGATCTTAAGACACTTTCGAAACACCGAACCACCAATCGAGTCTTCTAAGAAGCCTTGACGGACTTGGTTGACAACCAGTTCGGAGTCACCTTCGACTATCTCGTGGGCCAAGCAATATCCCTTGATGTTGCAACCCGAACGCCAACATCACATGCCCGTCTGACCCACGGATAACAAGCCCAGACGAACACCCGAAGGCACAAACAGTTGCGTCGACGTTGAACTTCAAAAAGCCTTCTGGTGGAGCGACCCAAGTGGTGGGAGGAAGGATTCGGAGTAAAGAGCTGCGGGGAGGAGGGGGAAGAAGAAGATTGGAGATTTCGAGGACCTGGTTGTAGAACTGTCTGACTAGGGTACGGACATGAGGTTGGATAAATTCAAAGGTCACTTTATTTCTAGACTTCCAGATATGTTCACCCTTACAATCACATGCCCAAAATACATAGTTCCCAATAATTCACAATCTCTATAGACCAAACAAACAAACGCTTTCCATTTCCATCAACGGGAAGAATGTCTCACCAACAAGGTCTTCAGCCTGACTTGATGCTGCACTCACTGTACCATTCCTCAGGAAACTACATCTCCACATATGTCCCCTGTGCCCCCATGGAAATGAAGAAAGCAAGATGTAACTTACGCGAGGGTTGAATTATGAACTAGCCAGCGAATAGCGATTTCACAGGGTAATGCTGCAACGACGAGTAGGATGTATCTTACCATGCATACATTTGATGAAGTAATCCAACTCCTGGAAGCAGACTGGTCCTTGGCACAAAGGCGATGGCTGATGATATACAAAGAAGAGGAAGTGATGATGATCCGGGTTGTTCTTCGGCTTTGCCATGTCGACTACTTTCATATACCCTTCTCTGTCGTAGCACGACAGCATGTTCGTGCCTGACACGGTCAGTCCATGGTCCCAAGCAGCGTGCAAAACCTGATACACAAGATCAAAGGAACTTATCACCTCTTTTCTGTCCCTTCTAAGAAATTTAGAGGCAGCATTGTTTCAGCTTTTAAAGTAGACTTCTTTCTCAAGTTACAAGTTTTCTTAAACGAAATAAACATAGTCATAGCCCATAGCTCCCTCTGGTGAGCTTGAAACTGTAATGGTTCTCTATCATCTATGCCTCCTCCTAGGCTACGAGCAGGATATAAGGCAATATCTAAAGGCCAATCAATTTTAATAAGGAAGTTCACGACAATGAGAAAGACCACCAACCTGCCAACATAAGCCTTCTGGATCAGCAACAGCTGCATCGATGCCAGAAACTTGCAGTCCTGAGCACACAAGCTTAACTACCGCCGAGTGTTTCTTCAGAGCATCAAACACAGGAGAATATCCATCCTGGTTGGTTGGATTATAGTATCCAGCGGTTAACTCAGCAGCATGACTTGCAGTCTTGTACCACCAATATACTGCGGGAATCTGCAAGCACAAACTGTCAGCTTCAAGAGAAAAATCCAGCTTCAAATGATACAGCAGGCAAACTCACCTTAACAACTAATTTTGTATCCTCGAATGCAAGCCTGGCAAGGAACAAGACATCATCTGCATGGCCAATCAGCAATTGTGTGTACCAGCAGAGGAAAAAGCGGCCAAAGTAGCTGTCATAATCGCCTCGTTCGCAAAAGAAACCAGTTTCGTGGGGCCTCGAATTATATTCACCAGCATTATCAGGGCTTCTGGCCCAAAGTGTGTGACCACGCAATTTAGCTGCTCTCTGTAGATTTTGTTGGAGGTACTTGTCATAACACTGCAATGAAGAAATAAAATTTTAGTGAAATGCGAAAACTTATTTACCATACAACTGCAAGAGATTGGGGGGAATATCCAGCTAAAGGATCCATTACTATTAAAACCAAATGTCAGCTGTGAAGATTAAAAATGATAAATTGCTATTAAGACTAAATGTTAAGACCAGTAAAACTAAATAGATGGACAGGCTATATCTAGTTTTTTTTTATCATGGTTTCTAGATTATCAATACAAAGAGTCATCGTCAGCTAAGTGACCACTGAAATATAAGAATACCCTGCACCTCCAGCAAGTCCACAATAACAACCATGGACAAACCAAAGAATACATAGCGTTAAGATGTAGACAAATTTTATATGGACTGCAATGTAGAACTTACTATTTGAAACTGTTGTCAATGAGTAAGAACCCTACCAAAGATGTTGTAATCACCATGCAATAAAACAACAGCGAGACATGCATATGTGGAATAAGATACCTGAAACTCACCGATGCCAGGATACCTCCAACCCAATCTTTCTGAAAAAGATGGATATCTCAGTTCTCCCGAAGCTCCAAGGCCAATTTCAACCGCTGTTATAAGACCCTCAGCAAACAAATCGTCGAATTCTGTCCGGAAACTCCTCATGAAATCAAAATATACCTGATTTTCAAACTAGTCATATCCACAACTGCAGTATAGGTTCATACACTTCAGAGCACTCCTCAGTGAAGATAAAATAACAGCAAAGGATCAATGACCATACATGAAAGAGCAATTCAATGTGTTGCATGGATGCAAGATGATTCCAGTTACTTTTTAAATGACTTAGCAGTGTCGTACCAGAACTAAAATTTCAAGCATGTTAGTTTCACATGGACCAAATAGGCAAATACAGACCAGAAAGATTGGTACAGAGGTTGAGCTCAAGAAATAGAGAAGCACAAAGGAGTTATGCAAGCAATGTCACCAACCAAGACTTCATAGAGCAAATATGCTCAAAAAGAGGTCAGCTGTGTGCATTAAAGAAAGTTGAATACCTCAATGCCGGTTCTCCCTCTTAGGACTCGCTCTTTATCCACCCCCCAAGAAAGACATTCAGTATTTCTTCTTCCTTCACGATCTGTGAAGAATATATCTGGGTTCTCTTTCCCGATCTCTAACACCCATTGTGGGAGAGAGATCAGAATATCACTGGAGTCATTTCCTCCATACTCGTGAAATGCCATCACAACCTACAGAAGCCGATAATAATTAGCAATTTACTAGAATGCTGAATGCCAGAGTAATAGATCTTATCCAAACTATAGCTACAACAATCCATCGAGCACCCTTGCCGAAAAATTATGATTCAAACGTTCAATGGAGAGTTTAGTTGGATTCCTTCATTATTCTAATTCTTATATTTGTAGAACCAGTAAAGAAAACAAACAACAGATTTGAGGGAACAGATAGCCATACGGATCAGCAGAAATCACCTGCAATTTCAACTTGAATTCCTTGACGAGGTTGAAGAGCTCTCTGTAACCAGACCACATATACTTTTGAGGGCTCCATGCCTCAACAAATCCCCACCAGCAGTCCACCACAATACCATCTATATCCAACGACTTCAAATGACTCAACTCTTGTCTAACACCTTGTGGATCAATCAACTGGCAGAAATTGTTGATAAAACCATTCTGATGGATAGTCCAACCCCCAAAAGCAAAGAAAAAATATCAGAAACCAGACCAAATAAACGCGATGATCGTCAGCACATATGACGACAGGAAATGAGTGGACAACAAAAGAAACAAAGTTAACAAGAACAAAAAGCTCATCAGGATAAGAGCAGGCACTAACCACAAGCATGACATAAACAGGAACATACTGAGAGCCAGTGAAAGCATTTCCATCATCACAGGACCGAACATCTTGTATAATCTGCACAGTCAACATACCAAAAAGAACATGTATTTCAAGAGAATGACCAAGAAATGGTACATGGAGGGACAAAAGCCTACAAACTCAATCGAAGAAGCAGCAATTATGTTAACATGATGTAGCTCATCCTCATGTTGCAATAGTTGCTGAGGGAAATGAAAGGAACTGATATTAACGCTCCCTAATTCTCCCATCAGTGAGCACCCATTCATCCAAAAAAACATGAACAGATAGACCAAACGAACCTGATCAGGATCCAAACAATCAACAGAGTTGATGGGGCTTGAATTAGTAAATTTCTCAGCCTCATTTCTCGTATCTATTTCGCTTATCACAACTGAATCAAGAGAAGCCGCTGGCGACAAGCTTCCATCCATCCGAAGGACATGAGGCTGCTGAGAGTCCAATGCAGCCGTCACATTGACTGAACTATTCTTCAGGGAAGTTGCAGATATGGTAGGGCTTTCAACTGACCTTATTCCACCACCATACGCAGCCTGAGAGAACAACAATAATTCCCACAATTCAAAGGACGAACGAAACAAAGAACTACGATAACTGAGGGAAGCAACCATTACTTACCAGCTGAGGAGGAGGCGATTGACGGTAAGTGGTGCCATCAGTCTCGACAGTCCAGCCAGCCTCGCGTGCTAGGGCTGCGAGAACATCGTTCATATCCGCGCGCGCCGGTAGATGGAAATTCCCGTACTGCCTAAGTCCGGCGAGCATCCGGCTGGTGATGGCACGGCGGTGGCGCTCTCTGAGCTTAGTCCGTTCTTTCTCCTTCTCCCTCTCCCTCTTCCCCTTGCCGGTGGAGGCATTCCCGGCGGATTCCGCGGCGGTGGCGGCGAATCCACGGAGGCGACGAGGCTGGGATTGGGAATTGGAGGGATTGGGTTGCGGTTGAGAGTACGGGAGTTCGGGTTGGTTTCGCGGGTCGAGAAGAAGATCTTGGTTGTCAACGGGACTGTTCATTCCTACCTCGGCAATTCCTACTTAGGCCGCCATTTTTTGGTCCCGAGACTAAGAATGAATGAACCCCAGACGGGAAAATCTGTCAAGGCAAATACCTACTGCTATGCTTATGGAAGCGAACTAGCAAGACACAGAGATAGAGAGAAGCACCTTGCCGGACTGAAAACTCTAAGTCGCCGGGGAATCGATCTCCGAAGTAAAAAAATTCCAGCACAAGACGAAAGATTAGTGGTGACTGGCGAAGGTCATGATTCTCTGCACAAGTTTGTGTTTTCTTGTAATTTTTTTCTGCGTTCTTTTTCTTGTTTTCAACTTTTCCAGGGGATTTATTTACCAAAAGTTTTCAAATTAGTTTATATCCTCCCGCTGGTTTAATAGGTGGAATGGTTCGACTCGACCAATAATATTACCAATTTGTATTGATTTATGTCGATTTATGCTGGTTTACTTGATGAAAAATCATTTTCATCAAGCAAATTTAATTATATATAAAATACATTTGAGAATAATTTACTTACAATCCATATTCAAATTTAAATAGAATACAATATTCCAAATAAAATAACAAATATTCGTATTTAAATACAATATTTAACGTTAATATCTAAACGTTTCTACTTGAATTCAACAAATTACATCCACATTTAACTTTTTATATTCATGAAAATAAATAATAAACTCGTTTTCTATTAATTGAATTCACAAAAACGACACCATTTTTCTCAGACTTCGTAAATCGATTATGTAAGTCGGTCATACCCGTGATGTTCATATTGATTAATGACCAATACTAGGTGAAGCAGGTTCATGCTACCTTCATGTTATATATATAGTAGGAAATCAATATGTCATATCATACGATATTGCGACATATTTTTGTATCACAAATTCTTTCTCATCAATTTCCCGAGTTTTTTCTGCTAATGTGTACCATTACTTCTACCCGTTTCTACAGCTCTCCCGCTTAAGGGTCAGGGGAGGCCAGATTTGGGCTCGTCCCCAAACCCAACAAATTTTTTTTTTTGACAAAAGATAATCTTATATTGATTGAAACGAAGACAGTTACACCCTGGAAAGCAGCCAGGTCTGAAAGTCAAAGAAACGACATAAAGCCGGGTACAAAGAAAGGGCTTTTCTAGCTACCACATGAGCTACCCTATTAGAACCCCGACCTACAAATCGAATACTGAATCCAGAATGGGCATCAAAATACTGAACAACTTCCTCAAGAACAGCACCCATCTGGCCATCTCTGATATCCTTCTTCTTGATTTTGTCTATAATCACCTTAGCATCCCCCTCAAACCTGACCGCCTCAAGTCCATGCTCACAGCACCACAACATAGCTTCAAGGAGGACAAGTAACTCCACCACAACAGGGTCATCAACCCCCGGGAACTGAACACCTTTAACCCAGAGGATCTCTCTAGCTGGTGTTAAAATCACCATCCCCCCAGCCGCATGAGAGCCGCTCCTCGTAGCCTCATCCCACATACAAACAGCCATGCCAGAATCTACTAGTACCAGCTGTTGTACCCTTGAACAAACTGCTAGAGGGGCCTGATCCCTTGACAACCTTACCCATTCCTCATATTGCTGATTATACTGTCGCATCAGAGCAGGGATCCCATACTACTTGCCTTCAGAGACTACCCAGTTCCGAGACCTCCAGATACGCCAAAGGATGGCTACAACAGCCATAATCAAGTCAGGCTGATGAATAAGAGCCAGCAGCCTTTTTAGAAACAAAGGAAAGGTGTGACGGGGCAAACCCTCCCCGAGGTAGTCCAACCCAGCAAACTCCCAGAGGGCACGGGCCACCGGGCAATCGAGAAACAAATGCTCCATCGTCTCGGGAGCATCCCAGCAGACCGGGCACCGAGGGAGCACCGGAGCTTTCTTCTCAATAAGTGCCTCAGTAGTTGGAAGGATGCGATTGAGAATCTGCCAGACAAACACCTTAAGTTTAGGCGGAATATTAGCCCCCCACACCCGAATCCAACTTGGCTTATCCATCCAACTGGCCAAAGCCTTCCACTTCCCTTCACGTCTCTCCAGTGTGGTCGCAAGATGGTAGGCAGATTTGACCGAGAAAATCCCATCCCTAGTGTTATGCCAAATCAACTTGTCCTCCACATTACGCCGCGGTAATGGAATGGCTTTAATTGCTCTACAGGTAGGCGGATCAAACCACTGGCCCAGCTTAGCCTCATTCCAGCGTCCTTCCCCCTGGCAAATAACCTCTGCTACCAACGGATCACCCCCGTTGGGCAAAACTCGAGGATTATACCTTAGGGGTTCAAGCTGAAACATGGGAACCCAGGTGGAATGGAGCAGGGAAGCCGACCGCCCATTTCCAATCTGCCACCGTAACCCCTTCTCCAGCAGCTAACGACCAAACAGGATGCTTTGCCATCCCCACGACGAACGTGAACGGGCTGAGGCTGTGAGGAAGGTACCATTCGGGAAGTATTTACCTTTATAGACCTGGGCAAGCAATGACTGAGGATCAGTAAGTATACACCAGCCAATCTTAGCAAGCAAGACTTGGTTAAACTGCTCAAACCGGCGGAAGCCCATCCCACCCTCATGCTTACTCCTACACATATTTCGCCAAGACATCCACCGAATCTTGGGCTGACCCTCAACCGCCCCCACCAAAATCTAGCCACATGCTTATCCAACAGCCGACACAGAGAGACCGACAACTTGAAACATGACATCACATGCAGCAACAAAGCCATGACAATAGATTTGCCATGTCCAAAAGTTACAAACTTTTATTCCGCACTAACCAAACAAGGAAGGTGCACGAGGCCCGAGGGGGAAGGGGAAAAAAAAGGAGTAGTTCTTTCTTATCCTACTACCACCTAGTTACAGACTTCGCCGGCAAATCCAACCACAGAGTTTTTAACATCGAACAAGATCCGGAGGTTCTCCTGCTGCAGATTGGCTATGACATTGAGCACCGAGTTCACATTGTTCGGCGCCGCCGCCACCGAAAGGCAGGCCAGCGGCCTGCCGCTGCTCCGGATCAGCGTGTTTTCCACCGCCAGCACCAAGTCGAGCTCCTCGAAATGGAACGTGAATGACGGCGCCTCCGCCTCCTGCCCATTCGCCGGGAAACACGTGTCGAACGCTCCCAGGCTCGAGAACGGCCCCTTCACCTGCTTTCGAAACGCCTTGCGTATCGCCGCGTAGACCGGCCCCACGAACCGGGTTATCATCGTGCCCGAGTCGATGATCGTGCCGGCCCCGTTCCTCGGGTCGAACGCCAGCGAATCCGACCGGATCGGGACCTTGACCGGACCCACGCTGACCCCGGTCAGGTTGACGTAGTACAAAGAAGGGCGGCGTGGATTCCGGAGAAGTGTCGTGGTCGAGGTGAACCCGGGCTGGTCCTTTGGGCCCAGCCTGAGCGAGCCGGAAAAGCTGGAGGATCTGAAGCTCGGCAGGCAGTACGAGAAAACACCGGAATAGGCCGGCTCGGTCTGGCCCAAAAACGAGAGAGGCCCACGGCCGAAGCCCAATAACCCCTGGGCCGGAACCGACCCGCCCGAAACGGAGGCCACGCACCCGAAGGCGAAACCCGGGATGTAGCGGCCGCCGATGGCGAGCCAGTCGGTGCCTAGATTAGCGGCGAATCTGGAGTCCCCGCCGTACGACTGCTTGTACCGACACTTGCCGGCAGCGCACGTGTGCCCACCGCCGTTGGGGACGAGGGAGCAGAGGTCGCTGGGGCAGTCGACGGACCAGTAAGAGCCGGAGGCGTTGGGGGAGAAGAAGGCCGCGTTTGGGTTGGCGGCGGAGCAGTCGCCGGAGCAACGCGAGCAGGGGACGAAGGTGACGTCGTTGCTGATGTCGAGGACCATGGCGAACGTCTGGTTCGGGTTCCCGAGACTGACCCGGACCACGTAGTTGCCGACGTTGAAGAGTTTCTGGCCGGCGGCGATGGGGACGTCGCCTTCGGCGAGCGAGGCGAGGCGGGCGTGGTCGTTGGCGGCGAGGCGGTTGACGGTGTCGAAGTGGGAGGAAGATGGAGGCGGCGGTGGGGATATTGGTGAGCATTTGCTGTAAATGGGGATGACGGAGATTCGGGTGGGGTCGTCGGTGGAAGGAGAGCAATGGTCGACGGCGACGGCGGAGCAAAGAAGTAGGGAGAGGAAGAGAAATGTTGAAGTCGCCATGTTAATTGGTTAACCGGCGTACGGGGAACTTCTTTCTTTTTTTGTTGGGTCGCCGGCGCTGGTGTATGTGAAGAACTGATGAGGAAAGGGAAGCGCCATATATACAAGTTGGAAAAGTACAAATTAGCTTTTTACTTTTTTTTATTTTTAGTGTTATTGGTAGCCAGGCTGGTTAACAGGTTAAGTACTTAAGTGCGTATTCTTCTTAATTTGACATATTAATTAATTAATTCTGGCCCTGGATCATTAATTATCAAAAAAATTCTGACAACTTCGATCAGAAAATATGGTCACACCTTAACCTGGCTGCCCTTCTTTGACTCGCGTGATGAGTAAGACTGTGTTTGGCAAATAAAAGGTGTGCAAGTTGATGTATAATTTGAGGATGGTGTAAATAAATCAAAGTAGAATGTAAACTGTTGTTTAATTTGGAAAGAGATAAAAGTAAGGATGTTTATGAGTTGAAAATAATATTAATCATAATACTTTCAGATTCATACACAATAACTTTTTAGTTAATTTTAGCAATATTTACAATAAATTTACTAACCATTGCTCGACGTGTGTTCTGCATTTATAAACTTGTTATGTGATCGAATTTGTTATAGTGTACGAGATGCTCAAATTAGTTTATAGACGTAAATAGCAATGAACGACTCCTAGCAGGTTGGAACTATATTTTCACTGCATTGTGTGATATATATGATATATAATGTCCCATTACCAATCATGATTAAATTTACAATTATTAGGGGATCCACTTGTGATAATAATGGTTATATATATCGACCCACTAGGTTATACTGATACACTTAATGTATAAACAATGCTAATATTGGGATTCCACGTGTTTACAAGGATGCACTTAATTTAATAATAGCCGGTTTGGGCTGATTGATCTGATCTGATCTGATCCTCTTATTGGAATCCTATCCTAGAGCAAACAAAGAAAGACCGGACCATCCAGGTAACTCACGTGAGCCAAACCTGGAAAAAAGTTACATTGTTTTGGCAAACTAGAGTTATAAATTTGGACATCAAGTTAATAATGGTCAATTTTTTCAAAAATCACAAATATAGTCAGATTTAGTATATGGATTGCAAATACCATCCATGGCTAATTTTATCCAAATTCAAGTAAACTCGTTAATTATAGATAGGGTATGCGTGAAGTCCAGGGGCGGACCCAAGGGGTTTTAGGGGTGTCCCCGGACACCCCTAAATTTTGGGAATACTATTATCCAACCCCGGTGGTAATTTATGTATGGACAAAAAAAAAATTGATAGTGAGGGACACCCCTGAAATTTGAAAACATGATTATCCTACTTTCATTTGTGTATAGGGATATAAGTGGTAGATTGGGTAATTCAAATCTAGAACACTATTCTTATTAATAAACTTAATTTCCGTTGACCTACAACTCATTTGTTGTTCTATTTTGAAAAATGTAATAGTAAAATGTCATTTCCTATCTCTAATTATTTTAAAAACCTAACAATTAAACTAATTTCAAACTACCCTTAATACGGCAAGTGTTGAAAGAGTCTTTCAGCTTTGGGTTACATCAAGAACAAGTATACAAATCGAATATGCGATAAGTTCGTGAATGATTGTCTAGTAGGGTATATAGAGACAAATTTTCTTAACACTATAGACACCAAGTGTATTCTACAATTATTTTCGAATATGAAAACAAATCATGGACTTTTTTAACCTGTACGTCTAAGGTATTTTCAAATTTACGATTTTATTTTTTATTAATTATTTTATTTAATTTATTTTTAAAAGAGGACACCCCTATGAAAAATTTATGGGTCCGCCATTGGTGAAGTCTATATGAGTTTGGGGTTTTGTAGATGAATTTGGGTAGAGTATTAGTATTGCTTACATATTCTGAATGGGTATGGTTTGTGTATGAATGTCCATTTACTTCACGTTGTTTTAAGTACACATTAAAAAAGTATACCTATTTGTAAAACTTAATAAATGTATCAAAATTTAAGGCACAAAAAATTTTAGATACAAAAATGGAAAAGAAAAAATAGTAGTACATATTAAAATGTTGTAAGCTTAGGACGGCTTTAGCCGGGGAGCTCGCCTCCGAGCTGATGGCGGCAACGGCGGGGGGATTCGAACGGCGATCGAGAGAATGGACGACTGAGTACCTGAGATCGCCTGTAGATTTCCTCGAACGTAATGGTGATGAAGGCGTGACGATGCTGGGTCCGGGACCTTGTCGGTCGCCGCGAACTTGAAGTTGGTGAGCTGGATGAAGCTTCCTTTCGAGAGAGTGGATTTTGGGTTCGGGAGGCCGTGGTTGGCTCGGCTGGTTGAGTTCAATGAAGTGATGGGTTATATATATCTTGTCGAGGAGTGGCGGTGGTGATGGTGGTGGGAGGGTTTCCATGGCGATTTGCTTGGAGGCTGGTGCTATGTAAGCAGTGGCGTAGCCAGAAATTAATCTAAGGTGGGTCAAACGTGGAAAAATAACATATATAATGTATGTTTCAGGATGTGTTCATGTTTTGAAACTTTTTCTAAAATGCATTCATCATGCAAATTATGAAAGATGTTAAGATATCACAACGAAAAATCGTTCATGATTCCACAACTCATCTTACTTAGAAGTGTTTCTTTACTTTGAATCTTACTTAGAAGTGTTTTTTTACTTTGCTTATTGCAGTAAATCCTCTTTCATCACTTGAATGACAACTGATAGCAACAAACACCCCTAAGTTTCAAGTATTTGTTTATATTAAACTCACTTACAGAATATATAAATTAAAAAAAATATATAGATTACAGAATGCTAGTTTTTCGTAAAACTATAATATGGAGATCTTGTATTCGATCAATAATCGCATAAATACAATTACTCCACATGAATATGGAGATCTAGTTTCAACTTTCAAGTAATCGCAAATGACCCACCTTGGCCTCATGTGGCTCCGCCACTGTATGCAAGGGTTCCAGAGGTTATAAATCACTTCATCGAATTTGAGTGGCATCGTTTGAATAACTTTCGATTCGTTGGATCAGGTAAGATTTGATGTAATAATCTAAATCGTTCAAACGAAAGCCACTCACAAGGGCTTGAAGATTTGCACAAGTCTGAACACAAAAATGACATGTGCTTCACAAATGGGGGTCATTGAGATTGGATAACAAGACCTCCCGGTCATAGAAGGCTCTGATACCATGTCAAGAACCAGTTGGTCCCAATAACTCGAGTTGTTGGAAGAAGATTATGTTGGATCTTATATAAACCCATGTATGGTAGGACTGGCTATTTGGTCCGGGTTTTTTGGTTTTACCCGAAACCGGATCGTATAACCCGGATCGAGACCGGACCGGGACCAGATAGTAAACAATCCAATCCAATCTTTGGGTTTAGATTTGAGGTAAAAAAAAATAATTCGGGACCGGATCGAAAACTGGATAAAGACCTAATAAGAGAGCTCAACACCCAAATCTTAAGGGTAATTTGCATAAATGGTCACAAACCTTTGCACTTAGTACAAAACTTAACCAACTCCTCACCCTTTCAGGCCTTAGGCCACTCAAATCCCCACAAGCTCAATATAAAATCAAGATCGAATTGGGACCGAACCGGGTCAAAACCGGACCAGATCAAGACCGGACTGTATACTATCCAATCTTTGGTTCTTATATTTTCAAAAAGACCGGACTGGACCGGATCAATTTGTGTCAATTTAACCGGACCGGACCGTATAGTCACCCCTAATGTATGGTACTTAACCACTTCCTTACACGCCTCTTAAATGAAAGCCGACTCATGGGTTTGAAGTTTGCACAAGCCCGCCATACCATGTGCTTGAAAGACAACTGTTAATATTGGGGGTCGTGAGGAGTTGAACACGTGACCTCAAGGACAAACCAGCTCTGATACCATGTCATCCAAATTTTCGACCGACAAACGTGAAACAAATTAAACGTGTAATATGAGTGCCGAAGCTTGCAATTCACCCTAAAACTAATTAAGACATAAGAGCAATTAAAATTTAAAAGGAAATGAAAACCCATAAAACAATTGACCTACTTTGACCCTGACCCGGTGAGAAAAACGGGCCGCACGCACCCGCCGGGTCGACCGCCACAAGGTACCGGGTTGGAGGTCAAACTATGTCATTTTTTTCTTTGTTTTGCGAAATGCGCCTATTTTCCGATTTTTCTTTTCGCCTAACTCAATCTTTGGAATCCTAAATTGAACATTTGAATACTAATGTTATATAAGTGTGTGTGAATTTTCACTATATGTTAAATCTAAGTACGAAATGTTATTTTGGTGTGATATTATATGTTATAACTCATATGTTAGATGAGATTTGATATAATTTATCAGGATAAGTATAATATAATGACACTTTCCATATTTTCGGGCTAAAACGGGTGACCCATTAACCCTTGACCCACTAGCTCAACCGGGTCCGGGTCAACCCGCGGGTTGACAACCTTGCTAGCTACTGATGGGGACTGTTGTTCCACTGTTGAGGAATGACGATGATGAAGTAATTAAGGATGTAAATGTCGCAGTCTTAGTGGCTAATTAGTAGTTCTCATTCGTTAATTAAACTTTTCAGAATTAACCAGAGTGGTTAATTTAAGATGTAAATGACAGGCAACTGGCGATTACTGCCGCTGATGAATGGAGTTTCTTCTGTTTCCAATTTCCTTTTCTGCCTACTCTCAGTTTGCAATTTTGACTCCTTGCACAGCATAAAAGTTCTATTTCTAGGTCCTGATTGCATCATGTGATTGTAACCGAGAATGGAAACAAAATAAATTTGACAAACAGAACCACCTGCATCTGCAAATGCTCACAAATCCATGTGTTCTGTTTGAATCGGGAAGAAATTTACTCTCTTTGCTGCCAAAGATGGGTTGCAGTAGTTCAGTCCATTTCTGCCCAATGCTCTCACTTCAATTCCCGACCTTAAGGACAAAGTAGTACAGTGTAATTATACAGGTAGAAAAGGGCTGAACTCTTCTTCTGCTAAACCTATATGCATTTTGCAATGTGAAATCTGCCATACTCATACAATGCAATAATGTTCACTCACTCTCAAGTCTCAACAAACAATGTGGCCTCAGCTTCATCAACGATCGACTGCCAGTACTGCATCAGGACGCCTTGCATATATCTCCCCGACAAAGTGGACATACCCTGCAAACCAGATTGAGAAGAAAGTTATGTAAATACCCAAGTTGATCACATCATCGATAAAGAAATGTGAATTTTTATTGAAAATTCAAAATCAGGGCAACATTACATAAATCGTATATGCATCCATACCTATGAATCTCCTTCAGCCACTTGTCTATGCAAGCTCGATGAAATTCATGATGACAAGGCAGTACCCGCATGCACTCTCCTTCATCGTACTCGACAAGGCATATGTAACACCTAATATTCCGAAGGGAGGAAGTTAGAGGACGACATAAGCATGAGCAAAGCTATGATCCAATGAGTTTTAACTTAAAGCACGAGATGGAAAAAACATCAAGCATCCAGAGCTATGATCGGCATATGGATCAATATGCAAGAACTATTCTCATTTCCAAAGCCATCTCTTATAGTGTTATTTCCCAGGAGAACAAACAAATCTACTTTACCTCTAGGTGTAAAGCATGGTATATCAAGAGTGAAGCTGCAAATCAGTGATGGGGACAAGGCTAATTGCTCCAAAATTTAACACACCAAGCTGATTGGATAATCATAAATAGAGTGATTGATAATAGAAGAAAGAAGATAGTTTCTCCGCCTATTCTCTCCCCGATGAAAGAGCTCCAATCTATGAGAAACCCCCATTTCCCATGCAGCTAAATACACAGAAGCAAGGAAAACTTCCATAAACTGTAACATGATAAAGGCTTAGACCCACACATTACAAGACTAGTATCCCTGGCATCACATTTACGCAAGGATGTAATTAAGCAAATTGAAAGGAGAAAGAAAGCAGAGAGAAAGAGAGCAAAATGACATACTGTGCTGCCTCATCATTCTGTTGTTTTTGTGATTTGGTGTATAACTTGACAGGTAGAGATTCCACAACTTCGTTCGGTGCAGGAACAGAGCCAAGGGAAGATACAGAAGAAGGCCGAGAAGATAATACCACAGATTGCTGGTGAATTTCATCCAGAACCTAATTAAGATATGTTCGGGGGAAATTTCAACTCATATAGATACAAATTGAGGAATGCAGGAAAGTGAGGCAGAATAAAGGGAAGAAAAACTCAAAGGATCGCTATAGCAAAAGTGGCGTATTACCTCAAACAGTGCTTCAGCTAACATGACAATTCTTGATATGCTAGCTCTAGCACTTGTGTCATCATTTAAATTGGCATCACGATTACTTAGACGACATGTACAACGACCTGTTCTATGTTGACCAGATAAAATGCAAGACCTCTCGTGTGTAGACAGATTCTCAAAGCGGTTTCCTAACCTCTGAAGAGCACGGACCTACACCAGCGGTGACATACAGGTCAGAAAATGAATGCAGATGATTCCACTCCAGATTACGATAAATATATATAACGTGTACTATGTTACAATAAAATAATAGGTGAAGATTAGAGTACAGTAAAGATAATGAATGCACAGTATGCACCCTAGTGTCGAGATAGACACTATTCATCAAATTCAAATGTTGGAAATCACAATTATGAGGAAGTTTATACATGACACTGTTTAATGTGCGTGTATGCTGGACAGATTGCACAGCATACATTCTAAAACCATGTGCTGCAGAGATATCTCATGTGAGGAACAAAGAGAATTTACATACCTGAGACCGTATTCGTCTCCTTCGCTCGAGGAAAGTTGACCTATGTTCAAGTAAGTCATGATACCTATCTTCTCTTGATCGCGAAGTTTCCACTTCATGATCCTGAATGCCAAACAAGGAGTTAGGCATGCCAGATGAAGGATAACCAGAACCATTTGGATAAGCCGGTAGATCGAGCTCAGACCCCACTGCCCTAGCCACACCACCCAACTGCTGCACCCTATTACCCCGATTACCATCTCTCGCTTCTCTTTCGTGTGGCAAAGGACAAAATGACATGTCAGATAGAGAAGATCGTCGGAGAACTCTATCACGAAGTCTCCCAACGCTTAAGGTCCTGCTAAATCTAACATTCCGTTCAACAGGTTCTCTTGCAGCTGTCCGCCTATCAGCAAGTTGGCTCTCGATACCATCCAAATCGTTCAAAGCTACTGGGGAATCTAGATCTCTATCAACCCAGACCTGGGTGGTTCTTTCATTTCCTATACTATATTGATCAGAAGAAATCCCCTGATTGGGTTGGTCTAAAGAATCAGATGGTTGATTATTTATCCTAAATCTAGCCAAAGTTCCAGAGACCGATGAAGCAGGTATAACATTAGCAACTTGCCGAGATTGATCTCCATCATTTATCCCATTGGCAGATACTGGATGTGCACAAATCTCCTCATCATCATTCAACATTCCGAGAGTTGATGAAGGAATAGGATAAGCCCTTGAAGACCCTAAACTTGTGGCTCTGCTGAGTCTGAAGCTAACGTTACCAGGAATGAAGCTAAATCGAGAAAGGAAGCTACTTGGAGAAACAGCACGGGCAGAACTGCTAGCCGTTCTCGAAGCATTGTTGGAGATACTTGCTTGACTCCATTCATCATGATCGGAAGTAGAAGTTACACCAGCTATATCATCAGAGTCTTGAACCTTAACCTTTCTACAGCATTCAACCTTAACTTGATCCCCCTCTGTTTGATTACCAGATGAATCGTCACTCTCTTCATCTTTACTCCCTTGCTCAAAGACCTGAAAATTCACCACAGCACCGTCAAATTTCCAAAATAAACATTGTCAAAACGACATCCAAGTATGACTATCAGAAGTAACATCCCAATCCAAGCTTACTGAACCAAAATCACTAGAGAAATTCTTAATATGGTTTCTTCTAAACCTCCACGTTCATATGCAGTGAAATTTTCGCTGAAAAATATTCATCAGTTCAAAGCCATGGTTCCTAACAGGTCGGTTAGGACAGAAAACGACTGTATCTGGCTAGAAAGTCAGAACCAAGTCTCTCAACAGCATCCCTGACTTCAATATGTCATAAACAATGTTACTAAGTCACAATGTAGGTCTACCAAATTCTAAATATGCATAGTATTACTCAAACATGAGTAAATCTCTATTATAAACTCTGCCACAACTACCATTCTTTCTTCCTAAACGAAGAAAAACAAACGACTGCCATGCAACTTTCCAACCTTGAAACACATTACCAAACAGGAAATGTTTTCTACCTCAAGCAACAAAGGTATAGGCAGAAAATATGGAAAGCTGAGAAATGCGCCAGTAGAAACAACTATTATTAATGTCAAAGGGCGATGAGGGAGAAAGATTAAAGAATGAGAAAAGGGGAAATGCAGCAAGATAAACTGACATGATCATCGACGCTACTATTGCTGTTCCGAGACCCAGACCCCCGGCCAAGGCAATAAGACTGGAAACCCCTACTCCCTTTACTTCTACACTTCCTTCTGATACTGCCGCCGGCGGAACCACCACCGCCTCTGGAAGAAGATGCGCCACTGGAGGAGGGTTTGCTTCCGCTGGATCCCATTTCCCAAAACAACATACACAGACCCAACCCAAAATGGAAAGACCGAAAATTTTTACACCATATTTACACAAGAAAGACAGCTCTGAATCGAGACATCGAGATCCAAGACTCCGTCACAGACAAAGAAAGAAAGAAGTGCGGAAAAGGGTAATGGAAACGAGGGTCAAATGGGTTGAATGTAGATACCCAGATCTGCAATCCCAGACCAATATGAAGAAGACAGCGCGGAATGGAGCCGTGGAAGGGAGGGAATGTGGTGGAGTAAAGAAATGGCGATGTAAATGAGGGGGCTCTTTTGAGAGCGGTGATGTGAGTGGGACTAATCACCTAGCAGACTGTGCGGAGAGAGACGGAGGGAGAAAGAGAGAGTTCTGTTGATGTCTACTATGGCATCTTACAGGGAAGTGGGGGAGTGCGCGTCAGAGAAAGTGTAATTTGGGGAAAGGGAAGGAAGATACAGACATCAAGATGAAAAGAAGAGAAAGAAAGCGAGAGAAGAGAAAGGATGGAGGGAAGGGGAACACCAAGGCAACAACAATGGGGGGGGCATCTTTGCCTATTTTCAGGCTGTACTTTGGGGCCTCTGTTGTGTTTTCTTTCGCTCCACCACCACCACGTGGGCTTCTCCCATTTGTCTACGGGCTCCAGTCTTACTTGCATATTTTCAATTTTTGAAATCGGATAATGTTACCTCTAGCCATCAACTTTTATCTTTTTTTCTGAAGGAGTCCTTGAACTAAACTTTTCATTTGGATGAGCCCTTAGGGTCATAGGGTGACATTAAAAGGACGAGTAATCTTTTGTTCAAGGTGAGTGTAACTAGGGGTGGTAGTAAGGTTATTTCAGTTATAACCGATAATCGATCTGTCGGTTATCGGTTAATCGAAATAACCACTCCCCCTACCTAAAATCGGCCGAAATAGGTTTTGGTTTTTTGGTTATCTCAGTTATTGGTTAACCGAATCACTTTTAAGATCAAAAATCATTTCGTCTAGCCTCTGATAACCGACCGAAGTTCGGTTGCTTTGATTATCGGTTAGTGGATAATCGGTCGGTTATCGGTTTAGCTGGCCGGTTAACCGATAACCGTTAACCGAACTGCCACCCCTAAGTGTAACTATAATATTTGGACCATGTAGTAGGTATTAGGTTGGTTTTATACGATATCGGTTTATGACGATTCTCAATAATTGTTCTCTCGTGACATTTTACAAAAATGGGAATAGGAACGAGTTTCGATATCATGTATCTTTTATGTTTACCAACGTTGTGTCGTTTTTTTGACATCATAAATATGTTCAATTCGTATCCAATTATTTCAATGTTGTGCATCTCAAGATCCTATAAAAATCATTCCTTTTGTTGAGTCAATTTGATATATTTGGCAATTTCACTCATTGTGCAACAGATTAAACACGATTTAAGGCATGCTATATCATGTCATAAGGTTAACATGTCATAATTTATCGTATTTATCCCCATGTCTCTCATACTTACTTTTTCTTTTTCCACAATGGATCACCATTAACTCACTATGAATGGTGTGTTTTAATATTATTAGATGATATAAATTATGATTCTAACTCTTGTGATTATATTGTCACAATCACAATGACTCATGATCTATGTGAAGATACTATCAGACTCTCAATTAGCTCTTCTAAGAGACCAATATCCAAGCAAATAAAGTTTGGCCTGACGATCTACCACTAGTTTTTTGTGGACCGAGAAATTCACAATGTCTTTGTTTTTTTCTTCAATAGATCTCTCATTAAAGAGAAGCCAAAGATCCTGATACAAAGTAATTACATGATCTAATTACGTAACCAAGAAACTAAGTCAAACCCACTAAGAAATCGGAGTGACAGGAATAGGGCATTTCTGCCAATCCACAATGTCAATGACTAAAATTTTATTCACTTGGATATTGGGCTTTGACAATAAATTGTTCATGGTAAGCCCAGCCCAATCAATTCCAACTGCAAACTACAACCAATAAGCCACTCCAATCAAATAGCCTTATTCCGCGTTCGATACGATCCTTTGTTTTTGTTATACACATACATAAATAGAATTTAAACACATTTTATGTACCAATTTATCAAGTGGTTGTCAAGCCATGTGCTTGAAAGACAACGGTTAATATCGGGGGTCGTGGAGATTCGAACACATGACTTTTCGGTTCTAGGCTCTGATACCATGTCAAGAACCAGTTAGTCCCAATAACTCGAGCTGTTGGGAGAAGATTATACTGGATCATATACCACTCTCTAACCGTGTCTCAGAGAATTAAACAGACTAAATCATTATTATCATTGTTTGCTGTCAATTAAGCGAGCAGGGTAGCAAACCGCGGGGTGCTGAAACTGCCATTGACGAACAGATCCGCCAGCACTCTGTACATCCCTTCCGTGAGGTGAACCCCGTCCCAATTGACGTACCGGCTCGGGTCGGGGCAGGCGGCGGCGGCGGACGCACCGGGACTCCCGCAGGTGGCGAAGACGTTGAAGTTGTACGGCGGATCGCCCGACCCGCAGCAGGCCTTGAATTTCTCCTTCATCCGGTACTTGCCGGGGCTCCGAACCACCGCCCTGTAGGCGCTCCAGTAGTCGAGATAGACGATGGTGGCTTTCGGGTAGCGGGCCCTCAGCCCGTCTAGCTTGGACCGGTAGACGGAATTGTGGACGCGGGCCTGGTTGTTGACGGTCTCGATGCAGCCCAATTCGTCGCGGTCGTCGTCCGGCGACAGGTACATGGCTAGGGTTAGGCATCCCGCCGGCGGGAGACCCTGTACCACCATCTTCTTCGCCCCTCTCTTCAGCAGGCCCTGTAATTGGGGGGGAAAAGGACGGGATAATTAGCTCATCTTTTAAAGCCCAGTATGGAGCATTGAGCCCGGCCCACTTAATAGTCAAACTTGCTAATTTTCAAACCCCACTCAAATGTCGGTAGAATTTTGCAGTAAATAAACGTATACGCGTACCCGTACGTACTTTATCCATATAATTGTCAAATTGTTTTATTTTTGTCCGTTTATTTGATGACTTCTGTATTAAACACGTATAAAACCTCGTAGAACGCGTTTAATATCAGTATTTAATGAATTAAATTATTAACCTTACTATTATTTAAATATTTATTTATTTTAAAAATATTTATAACTATTAACATACTATTAAACGTAACATTGGCACAAAGAAGAAGTAAAATAACTCATAACTGTACCGTATTTTACTAACTATGGAATTTTGTATAGCCACTTTTTTTGAAAAATACCTCCAAGAAGTTGGTAACGGTGGCAATGGAAAGTCTCCGGATAGTTTTGCCGGAGACTTCCGATCCAAGAGTATATGCATAGTCATTCACTCCAATCTCCCCGACCCAGAACAGCGCGTCCTCCACCGCCGCCGCGCACGCCGCCGTCGCCGTATTTCCGTCGCAACCCTGGCTCCTCAGGGACTCGTCGAACCATTGGAGCTGGGTCTGGATGGAAACGGGGGTGTTGTCCAGCGTGAGGTTGTTCTTCACGAAGAAAGCGTGGTTGATCGCCGTCGCCCCTCCGACGGCGAAGTTGACGCCGCCGTTGTTCTTCGCCCCCCGCCGGCGGTAGGGAGGGAGGAGGGGGAGGGAGAGGGACTGGGCGACGAAGTCTATGACGAGGCGGCCGTCGGAGTAGCGGTTGGTCGGGCGGTGGAAGTAGGTGGAGCCGTAGGGCGGGCTGGACACGTGGCCGAAGAACCCGCCGCCGCCGGGCCCCACGTTGCCTGTGTCGGTGAAGGAGTCCCCGAAGGCGTAGATCCTCTCGAAGGGCTGATGCTTGGCCGCGGCGGCGGTTGAGAATATGATGATGATGGTGAGGACGGAAGCTGCTGACATTTTTTTAGCCTTCCAAAGAGACAGTGAAGAGTGATCGACCGCAATAGGGATAATGATAATGGGGGAAGAAGAAGAAGATTATGGTTGGGAGGGTTTGTGTTGAATGTGAGTGTGGGTGGGGTCATGGGCGGGAGATTTGGCCCATTTCGGGTCGTGGTCGTATGGGTTTTACGGTTTTGGTTGGATAATGAATGAGGGGTGTAGCTATGAAGGACGAGTGTATGGTCCATAATTAGTACTGTGGTTGGTCATCGATATTACAAAAAACGTTCAAGTTTGGTCACTCGAAATATTTAAATTCATTGGTGGTACTTCAGTTTACTGAAACCGTTCATGTTTGGTCACTCTCCGTCCAAATCCGTTAACTTTTACTTATGTGGCAGTCAACTCTAAAAGTTGACCGTTAAATGTGTGACGTGACAATCCTAAAAGGCAAATCATGTTTATGGATCACTACGGGAACTCCCATTTTATCCTTGTTTTCTTCTTACATACAATGTGGTGGTACACATAAGAGTGATGGATCATTGGTCTTCCATCATTTGTATTTTGTGAACAGTCTAATTTTGCGATTTTGATTGTCCACATAAATTGATTGATAGTAGCGGAGCCATAAATCTGAACAAGTGGGTTGGCTTGAATTGTTCTGATTGGGAGAAGGGGGGCCTAAAACGTTTGCGACTACTCAAATTACTGAATTTATTAAAAAAATTAACATGTAATTTTATCTACATTTCGTATGCTACAACCCCTCATAACTTGACTTAACTCCAGCATTGTCTATGAGATTGGTGTTCCAACCAAACAATCTTGCAAGTAGCAATGACTTTTTTTTTTTTGTTTCTCGAAATGAAAAACCAGTGGAATCAAAATTCGAGTGAATATCATGCTAACTAACTCACATGTTTTGCCACTGAAGCCAAGCCACCCATTAACGGTTCTCAAGTGATGCCATGTGAAATGTTGAGGCAATATAACATGAAGTGTCTCTCCTGTTGCTACACTTTATGTGTGATCCAATGCTAAAATGATTATATTCTTTGAGGTTGTTTGGATGAGTGAGACAATTTAATCAAATTTGGCGGCACGAAATTTAGATGAAGTAGTTATGCGTGAGAAATTTCGAATTAACTCGTTTTAGGCAATTAAAACTGTCTGTGATTGGGTAGACAATTAATCAAATAGTCACGTTTTTTTCAATTAATCCATCCAAACAACCCGTTTATTGCAAAATGTATATTGTTCACCAATTTTACTTTCTTTCAAGTAAAGAAAAAAAAGTAAACTGATAAGCCCGTAAGTCTTACGTTGGGCCAACAAGTAATCAACCCAGTCCACCCACAAACATTAGGCCCGTAAGTCCTTGTTGGGCCGTGCGGGCCACCAATTACTATACGGCCTTGGTTTATGCCATTTTCCCTTCCTCTGCTCCCACAGCCACAGAGATGGATAATGTTGCAAAGCAGAGGCAGAGGAGATCGTGGCAACTACAGATCCTCCGGCCGAACTCTGCACCGCTGTCTTCCCTCCCAGAGTGAAGAGCATAGCCGAGTGAAAGAGTATCAGCGGGGATGGCTGCATCCACGTGCGTCTTCTCCTCCTGCTGCTACTTCCTCCCAACCGCGCGCCTGAGAAAATCGGCGAATCCCATTGCGGGAATCGGCGAGCCGGAGGAAGTCGCCGGCGATTATAGTTTTCTAAACTCTCGGAGCCAGAAGACGAGGAGGATAAGGTTTGTGGTCGGGTCGAGTTCGGGCAAGAAACCCGACGAACCATCGTCGTCATCGATACCGTCTTGGGCAGACCCCAATTCGGATGAACCGCCCCCGTGGGCTAAGGGAGAAGCCGCCGCCAAGGCGACGAACGGCGGGGAAGAATTGAAGATCCCATTCTTCGCTTACCTCCTCGCCTCCGCAATCACTGCAATCGCCGCCGTAATCATCAGAAAACAATACCCAAATTGGGCAAATTCAGTCCTACGCCAAGACCTGTAATTTCTTTCCAGAACTCTCACGATTGTGGTGGTGGTGGTGGTGGATGCAGATTGGGTCGGTGTTCGAGTACGTGAACCAGAAGCCGGTTTTCGGGGTGCTTGAATCCGACAGCATTTTCTACGCTCCGGTGCTTGGATTCTTCGCTTTCACGGGGATTCCCACTGCTGTGAGTTCACTCGTTTCCCCCTCCTTTTATCTTCGGGTCTCCGTCTCTAATTTGCGCTGTAGTGGTAGTAGTCTGTGCTGATTGATTGGTGAATGGCGTCGGCAGGCATTCTTGTGGTTCAAATCTGTGGAAGCAGCGAACAAGGATGCGGAAGAACAAGACAGGAAGGATGGCTTTCTCTGATGTATATTGCAGAGCATTGCCATTCCCATTCCCATTCTTCTCCCCCATCCATGTCTATTTGGGTTCAATCTTACCGTGCCAATTTCTTGGTCCTGCAGTTTTGTTCATCAGCTCATTCTTAATCATCCTCCATGTTTCCAATTACATTCTGAGTTCTGCTGTATCGTAGTCCCACCCATGTCGGTGGTTAATCTGTCCAAAAAGAAGACAAACCAAATCCTGTACAATAATAAGGTGCCTGTGGGCTGCGTTCCTTCCTATTCCTGTATGGATCTTGTGTGTATATATATATATACATGCTTCTATACTTTCACCTGACTGTATTTGACGGCGCATCATCACAGCAGGTTTCTGATTGTCCAACTGGAGATCAGTATCAACAAAGACAGTCTCGCGGCTGCTGCTGCAACTGTGGCGGATCCCTTCTGCAAAAACCCAACAGTAAAAAGGAAAGAAAGAAAGCCATGTTTCAACGTCCAGTTTTTGCAAACAAATCTTCCACATTAGTTACTGCCCTAGCAATTGTTGTATCTTTTAACATTGTCGGTCGGGAATGAATGAGTTCGATTTCGTTCCAATTCCGGCAATATGGGTTCTTTGCCTTCATTATTGTTATGGGGACAATCCGAGTACCACATCGGAGATACCAAGGAGAGAACACTTGTATATTAGTGTCCACCTAGCCTGATTAATGACAGTTGGTATCAGAGTCTGGTTCGGTTACCGGATGTGGTACTGACGTTCACAAAATCAAACCGGGCTCTGATACCATTTTTTGAATCCGAATTTACTTTTCAGTGTCCTCTCCAAAATGTATTGCCGATGTGGTACTTGAATTGTCTTATATGGAATGTGTTACAAAGAATTTTGGATTATCATGAATAGACTGCTGATGAAGAACTGCTATAAAGAATACATTGATACAGCTGTGGATGTAGAAATGAATAGATTTCCAAAGGCCATATTTGCACCACAATGTCTTGATGGATGCATTCAATTATGACCTTTCCTTATTTTTCCATTTCTTCCAATCTAATCTAATCTAATCCAATCCAATTCATTCTCCTGTGCTTTGTAATAATCAATCAATCAAATGCAATGATGCTAGCTATGGTCTTCTTCTATCTTCTAAGTTCTATCTCCTACTACTACTCTGAATGTAAATACTTTCTCATTATTGTAGCTCTACCCTACCCTATTATATAGCTTGTTGAATGATATTGAAGTTGAACTCAAGGAATTTTGGAGATTGAAAAAAAGCTATACATTTGGCTGCACTGGAGCCGTTCCACCGCCGCCGCCTGTATTGTGGCAAGTTGGATTGCAAGGGTAAGGACAATCGATCTTCGCGAATGATCTCCTGTCATAAAACCATCCTCCCACTGCTGTTGCTATTTTCTGCATTGGTTGTAATTCTACATTAGGGGTTTTCATGATGGTGTGTGTAGGGTTACTGCTATTAGAACATCGGACACAGGTAACTTGCTTCTGAAGCTTCTGTGTGATGGGTCACTTACCGTCTTGCCGAGAACAGGAGAGTCAGCCATGTACCAGGTTGCCTGAAACTCTGTTTGGCAATGTGAGTAACAGGAGTCTATGTATAGGCCCCTAGATGTAGAATTGCCTGATTTGGACATTAATGTCTTCAAGAGCTGCATCCTGAATGCTGAAAAAGAAAAAAGAGGGGCAAAACCAGTTCAATGATCCACTACTTCCTTTGAAAACCATGCTTAACAGGAAGTTTAAAAGCATGCTTGAAAGAATCACCTTGCATTGTTTTGATCTGAAGAGGTGAGCAGCTGCTTATTTCAAGCTTGCAGGCATTCCAGGAGCCATGTGGATCTGCATCAGCAGGTGCCAAGATGTTCCTTATCTGACAAGTAATTCCCAGACATTTGTAAATATTTACTAAACCAATATGATCAAGAGCCTTATTCAACACAAAGGTATAGTTTTTGATCTTTGAAGGGAACTGACCTGCCAATAATCATATGCAGCATTCAGAAGAAACACTGGCGTTCGAACTTGCTGTATTACATTCTGAGGGAAGAAACACTGCATAGAAATGGAAACGGAAGTGTTAAAAAACGTGCAAAAGGAACACTCGCCAGTGATGGTAAAGAAGAATGAACACTTGCCAGTGATGGTCGCAATCTACCAGTACATGACAAAGGCAAATTCTTTGCAGATCCCTGCAACAAAGCATTGGATCAGAAAATTGTTACCTTATCTGGGCTGAAAATGACAGAGATGAGTGGGAACCTGAAAGAGATATCATACATGTAATGAAACTACTTGGCTGAAATAGGCTTGAATATGAGACGCTCCAGCAATATCATTCCTGTTTCGAACCAACACTACACTTCAGCATTTCGCAGCGATGGGATTATTCTTTACAGATTTCTCTGCAGCAGTTGTAGTGTCTGGATGTAACAAGCTACGCAATTGTTGATGAGCTTACACATTGATAAAATAACCAGCATCTGAAAGGCATTTTACTTTAGTACCCATAGGGAGTAAAGCTCTGAAGCTGTCGCAGTGCATAATGGTGGCCAATCCGCCAGCTGAGCAGCCTGACAGAAGAGCCTGTAAACCAGCATTTTTGAAAGAGTGTAAGGAAATTAAGACCAACATTCTTCTAACAGTCACACAGACAAAGTCAAGCAACCATTCAGTCTTACATTTTCAGCGTTTTTCATCCCTTTAGCAAGGAGTTCCTCCATAACAGCAAGCCAAACCCTTGCTCCTCTGAAGTGAAGGTTAGTAGCCTGATCAAATTACTATCTTATTAAGAATGCAAAACTCTCAAGATAGCTCCTCGTAAAACACAAACAAAAAGGAAAACAACTTACAGGATTCACTTTCTCTACATCGCCGGTGAAAGAAGACCCATCACAGTATCTAACCTTCACTCTGTTCCAGTTGTAGAAATCTAAAAACAAACAGACAAGTTGCAGCAGAACTTGACAGTCAAGATATCAGAAGAACGCCAAGCAAGGAAAGCTAACGAGAAAACTTCAAGCAGGATGTCATTCATCAATGTCGCTCATTTTTCTACCTGGATTAAATTGACGCCTATTGCTCATGATTCCTGAGAAAGCAAGCTGGTTGCCCATTTGCTTAGACGAACCAAGACGCGTGTTCTTACGAGCAAGACACGAGGTGACATTGTGGCACCAACCCCCTCCCTAAATTTCCACAGGGACACACCATTTACTCAAATGAAAATGGGTATACATATGCAGAAGCATCAACCATGAGAGACACAGCAAGCTCAAAATGTCTCTAGTCATATTTTCGACAAACAATCCAAACCCATTTGCCCATATAACACATCAAAATCAAGACTTTCACTATCACCATATACCAAACTGACCCTTTTGTTGCTGTAGTCTTACAGTTTGGTGACCTCAATAAATGATTAGGTGAAAGCTGTGACCAGAAATACCAACCTCAAGTTGAACTAACCAACTATTAATCCCCGTTCCATACCCTTTGTCGAAATTGTATGCTGGTGGGCTTCCATCCAAGCAAACTGGAAAAACAAGCTAAAGAATTATGAACAAAGATGACAACTTTATGAACAAAAACAGCAACACATAAACTTGAATGCCAATGTAGATGAACAGAGTCCCCTCACCAGCTCCTTTTGCTACACCACTGGTCACATATGTAATTGGGGCATACAGGCCGTCGGTTCTGGTCAAAGACAGCAAAACCAGACATACAGAGAGAAGGAAACATTTGCCTCTTAGCAATCTGGACTCTGCCATTCTGCACATGATGAGAAGAAGAAGAAGAAGAAAGATAAACAAATCGTGTGAGGATGGAGCATTTTTGTTCTTCTTATTTTTATAATTTTGTGTGCTTTACAACAAAGGAGGAAAACATAGTCCACTGACAACATAAATGTGCTTCCACCGATTCTCAGCTGGGAAATAATCATTAAAAAACTAGAGAATACAAAGAGCTGGAACCCCAAAAAGAGAAATCAATTGTGGTAACCACAAGAGAACCCACCCAAAAGAATAAAAAAAAACATAGTCAGCCAAGTGTTCATGGATCCATGATTATATTGTTTGGAACAAAGCAGCTTTTGGACATTAGATACCCAATGGCCAGGCCAAATCACATGATGGGTCCTTTTTTTTCCACTTCTTCTTTTTGTTGACAAATGTAATCACATTCCCATTGCCAAACATCCCCAAAAAGCTCCCCACTTTTTCCCCCCAACCCAAAACCCATCTGTTTCTGGTGCTGCTCACAGCTCAATAAACAGTGCCCATCACCAACACCAAAAAGAAAAATTCTCCCCCACCCAAAGGAAGCAGAAAAGAGAAACAGAATTCCCTTCCGGAGAGATAAAAGGCAATGCAATGCAAGTAGAGGAAAAGGAAGCAATTTGGGTTGATGGAAAGGCCTTACCCTTACCCTGGACTACTGAGAAGAAAAGAGTGAATCTTGCAACAGGGGAAGTCGAATGGCAAGGCAAAACGAAACCCAGTTGAGTTGCAGCAGTGGGAGAGAGTGAGGGAGCTCTATCTTCTTTAAGATTGCCAAGCTATGTAGCTGTGTGGCATTGAGCAGCAAGCGGAGGAGACGAGAGGAGGGCACAAGAGAAATGCAGAGCCGGCCTTTTGGTATGGTTCCTTCCTCTTTCGAAGGAGATCGGAAGCAAGCAGCTTGTGGACGTCTACTTTCTTCTTTTGTTTGATTGGAGTTTTTTTTTTTGTTTGTTTTGTTCTGAGGAGGGAGCAATGCAGAGAACCCAAGAGCCGACACTCATTCGCTTCCAATCCAACACCGCCACCACGGCTTTTATATACTGCCCACTCCCCGTCCCTCCATTTCCATTATTACTCTGTATATTTTTGTAATGAACAAAGTAAGGTGATAATAAACTAATGTAGAAAGAAAACGACAGAGCGTTGAAATTTTCTTTTCCACAGGTGTTGGGTCAATTGCCTTTATTTCGAACACAATTTTATGGTAATTAGTCGATTATGCTATCCCAATCGCCTGCCTGAAAATCTGATTAGTAATTACTGATTAGCATGTCTACTTACCAAAATGATTTTTTTTTCTCGTTGAATTATTTTCCAACATAATTACTAATGAATTTGTATAGTTTCTTGGCCAATAACCAGTTCTAGAAAACTAGTTTGATTATCTCATTATAATAAAAACTAGGGAGATAATAAACAAAAGAGTCGACACGAAAAAAATAATGTGTGAGATTCTGTATTCTATTTCAAGTCATCTCTCGGGGCAGTAACGAGTTGTCAGATTCCAATTTCGTTATTGCCAATATTCCAAATTTTGCGAATAAGGATTTCAACCTGGAGATCTCAGGTTTGAATTCACTAAATAACATCTAATTATTATTATAGAATAGACCTATATCAATCTTAGCAACAAAAAAAAAAAAATTCAAAGTTGGTATTTTTTTTGCTCTTGCCATTTTATAGATACATGATCCAAACACATGTTATTTCCTTTTCTTTACTTTGATTAACACAAGTATTCTGCTCAACATATAAAAGTACAGTAAATAATCTAGATACAAATCCCACCAAAAAATGAAATTAGCATGGTCTATGAAACCGTACCGGAAAAGTCAGCGATAGGGTATTTTATGGCAAAATCGTGGTTTAATCGTAGTTCAACCGTTGGTACCGTTAAATACCGCCTATCGATTTAACCTCTGATACTGGTATTTTGTGGTTGAACTGCCGGTACGGTACAATTTAATGGACCATGGAAATTAGTAGAAAGATTGATTAGAAAAACGCCAAAAACTTCGGCGGCAAGTTGTGGGCCTTCACTGGATCAAAACCGATGGGTTGCGTAGCGTGCTCAACCAGAGGATTCTGGCAATGGGCCCGCCCAATTCTTCCTTCCAGTCATTTTCTTTATAGAAATGTACACTAATTCTAAGCTTTACATCGAATTCAAGGGCAAACAACAAAACGTGGAGTACTAGGTTAGGCTAGCTGTGTAACTTAATTAGCAAATAATTGACAGTTAGTATATGGCCCATCTCACTAATCCAATTGCAAGAACCATGTACCATTCATCATATTAATTCATCGTTAATACGAGCATCTCCGTGATATATATTTTATCGGTATGTTATGTCTTTTCACGCGTGGGTTGTTTTGATTTATATGTATAAACGTTGTTGAATTCTCGTATTCGAATGATTAGCTTTTTTTATTCAAAATTATGCTCGGATCATTATTCAAATGTATCATCGCGCATGAGAAATCCGTGATAACAAATTTGAGTATCGGCTTAACAGAATATGAGATTAATAGTGTCTTATAGACATAGAGAACAAGATTGGAGTTGGAACAACAATCACACCAATTGAATTTTATGAGAATTATGCAACATTCGAACTTGGCTTCGGATCTGGGGTTTATAAGAGTACATTTTTAATATCGATTTAGCCATATCATTATACTTAATCTAGCGGTCTGACCACAAAACCTGTCCATCATCTATATCACGACCATTCGTTACATGCATGCCTTCGACTGTAATAAATTCTTTTGTCACACATGTTTTGAGAAGTCAGTTGTGTGATAAATCAACTTGTACATTAGGTTAACTCTTTTTAGAGTTTCTATATCATATACTTTGGTCATTTGGAAGTAGCAGAGGAAAGCAGGGGATTTTGTGTTTGTATAATAATAAAACGGCCAAAGTATATGGGTCATTTGTTCATTAATTTTCTTTTGGTGAGAGCTTGTTAGTATCGCTGTTCAAATGGTTACCATGGTTATTACCAAACCAAATAAGGCTAAATTTCATTAACCATGGAATGCAATATCATAACCAAACTAATACAACAACCAGATTAACCAAACTAAAGTTTAATCGGTTTGGTTAATTGGTTAACCAGATTAACCAATATAAAATCATATTATCATCATGTGAGAAAATTCTCGGTTAATTTATCAATTCACAATTTATATAATGAATAAAATATAACAATCAACACATAGTTATAGTTGACACTTAACATAAATACATGCAACTAAGACAATTATCTTACGGTTAGTATAGAAGTATTCACCTAACAAAAATTTATCACAATGGTATGGATTAATGAATTGTTGTGTTTGTTTGAATTGACTTAGTCTTTTAGCAATTTTCATAGGCTGAAAAGGACCTTGCTTTCAATTTTTCATCCAACATAATGTATGAGATTTATCTAAATTAGGCGGTCATATGTTGTGGTCTACACTCTACATATGCAAATATACGTTATAGAAACAATATCAAGCTTTATATTTTACGAGTCTAAAAGGATGAGCGTTTAACTCTTGAGTGGTTATTCAAAGTATTAAGTATGTGTATTTATTAGATATATAACTAATTGTTTATCTGGTTAATTTGGTTTGGCTGATTAGGAGTGTCTAAAACCAAACCAAACCACCTAAACCAAACAAGCTAAAAACTTTAATCAAACCACAACAATTATCCAAATTAACCAAACCAAATTATCCAAATAGTACTGGTTAAAACGGTTACCATGGTAACCACACCGTTTGAACACCCTACTGGTTAGTCATTTGTTAATTTTGTTTATTAGGCGTATTTGGGTTCAAGCTGTTTACTAATTTTGAACTAACAAGTCACGTGGGCTTAAGTCTGCACTTCTCTTGGGCCAAATAAACTATTGGGCTGGAATTAGAACTTGGTAATTTAGGGATGACAACCAAACCAGAACCCACTGGTACCTACCCTACCCAGTCCGGTCAACGCGGGTAAAATTCGTGTTGACAGGTTTTGGGTCGGGTTTGGGTTTAAACTCGTTTACTATTCACTGGGTTGGGTTTGGTTTAGGTAAACTGGCCTCATGAGTACCCCTCCACACCCACATAATTAATTTTATCGGTATATTTAATATTCTAAACAACTAATTTATTTATGTTTGTGGAGACATGTCTAATTTTTTCTTTCCAATTGTATAGAATGAAGTTGATGTTTTCGAGTGGAGAGTGAAAAAACTTAATTGAAAAGAAGAAGTTTTCAATTAATCATGTTATTTATGGATAATTTATAATTTGCTTCAATTTTATTGAGTTTTCTAGATTGGTTTTTAATAATTTGTATAGTTAATTTGTGATTTGCTTGAATTTTCTAGAATGGTGTTTTTATATATGGATAATTTGTATTGAGAGATTGATATTTGACTTTAATTTTGATAGGCACTTGTTATTGTAAATTTTTTACGACAAAAACCCGTGGGTACCCATGAACCCACGGATACCCAACGGATTGGGTTGAGTTTGAGTTTTTCAAACCCAGTAAGTTTTACCCCGAGTTTTTTTCGCAGATAAACCCATAGGTTTGAGTTTGGGTTTGACAAAACCCGACCCAACCCGACCCATTGCCATCCCTACTTGGCATACGGTAAAGGATTGAAAAGTCAAAAACCAAAGTTTACTGGATTAGAACGTTAGGAAACTTTCACACAAGGATTGAATGTACTAATTCCAAAATGTTTCCGTTCTCTTCTTCTTCTTCACCATCCTCTGTAAAAAAATTTCTTCCGTCTCACCCTAACGACCTCCGACTATTGAGAAGTGAGATCCAAACCGGCTCGGACACACTCTCCCGTCATTCTCTTGCGCATTGAGCCGATTGGAATTGAAGTTCTCCTTTATCTGAGCTCTCACCGAGGGGCAAACAGAATTGCAGAATTCCTTTGAATGCGTCTGTTTTCCTCCCCAAAACCCTAGAATTCTCTCCATCGATCTCTCTGCTGTTTGATCGGGAAAGCATTTACAGATTGAGCAAAGCTGGAGCAGCTCAAATCAATTGGGCGGGAGCTCGCAATGGGCTCCCAAGGCGGAATCGGCCAATCGAAGGAGTTCCTCGATCTGGTCAAGTCAATCGGCGAAGCCCGATCCAAGGCGGAGGAGGACCGCATAGTCATCGGCGAGATCGAAACCCTCAAGCGTCGCCTCGTGGAGCCCGGAATCCCCAAGCGCAAGATGAAGGAGTACATTATCCGGCTGGTCTACATTGAGATGCTCGGCCACGACGCTTCTTTTGGGTACATCCACGCCGTGAAGATGACTCACGACGATAATTTGTTCCTTAAGCGAACTGGGTACTTGGCGGTCACTCTCTTTCTCAATGAAGATCACGATTTGATCATCCTGATCGTGAACACCATTCAGAAGGACTTGAAATCTGATAACTTCCTGATCGTGTGCGCTGCATTGAATGCGGTCTGTAAGTTGATCAACGAGGAAACCATCCCTGCTGTTCTGCCGCAGGTGGTGGAGTTGTTGGGCCATCAGAAGGAGGCTGTGAGGAAGAAGGCTATCATGGCTCTGCATCGCTTCCATCAGAAGTCTCCTTCCTCTGTTTCTCACCTCGTCTCCAACTTCCGAAAGGTAGGTTAATACCCCATTATCACGTGTCCATCTTCTTCAGATATTCCTTAGAAGAAACGGTTTTCTCAATGTGGAGTCCGGGGAATTCATGTTGGTTTTTGATAAATAGGTTACGTGATGGTTGAAGTTGCTAGCTGACTTTGTAATGGCTGATCAGTTGAAAGATTCTAGGAATCAAGCTTAAATTAACAATGGCCATTCTATTCACAAATATAATTCAAGATCAACTGTTGTTGAATTTATTAGTTTGTTGTGACCACGATAAACTTTGGTTTACAAGTACACAAAGAACTCCCCTTTTGGTTCCTTTATCCATCCAAGTCATATTAAACAGTTCTGTTCTCCTTACATCTGGATTTATGAGTTTCAATCTTGTGAGTATAATGTGAGGCTTTTTACTGCAGAGGCTATGCGATAATGATCCTGGTGTCATGGGTGCGACACTTTGCCCTCTTCTGGATCTTATAAATAGAGATGTTAGCTCGTTCAAGGATTTGGTTGTCAGTTTTGTCAGCATACTTAAACAAGTAGCTGAACACAGATTGCCGAAGGCCTACGATTATCATCAGCTGCCAGCTCCATTCATACAGGTATCCCGATCTGCTTTGTTTTCTAGACAAGGAATAGGAAGGGCTCTAAATTTGTCTTTCATATTGGGATCTGCTGAATGATATGTATCTCCTTTCATATTTCTTGCCATTTACTCCTGCTTAGGATAGAAAGCATTCCACTGAGGAGAAAGCAGGGGATCTATGCTCAAGTATTAGTCATTGAGTGGAGTAACTGCTAGTGGATAGACTTGGAAGAATTCTTCGCGTCCTTTATTATATTAGGTGTGGTTGATAGTCAAAGCAGTATCCATGCAAAGGAGATGTATTCCAATTTTCAGCAATTCCTTTGGGGATATACTTGGAATTTGGACTGCATCCACCCGTCATCAGTTTATTGACATGGATGCTTCGTGTTGATAAAAACTATAATTTTCTGATTGTGGGGAACGCTGTTACATATTGACTTTGTTAACAATGAATCCTGTAGAAATTGAATCTGGAAAAGGCATGGTATGACCTGAACCTGTAAACATCTTGTTTTGTTATGGCCTTATACTTACCTAATGCAAGGCATACCATAGAATTGAGACTTATAGTTGAATTTGGTTTTGATTCATTGAATTAAGGCGTTCTCTCAGGACCCACCAGTCTTTCTGGATGATATGCACAACAATGCACACTGAATTTGTAATGCTTCTGCTGCATTATGAAGTTCTATCCACTGATTTTTGAACTTTTAGTCTTACCTGTGAGGTTCCTCCCTAACTGGGATGTGTCATACTATAATTTAATAATTCTACACTCTACTGTAAAACACTTTATTCTAGTGCCCTAATTATTGATATGGACAGTTCAGGTGATATCTTCCTCTGACTTGCTCATTTCTCATAACCATGTTATGCATCCCTAATTTTTCAGATAAGGTTGCTGAAAATTCTGGCACTGCTTGGAAGTGGTGATAAGCAAGCAAGTGAGCAGATGTACACGGTTGTGGGTGACATATTCAGGAAGTGCGATTCTTCAAGCAACATAGGAAATGCTGTCATTTATCAATGCATTTGCTGTGTATCTTCAATACATCCTAATCCTAAGTTGCTAGAATCTGCTGCTGACCAAATAGCAAGATTCTTAAAGGTTCATATCTCTCATTCACTGATCAACTTTT